GCTCCTGGGCAGCTCCAAACAGCAGCTCCCCCCTGTACCCTCAGGGCATCCCTGCACTGAGAACACGGAGAGAGCACGGGCTGGGATCTCCTCCTGGATGTGCTCACTCCAGGCACTGACTGGCACTGCCAAAGGCTCAGCCCTTGTCCCCACCACACAGAGCCAGGACAGGGGCTGGAGGGGGATCATTAGAGGGAAAAACAGGATGAGCAGGAAGTAAGAGTCGTTTCTCATTAAACCCAACCAAGGGTTTGCAAATAAGGAACGTCCCCTTGAACCATTTCCGAGGCTTCTGTCATCAACAACTGGTTGGTTTGATTTTCCAACACACCCAGCTCGCTGTTCAACCCCAGCAGGAGCAGGTGGGTGGGTTTAGTGGTTTCCTCTCTTGCGCTGCTGCCACTTAGAGCCAAGCTTAGTTTTCTAAAGAAAGCAAAATACTCTTTTCCAGGTTATTTATTTGTGATGGAGTAAAACTGTGAAGGCCAAGGGGCTGGGGGGTGGGAAGAGCTGATCAACAGCTCAGGGGAGGGAGGAGGGGTTTGTTCAATCCTGGAGTAAAACGTGTTGTTACCCCCCCTTGGTTCTGCTTTTGATCCCAACTTCTTTTCAAACCTTGCAGTTGCTCCCTGGAAAGTGAATCCTGCAGCAGATTTAGGGCTAAGGGATGGTTCTCCTTTCCCAGTGGGAATAAATGTTGGAGCAGGGAAAGGTGCTCTGGCTGCAGGAGAGGCTGGGTCATTCCCAGAGAAACCAGTGCCAGCTGCTGCTCCCAGCAAGGGATGAAGGCAGAGCTTCCTCCTCCTCTCTGGGGTGTTCCACCAGACCCTGAAACACCAACAATCTCATGGAATCAATCATGGAATCATGGAATGGGGTGGGTTGGAATGGGCCTTGAAGCTCATCCTGTTCCTGCACAGGACACCTCCCACTATCCCAGCTGGCTCCAAGTTTGTCCAACCTGGCCTTGGACACTTTCAGGGATGGGGCATCCTCTGGGAATTCCATCCCAGCCCCTCCTCACCCTCCCAGGCAGGAATTCCTTCCCAATCTCCCATCTCTCCCTGCCCTCTGGCAGTGGGAAGCCATTCCCTCTGTCCTGTCCCTCCAGGCCTTGTCCCCAGTCCCTCTCCAGCTCTCCTGGAGCCCCTTCCAAGGTGTCCCTGGAGCCTTCCCTTCTCCAGGGGAACATTCCCAAGCCTCTGATCCCCTTGGTGCCTCCTCTGGCCTGGCTCCAAACCCAGTTTGACCCTCCTTTTGCAGTGGTCCCGAAATGCCCGGGGAGGGATTTGACACCAACACTGACACTGCACCAGGTTTTGCTGTCAGAGCTGGCCCCTTTGGCCAAACCCCCCGAGGGGAAGGTTGGTTATTTTGGAGCTTTTCAGGACAGAAACTCACCTGGGCAGGGGCAACAAGCAATTCCAGTCCCTCTGGAGGGAAAGTGCTGATTTTTGGTCAGCCCCCACCTGGGTTTGGAGGGGGAACAGCAATTATTGGCTGGGAAGAAAGGGGGTTTTTGGTGTCTCTGTGGTTCCACAAGTTCCCTCTCACAGGCAGAGAGTGGTACAAGGTTAACTGCAGGGAATTCAAGCTTAGTGGGTTTGGTTTGGGGCTTTTTTAAAATATTTTTATACTTGGAAGTTCAACTGACAGCAGAGAATGGTATAGGAAATCAAGGGCACCTGTCAGGAATAACCCCTTTGGAAAAGGCCACCTCCTCCCCCCTTCTCCTGCTTGTTCATCCCCACTGTGAGGAGACACCAAACTCTTGGGTTGGGAAACCAAAAACCACCTCCTTTAAAATCCTGGGAAGGGGGACTTGTTTGGGGAGTGGTTCTTTATAAAAGGATTGGGAATCACCCGAGGGACTGGACTGGGGGGGGGTGTGTTTAATTCCTGCTGGAGGAAAAACCTAACAGAGGGTTATCCCCCAGCTGCTGAAAACAGGCACAGAAAACCTGAGCCTGAAATTCAAATATAGATATTTTCCCAAGCAGTCACTGCTCCAGCTGCCACCAAGGGGTACACACAGTGACAGGGGGAGGCTTTGGAATCATCAAATCCCAGGATGGGTTGGGTTGGAGGGACCTTAAAGCCCATCCAGTCCCACCCCTGCCCCAGGCAGGGACATCTCCCACCATCCCAGGCAGCTCCAACCTGGCCTTGGGCGCTTCCAGGGATGGGGCATCCCCTGGGAATTCCATCCCAGCCCCTCCCCACCCTCCCAGGGAAGGATTCCTTCCCAGTATCCCACCCAACCCTCCCTCTGGCAGTTCAGCTCCATCCCCCCCTGCCCTGTCCCTCCCTGCTCATGCACAAAGTCCCTCCCTGGCTTTTTATAAACTCCCTTTAAGTTCTGGCAGTTTGGGAGGAGCTTTAACACCCCCCCCCTTTGATGCCCAGAGTGGGGGGCAGACCAAGGATTGCCACAAACACCATCCCCACCTGGATCAGGGAAGGAAGGAAACCCCTGTGCTGGAAGGGCAGACACTGAATAAAATCCCTGATTCCTCTCCTTGAGCTCTGCCTCTCTTCATCCACCTGCTCTAGGTGGGAGCAGAGTTTGCTGGGGAAAAGGCAGCTGGGTTTTTGGGAGCAGGGACAGGTTCAGATTGCAGCAGCTCAGCACAACTCCCAGGGTATTTTTAAATCCTCCTTCCCACTCCAGATTCACCCATCACTTGATGGGAGCCTCCAACAGGCAGGAAAGCAGTGCCAAGGAATGTTTCCCTGGGCTGGAAAGTGCTGGTTTGTTCAGCTGGATTGTTTACATAGCTCCCAGCAGAGCCCTGGCCAACTCACCCCATCCCAACAGCTCCTGATTTGGGATCCAGGCCCTGCCCCGGGGCAGATAAGCTCCCTGCCATGGCATGTGTGTCACCTTGTGCCAGTGCCAGCAATCAGTCCTGCCTGGATCCACCCTCCCAGGGCCGAGTGCTCCACGATTCCCCAGCTCCCACCTCCCCTGAGCCTCCTCCAGCCCCCACCTCGCACTCAGGGAGGGACAAACTCCTCTGCAGCTCCACTCCAGCCTCCCCCAGGGCACTGGGAGTGCGTGGGACACTCGGGGTAGGATGAGGAGAGGGGAACAAAGTTGTGTGGAACAGGAGGGGGGGCCCAGACAGGGGCCCTGAGGTGTCCTGAGCTGCCTCTCGCCTGTGTAAACTGCTGATCACAACAAGGAGCTCCTGCAGCAGCTCCCAGAGAGGCTCCCCTCCAACACCAAGGGCGAGTTCCCAGCTGGTTTTCCCAGTTTTAGGGGCAGAAAACTGGGCAGAACAGGCTGGGTGAGTTTAGAAGGGTGTGCTCAGGTGCTGCTGCTCAAGTTCCTCCTCCTGAGCCTCCTCTGGGTACAAAGGGAAGTGCAAAAGCCCATCAGGCTGAGCCCCCAAATCCCTGCTCCCCTTCCCGGCCCCACAGGCACATCAGGCACGACCTGAGGGCACAGACTGTGCCGGGACATCCAGGGAAAGGCTGTTTATTTACCCCATTATCGATTCCAGGGACTGCCCCAGCCCCAGAGCCACGGCAGGGCCGGCACTGCAGCGACTGCTCCCTGGGAACTCCAGGAACCTTGTCCTGCCTGGAGGCATCCAAACTTCCAGGGAGGGGAAAGCTCAGGGAAAGGAGCCCTCTTGCATCTCCTCGAGGAAAGTTCAAGCCCCACACAACCCCTTTGAAGACTTTGGTTCTTCTCTAGCATCAAGGGGACACATGATTTGGAGCAGCTTCACCCCAAAGCCCCAAGGTCTGGGAGCACAAATGCTTTGGTTTCCACAGGTTTGAGGTGTGGAAATCAGGTGTGGAAATCATCAGGCTGGGCCTGACGATCCAACGGGAAGGATCGAGGTTCGAGAGCACCACGTGAACCCCAGGGAGGGACTTTCCAGGCAGCCTTTTTGCACCCACTTTTGGTGCTGGGAAAGGAAATGTGGTTTGTGAGGGGCCCTCTCCAACCCTCCCCCTGCAGACCTGCCCTGCTCAGCCCTTGGAAGGGCACTGAATTATCGGGGTCAGCCCCAGCTCGGAGTTAAACTCAATTTAAACTCAGCCCAGGAGCTCTCAGAGCTCCAGTTACAGCTCAGATGGGATGCCAGGCACGGCTCAGCACTGCCAGGCTCAGCACTGCCAGGCTCCAGCACTGCCAGGCTCCAGCACTGGGGAACGTGCGGGATTTTGGGAGCTGTGCCAGGATACAGGACCCAACCCCTCCCTCAGGCCCAGCCCGGCAGGGACCCCACGGGGACCCCCAGCACGAAGAGCTCATCCAGCTGCTCCCAGGGACTAAAAACTGGAGCTCAAGGGGGAAGAGGGGGAGCCAAGAGGAGCCTCCTCCTCATCCCCGGGGCACAGGGAGCCCCCACAGGCAGCCAAGGAACAAGGGACGGGCTCTGCTCGGCGCTTCCTGAGCCCGTTTTGGGTCCCTGGGGGATCTCAGGAAACAAAACCACGTCACCCCTTCCTGGGGCCGGGGGGGTTCGAGTGGCTGCTCTTCGGGTGGGGCTTTTTTTGGGGCTGGTTTTTGTTGTTTTGAAGCTGAGCTGAGCTCAGTTCCTTGCCCCTGACAGGTCCTTGTCCTCAGGCTCTGCTGTGGCTGCGGGGGCCACATTTTATTCCCACCTTCCGTGGGATGCTCCAGGGTGGGATTCCAGACATTCCCAGTATTCCCACCGGCTCCTTGCCCAAAACTCAGCTCCTTCATGTCCATGGTAGATCCTGCTCTGGACACCGAGCTCAGGGGCTGAACTTCCCCTCAATCCCTGTGAACTTCATTAACAAGCAATTAAACCCTGTTTTAAGCAATCAGACCCAACCTAAGTGTCCCTGGTGCAGTTTCACCAGTATTAAAACAAAACCCATGGTATTAAAAGGAGGGAAAAAAAAAACCCAAAGCTCCTGGAAATCTTGGAAATGACAACATGATCCACAGAAAAACGTTGAAAAACTGCTCTGGAAATCCCAAGTCCGAGCAGGACAGAGCAACACACACACCTCAGGCCAACTGTTGCCCTCAGAATTCTTCTTTATTAAGAGCAGAAAGGAAATTTTGCCTTTTAAGTTTTTATACATAAAAAAGTAAACAGTAAAATTTTCTTTTCTTTCTTTTCTTTCTTTCTTCTTTATAGTCTTTTCCCACCAAAGAAAATCGCTTGGAAATAAAGTTGTTTTCTTTTTTTTTTTAGATAACGTTTATTTAAAAAAATAAAATTAATTGAGACAAAGATACCACACTATTTTGCATGCCGGGCACCCCTTTGCCTGCAGAACCCTGTTCAACACGTCCTTTTTTTTTTCTTTCCAGCACAAAAAAACCGCTTTTTTTTTTGCTTTGTTTGTTTGTTTTCCAAATACACAAGCAAAAAAAAAAAAGAAACCCAAACCCAGCCCAGCCTGGGCTCCGACCTGGCAGCGGCTTCAGCCAGTGAGATATCTGGGGGTGTTCTGGGGGTCTGAACCAGCTCAGGTCTGTAGTCAAATGAATTTTGAGTGGACACTAAAGGAGTATTTCACGAGGAGGTGATGAGAGATTAAAACCCAAAGCGAGCTCGTGGCTGCACGGACACTACGTTAGAAACTGGGGGTTAATTTGGAATCGGGGGGGTTACAACGACAGAGCATCATCAACCCTGCATGCTTTGCCCAGGCTTGGAGCCGACAGAGCTGACTACACGGAGAGATGACTACGTGGAATTCCCTGTCCCAGGGCAGGAGACCATCCAGGGAGTGTTACTGAAACCGCAGAGTCAGAGTTAGACAACATTGATTATGAGTATAAATTACTTGGTTCTCGTCGCTGTGCCTCGAGTCTCCTACGCCACCTGGTCGTGCAGCAAAGCAACCCTTTCCTGGTTTTCCCGGAGATTCCCGGTCTCCTAGTGGTGGTTGGAGTGGGAGGGGCAGCCCTGGATGCGGAACACGTGGATGCGGAGGTGGGCGGCGATCTGGGAGCAGACGCTGACGCAGTACCGGAGCAAATCCAGCAGGGACAGCACCTGCGGGACAGCAGCGTCACAGCCCGGCCCCCGGCACTCCCTGGAGATCCTGGAGCCGGGAACGGGACACGCCGCTCCGGCATTCCCGCGGGAACGGGACACGCTCCTCGGCATCCCCACGGGAACGGGACACGCCTGCAGCCTCCGGGATACACCACGGGGCTGCTTTTCATCAACGGGATGTTCCGCTCTGCAGGAACACGCGTGGAATCGCAGACTGGGCTGGAGGGAGCTCAGAGCTCATCCAGGTGGGAAACACCTCAGAGCTCATCCAGGTGGGAAACACCTCAGAGCTCATCCCAGCCCTGCCCGGGCAGGGATCTCCCTCCAGCCCAGGCGGCTCCAGGGTTATCCAGCCCGGCCCTGGACACTCCCAGGGATGGGGAGTCGCTCCATGAAGCGATCCCAGGGATTCTGGGCGTTACTCCAGCCCTGTGACAACACAATTCCAGCCTCTGACTGTCAGGTCTACAGTCAGAGAAGGGAAAAGTCACAGCAGCTCCAGAAATCCTGGGAATGCCCCATTACCTCCACTGTTATTATTATTATTATTATTATAAATATATCAATATAAATATATAATTAACAATGTTGCATATTATTAAAATAATATCATCCAAGCTATTAGTAATACTACTATAATAATTAACATATAGTATAAAAATTATAATTATTTTATAATAAATTAATAAATTTATTAAATACATTTATTAAAAACAATAAACATAAATAATAATGTGGTACTGGATAATAGAATAATAATATCGTTTAATATAATTTAATAATTTAAAAATTTAATAATAATAGTTTAGTGTTATTATCATCATCATCATCCCGAGATATTTCAAGGAATCCAAATTTCTCACTTTTCATGAGATTTTTTTCCCTGGGGAAGGGGGAACTCCCCCCCAATAAATTGTATTAAAAAAAGGAACCAACTAAAAATAAACTAAGAAAAATTAAAATAACCCACAACTGAAGAATATATAATAATATATATATATTATAAAATGAAGAATGAAATTAAGAAGAAAATAAAGAAGTAAAATCGAGGATGAAATGGAGAATAAAATCAAGAGTAAAATGAAGAATAAAGAATAAAATTTTAAAAATAAGATAAAATGAAAAATTAAAACAAAAGAAATGAAAAAAAAAATTTTAAAAGTCACCTGCACCGTGCAGGTGAGCTGAGCACAAGCAACCCCAGTAATTAGTGACAGAAGTAATTAGCCCCCACTCACCAGGGCAATCCAGAGCACGATGTACTCATCGATGAAGCTGTTGAAATACTGGTCCAGGAAGAGCAGGGCTGGGCCAATGAAAGCTGTGTCATAGAAGTGCATCTCACTCTTGGTCATGTGTGCAACCTGCACGGCAGAAAAGAGCTTTTTAAAGGACATTTTAAAGGAGGAGAAAGAGCATTTAAAAAGAGCATTTTAAGCAACAAGGCTGTGGCAGCCAAGGCAGAACACACAGAGGCAAAAGAGCAATCCCAGTTGGAGCCACTGCAGAATATCCAACATTTCAATATGGATTGAACAAACAGTTTTTATGCAGAGCAGAGGGTGCAGCCCCGGGAAAAATCCCAAGGTGTTTCCAGCCTCCTGCCAGGGACAGAGCAGGGCAAGGGGAGCACAAGGTGAAGTGGAATGTTTTTAAGTGGAAAGTCAAATTTTATAAGTTTAGCTGAGCCTGGAAACCAAACTTAAAAGCTGCTGAAGGTTCAAATTGAGAGACTCTTGGTGTTTGTTTCTCTCTCTCCACCTCTTTTTCCCCATTCCATGAGGTCACCATCCCCTTCTGGTGCTTTATTTTTTTTTTTTTTATTATTTTGATGATATTTTGGTGCCCAAGTGTGGTCCTTTCCACCTTTCCCTCCCTGCGCAGATGGACTTCCACTCTCTATCCTCCCTGCACAGCCCGGCTGGAAACTGGGCCTGGGAAGGGATAAACTCTCCTTCCCCCAGGAATTCTGCCCAAAGTGACCCAGAACTGGGAGGGTGTGAGGCAGGGGCTGTTTGTGAGTCCTTTTAACTCCAACTGAGTCATTTTAACCCCAATTTCCCTCCATTTTAATCCCAATTTCCCTGCAGATCTCGGAGTTCGACCCTCAGCAGCTGTCCCAGAGCTGTGGCACCTCCTCTGCCCCTCCCTCCCCTCGAGGGGGTTTCCCCAGCCAGGCTCTTCACCCATCAGCACAAAACCCTCTGCAAGGGTGTGAATAAAGAACTCAGAACCCTCAGCTGCCCCTTCCAACCCAGGAAGGCCCCGCTGCAGCTCCAGCCCCCCCGGATCGCCCCCTCGGTGCTCGCTGGAAGCCCCAGGAAGGTCCCAGCCGTGCCCGAGGTGTCCCAGTCGGGAGGGTCCGGAGCACTCACCACCAGCTTGTTGGTGATTTTGGCCGAGACGAAGCCGAAGGTGAGGATGTAAAGGCAGGGGTGCCTCTCGAAGAGCTGCACGGCGGATTTCTTGTAGATCATGGCAGCCAGGGCGATCACCGAGCCGATGTGCAGGAACGGCGACAGCACACTCGTGCCCTGCGGGGACACGGAGAGCTGGGGACACGGAGAGCTGGGCACGGAGGTAACCGGCCCCTCCGAGCCGGGGACCGGGATAACGATCCTGGAGGAACCGGCAGGGCGGGGAGCACTGGGGGGGGGTGTGCTGCTGGGGGGAATGGTTTGTGCTGCTGGGGGGAATGGTTTGTGCTGCTGGGGGATGGTTTGTGCTCAGGGGGGTCGTTTGTGCTGTTGGGGGGATGATTTGTGCTCCAGGGAGGTGGTTTGTGCTGCTGGGGGATGATTTGTGCTGCTGGGGGATGATTTGTGCTGCTGGGGGGATGATTTGTGCTCAGGGGGTTGGTTTGTGCTCTAGGGGGTGGTTTGTGCTGCTCCAGGGCTGGTTTGTGCTCCAGGGAGCTGGTTTGTGCTCCAGGGCAGGAAAGCAAAGCCCCCGTGGGGCAGCAAAACTCCTGGAGCAGAAGGTGTCTCTGCAGAGGATCTTTCCGCTGCCGAAGGATCGTGCCCAGCTCTGGCAGGGCCAGAACTCCCGGGAACCCTCCTGGGAAGGGACTTCCCACCGGATTTTAACGGGAGCTCCCCGGGGGGGTGTGTGGATGTTTGTATAACCTGGTTTATGTTTTTAACTCAACCCCCAAAAATCAAAATCTGTGACTGCTTTCAGTCACCCATTTTAAAACTCTGACTCCTGAATCTTTTCTTCTTACACACACAATATTAACTTGGGTTTTTTTCCCAAGACAGGAAATGAAGTGAAAGGAAAATGTTTCACCTGGAAGGGGGAGAAATCAAATAAAATAAAACCAAATAAAATAAAACAAAAATAAAATAAAGAAAATAAAAAGTAAAATAAAAAGTAAAATGAAATTAATTAAAATAAAAATAAAAGAGAAAATTAAATTAATTTAAATTTAAAAATAAAATAAACAAAAATTAAATTAAATTAATTAAAATAAAAATAATAAAAATAAAAATGAAAATAATTAAAATACAATAAAAATAAAATAAAAATGAAATTCATTAAAATAAACAAAAAATAAAATTAATTTAATAAAATAAAATTAAAATAAAATAAAAATTATTAAAGTAAAATAAATTAAAGTAAATTTTAAAATCAAATAAAATAAAACAAACAAACAAAGAAATAAAAACTCCACGTGTGGCTGAGGAGGAGGAGGGGTAGGACGAGGTACTCACTGCTATGGTGGAGCCATTTTTGCCAACTCCCCCTGTGAAGATCACTCCAAAGTAGTTGGTGCAGGAGAAGATGGTTCCTGCCACAGTACAGAGAGCTGGGAATATTTTCACCTGGATGTTCAGGATTGGAATCTTCACGGGAGAGAGACAGGGAGTTAACAGATGCCCAAACAAACTCGCTGTGGGGCGAGGATGTCCCGGTGCACCCAAACACTCCACTTGGCCCAAGGTTGTCCTTGCTCTGCTTTGCTAACACAGATCTGAATCCCTCCCAGGCACACAGGGAGGGGAGTTCTCCAAGAATTCCACAACAATCCTTCCCTCCAGCCTCCCACAAAGCCAGGCTTATCTGCAGCACCTGAGAGAGCCCCCAGAGCGGGCCAAGGAACCAGGAATGAGTCCCTGCAGGGACAGAACTGCCCCATTCTCCTCCTGGAGCTGGTTCCAAACTCCCCCTGCCCCAGGACCAAGGGAGGCCCCTCCAGAGCCCTCTGAGCTTTGGGCACGGCCAGGGAAGGGAAGGAGCCCCCAGGAGGCACCTCGGGCTCTTTCACCAGGGCAGGAGGGCTGAGGGGGGCAAGAAGGGGAAAGAAACCCCATTTCCAAAGGTCCCTTCGGGTTTTGAGCTTCCAGCAGAAGAGGAGAAAGGACAGAAAGCAGCCCAAAGAAAACCACAGGAAGCTCATGGAAGGGAGTGTTTGTTGGGAGATAACTGCCCCTGACTGCCCAGCTTTCCCTGGAAAAGCTCCTCCCTCAGGAAGGGCTGAGCTGGAACCCAACACAACGAGGGCCAAAGTCCCTCCTTTGCGTTCAGTTCCCTCTCAGAGCAAACCAGGCAATGTTTGGAGCTGCAAGGATCAAGTCTGATCTCAGGCACCCCAAAATCCCACCCTGAGTGTGTTTTGTCCACACACCCCTTGAACTTGAAGGTCATTCTGGAAGATTTTTGTTGCTCTCTGGGACATTCCACACCTCGCCCTGCTGACCCTTCCAGGGCACAGCTGAGGGAGGGGCAGAGCAGGTTCGACCCTTCCCACTCCCACAGCCCCCCTGGGGGCTCCTGCCCAGCCTGGCACAGCCCTACAACTCTCCAAGGGGGTTTTGTCCTGCTCAGGCTGCCTTTTCAAGGCAAAAAAAGGGAAAGATTTAGAGAAAAAATAAAGGCAAATGAAGCAAAAGGCTGAGTGGCCACGGCCTGGGGCATCCCTCCCTCCTGCCAGGAGGGTCAGGACTTCTCTCCTCAACCTTCCAAAAGCAGGTCCTTCTGCTCAGAAATGGAACTTTGGTATTTAAAGGACGGGGTGAAATGGCTTTCACCAGCAGAAAAAAACACTAACAAGCTCCAAGCAGGAGTCAAAAGACATTAAAGTTGACATTTCCCCAAGACAAGTGGAAAAAGAACTCCCAGACTCGGCTAAAAGCACAGAGAAAGGTCCTGAGGGAAGGACAGGAGGGGGAAATCACACCTAAAACACCCAATTTCAGCCAGTTCTGCTTCATTAACACCCTCCTTTCTGCTTCCAGGGACAGGGTTGAGAGTGCAGAAATAATTAATCATTAACCATTAATGAGGAACAGCCACAGCCTGGAAACTGGGAGAGGGATAAAAAGCTGCTAAATGGGGACAAAGTGGAAGCAGCAAAATCAAGGAAATATGGGATTATTTTCATTTTTTCCCTCTGGAATGTTCCTACAAAATGGAATTGCAGCCCCTGGATGTGAAGTCAGGGAACCCCTTGGCTGTTATTCCATAGATCTCTGCAGCCCATGGAATTATTCTGACCCTCCTGGGGATTGGGTTCAGCTGAAGTCAGATCCACGTGGAACTTCCCAAAAACCAGGAATTCAGCCAGAGGTTTTCCAGGGAACTCCCACTCTGTGTCCAACCCTCTGGGACTCCAGGGAGCTCCTGGATCCAGTGACATCCTGGGAAAGCAGCATTCCAGCTGGGAGCAGCCTGGGATGGTGGGAGGTGTCCCTGCCCAGGGCAGGGCTGGGACTGGATGGGATATAAGGTCCCTCCAACCCAAACCATTCCAGGATTCCACAATTCCAAGGTTTGGTTGGGAAAATCCAGGCGTGTCCCCAGAAAGAAGTGGCAGCAGGAACAGAACAGTCGGGAGGGGTTGGGAGAACCTGAATTAAAGCAGGTCTGGGAGACTCTGCCAGAAAATCCAAGCCAGGAATTCCAGAGTCGATGCCATCAGAGTTTTCGGATTTCAAACCTAAAATAATGAGGAAATGGGCAGGGAAAGAGCCCAGCTGAGGGTTCATGGAAGCAGCAGGAGGGGGTGGAAGAGAGCCCTGGAACATGGAGCTGCCTAAGGAACAACAACTTCCAGCCTCGCATTCCCGAATTCCTGGTGCTTTTGGTGGCACTGTGGGAGAAAATCCCGGGAACTGCAGGACTTTCCCTGCTTCCAACAGGAAAATAAATCAATATATGGAATATAAACTACATGATCCATGGATTAAACAAGTCACCCTCAACTCCCTCCCTTCGTTCCCATCTTCCCAGGGATCCCAAACTCACCGTCTGCCGGGAATGCTCCAGCTCCAGGAGTGCTTAAAAGGGAATTTTTAGGGACTGAAAGGAGGGAGCCAGGACAGGGCCCCCCAGTTTTATGGGAGAAAAGGGAATGAATGAAAGCAGCAATTCCCCAAATCCTGCATTTTTCCCTGTCTGCATTCCCTGGACAAAGTGGAATGTTTGAGTGCACTCTGATCCCCTTATCCCACCCCCCAAAACCAAAGCAAATCAAAACTCCCACCCTCAAATCCCAAATCCCCCCAGATACTCCAGGGTTAGGAATGTTGCTGGGATTAGTGATTAATAATAATTATAATTAAAAGAATAAAGCCCATAAAGTGCCAGCTGACATGGCCTGGAGAGCCCACAGCCATATATCTATATATTATATATTTCTAGAGATAGGAAAATACAGCTATAAAAGAGGTATTAAAACATATATAAAATAGATGTAAAATTTGGTATAAAATAGGTGTAACAGACATAAATATTGATATAAATATAGATTTAAATATAGATCTAAATCTAGAAATAAATATAGAAATATATAGATAATATATATAGAAATAAATCTAGAAATAAATATAGAAATATATAGATAATATATATGGAAATATATAGATTATATATATAGAAATAAATATAGAAATATAGAAATATATAGATAAAATATAGAAATATAGAAATATAGAAATATATAGATAAAATATATAAATATATAGATATAAATATGTATATAAATCAAAGACTCATTTGATCATTTAATCCCAGTTTAAAAGGGGAAAAAAATGACAATTTGGTGGGTTTTTTTCCCCCCACATAAATCAGTCCTCAGCCCCAGCCAGGCCAAATCATCCCCAAATCCTCATCCCAATTTGATGCTCCTCCACTGCCCAAAATCCATGGGGGTTTTCCTATGGAAATTTGGGCAATATTTGATGGTTTTCAAGGTGTAAATAACCTTTTTTTTTTAAATTTTTTAATTCCAAAATTCCCATTTGGGAGGGGAAAATCTCCCCAGATCAAACCCTGCAGGGAATTCCTCCAGGGCAGAGACAAAACCAAACCAAGGAAGGATAAAGGGATAAGAAGAGGAGCAGAAGGAATTACCAGAGATTGCCAAAAAGGAGGTCCTCCAATCACTGCCAGCAAGTGCATGATTATTATGAAGATTTGCACTTCAGTCACATCAATTCTGATTAGGCACAAAAAAAGCCAAAAAAAGCGGGTTATTTATTGCGGGCTGGGGAGCAGCTCCAGGCTCAGCAGCTCTGCCAGGCACCCCAAAACACCCCCAGGACAGCTTGGAACCTTCCCCACCGGAAAAATGGGATTTATCAGAGGTGGGCACATCCCAGCAGGTGCTTTATGTGCCTCTTATTCCCTGCCCTATCCCTAAAATATGGGAATTTATATCCAACGCTCCGCTTTGAAAAGAAACACAAATCCCTGCAGAGCTGGAATGGGAAAGGTCGGAACCAGGAGGGAGAAATCCAGGGTGGGAGTGGAAAACGGGAAGAAAAGAGGGAATTTATGGGTTGGTTTTTTTAAGGCTTGGAGGAAGAAAGAGGGAAAAATGAGGGGGTGCAAATGGATAGAGGGAAATGGAAATGGAAAAAATAAAGAGAAATAAATAGGAAAAAAAACAGGGAAAGGATAATAAGTTGTAAGAAAATAAAGAATAAAAATAAGAAATAAAATAATAAAATTAAAAATTAAAAATAGAAAATGAATATATTAACATATAGTTAATATAGAGATAATAAAATAAATAGTAAAATAACAATGAATAAATAATAAAATGAAGGAATAATCAATAGAGAAATACAAATAAATAAAAAATAAAGAGAGGTAAAGAAACAGGGGAAACGAGGAGGATGGACTTGCTAGTGTGTTATATATATGATATATTCTATATATTGTTGTACTATGTATATAATTGCATATATATTATATATAAATTGTTGTGATGTATATATATGTAATGTATATAAAGTGTATTAAATATATAACATTATATAATATATATTATATATATAATGGTATTATATTATACACATTATTTGTGTATACATAACATATATATGTATAATACAATACCATTGTATATATTACATATATAATGTTATGTATTTTATATACTTTATATATATAATTTGTGATTCTGTGGACACATAAATAAAGTATGTTATTTGTATAACATATGGCCATAATATATAATATAAATATCAAATACAGGCTGTAAAATTATGAATATATACAAATATATTTTAATATAATATATTCATATTTTATATATTATATTATAAATAATATCTATAAATTTTATATATTTATATATTTATATAATATAAATATATAAAATATAAAAATATGGCCTAAATGAAATATATATAAATATACTCTAATATATTACACTATTTTATATATTCACAAAATATGCCATTTTTTTCCCTGTTGCCTTAAAATGCCCCCCGAGCCCCTGGAATTGTCTCAGTACCAGCTCAGGTTTGGAGGTTTTGGAAGTGGATCCTCCTTTGGGGACCCCCAGCCTGGCCCAGATCTGGGGTTGTGGCCCCGCTGCTTTGGGGTGGCCGCAGGAGCAGGGACAGCCCCCAATCCCACAGGGAATTCCCCAGGCAGGGAACAGGGATGGGGCTGTTTGAGCCCCCCCATTGTCCCGTGGGTTCTCCAAGTGCTGGGAAAGCTCCATGTCCATCCCACACACTGGGATCCTGGAGTCCTGGAATGTTGGGATCCTGGAATCCCAGAGTGCTGGGGTTGGAGGCACCTTAAGGATCCTTTGATCCCCCCTGCCCTGGCAGGGACATCTCCCACCATCCCAGGAGGCTCCCCTGGCCTGGGGCATCCTCTGGGAATTCCATCCCAGCCCTCCCAGCCTGGAATTCCTTCCCTCTAGAAAGACATGGAAAGGAATCTCTCATTTCAGTGGAATCTGCTCCAAATTCTCCTCCAACAGCTCTGGCTCAACTTTCCCAGTTAGGAGAAGAATCCAGGGATCCTGCCCAGGGCAGGGCTGGCACTGGATGGGATTTGAGGTGCCTTCCCACCCAGTCCAGCCCGGGATTCCAGGATTCCAGAGCCCCTCTGCTCTGGAGCCGGGCTGGGAGAGCTGGGAATGTTCCCCTGGAGAAGGAGGGACAGGGAACGGCTTCCCAGGGACAACTGGGAGATTGGGAAGCAATTCCAGGGTGGGGAGGGGCTTTTTTAAATTCAGGGCATTTCTGGCACCTGATCCCTCCAGGTGATTGATATTATTATTTCTAAAATAATAATACTATTTAATCATGTTCTCTGTAAATAATATTAAATGTGTAAATAACGTTAAATGTTATAATGATGGTGGGGATGAGGAGAAGAAGAAGAATAAAGAGGAAAATGAAGGGGAAAAGAAGAATAAAAGAAAAATAAAAGAAGAATAAAATAAAAGAAGAATTAAATTAAATTAAATTAAAATGAAAGCCAAACAGTTCTTGTTTCTGGTGGGAAAGTGTTGAAATGGCAGCAACAAGAAAGTTCCTCCAACTTTCCACAGTTCCAACCTGATTCCATTCCCACCCTCAGAGATTCTCCTGCTCGGCTTTGAGGGGAAGCCAAAACTGGGATAAAACAGAGAGGAATCTTTAAATCATCTTTTTGTGTTGAACAGGCAGCTTTTGAGTAAGAAACCAACTGAAATATCTAAAAATAGGTAAAAATATACTTTTTTTTTCAGTTAATTTAATTTTTTTCCTGCTGATTTTTTTAATATTTAAAAAAGTATTTTTAAAAATATATTTTTCCAGTTAATTTGAATTTTTCCCTGCTCGTTTTTTCTCCTTGTGCTATCCATCGAATATTTAAATATTTATTATAAAGTAGTATATGCAATAATAATTATTAATATACAATATATTATTGTATATCATTTATATTATATATATTATTATATATCATGTATATAAATATTATATATTATACAGTGTTAACATAATAATATAATATATTATGTATTTTATAATTATATATAATTATATAAATTATATATAATTATGTATATAATTACATAAAATATAGTACATGTATAATATATAATACAATAAATAATTATATATATTGTAATATTTCTATATATTATATATAAAAACACATAAGGCAAAACTGCGATAAAGAGGAATATTTAAATCTTTTTGTGTCGAGCAAGCAGCTTTTCAGTAAAAAACCAACCCAAATATATAAAAAAAAAAATTTAAACCAATACATTTTTTCCAGTTAATTTGAATTTTTTCCCACCTGTTTTTTAATATCTTTAAAAAATTTTTAAAACTACTTTTTTTCAAGTTAATTTGAATTTTTCCCTGCTGGTTTTTTAATATTTAAAATGATATTTGTAAAAATGCGTTTTTCCAGTGGATTGGGATTTTTCCCTGCTGGTTTTTTTTCCAGTGGGTTGGAATTTCCCCCTTCCCAGGGTTGGTGTCACAGAGCAGGTGACACCAGAAAAAGCTGGGAAATCCCCAAAAAAGGGATTTTTGGTGGGGTTTTTGATGCCTGACAAAGGTGCTGTCCCCGCTCGGGCACATCCCGGGAATGTTTTACCGTGTAATTCCAGACCCAGGGTCCCAGAATTCCCGAGAGCAGCTGGATGGCCACAGTGCAGAGCACGGACTCTGTCACATCGAATCTACACGCGGAGAGACACCCTGAGAGCCCAGCTGGGCATTCCCGGGATCTGTGATCCCAAAATCCACCCACACGGGGCCAGTGACCCCAATTAACCACAGGGAACGGGGGTCACACCTGAGAGCCCGCCTGAGTATTCCCAAATCCCAAAATCCACCCACACAGGGCCAGTGACCCCAGTTAACCACAGGGAACAGGAATGGGGGTGACACCTGAGAGCCCACCCGGGCATTCCCAGGATCTGTGATCCTAAAATCCACCCACACAGAGCCAGTGACCCCAATAAACCAAAGGGAACGGGGGTCACCCCTGAGAGCCCACCCGGAGCATTCCCAGGATCCACAATCCCAAAATCCATCCACACCAGTGTCAATGACTCAAATAAACCAAAGAGAATGGGGAATTCCCAGGATCCACAATCCCAAAATCCACCCAAACAGGGTCAACGACCCAAATAAACCAAAGGGAATGGGGAATTCCCAGGATCTGGGATCCCCAAATCCATCCACACCAGTGTCAATGACCCCAGTAAGCCAAAGGGAGCGGGGGTTACACCTGAGAGCCCGCCCAGAGCATTCCCGGGATCCAGGATCCCAAAATCCACCCACACAGGGTCAGTGACCCCAATTAACCAAAAGGAAGGGGAATGGGAAGGGGGTTTTCCAGCTGGGAATGTTCCCAGAGCTGTGGGAATGCAGGGGCTGAGCCAAAACGTGAGGGGGAAATGAGGGAAGGGAGTGAAATTCCTTGCTTGGAAACAAACAGGTGTCATAAGGAATAATAAATAATAATAAATACTAAATAAATATTAAATAGATACTAAATACTAAATAATTACCATTTAAATAATAATAAATACTAAATAAATAATAACTAAATACTAAATAACTAAATAACTAATAAATAAAAATAATTACAATTTAAATAATAATAATAACTACATTAAAATAAATTAAGAATAACTATATAAAAGTAATAATTAGAATTAAATAAAAAAGAAATAATAAACAAATCCTAAATAAATCATTAAAATGTCATAAACCAGCACATAAAATGCAGATAAAATCCATCCCTCTGTCAGCCCAACAGCAGGGCATGAACAGAGATGGAAAATCACCCACATCCCTCAATTTATAAAGAAATAAATTTATAAATAAAGGTGTGTTTAAAATATCTGCAAATAAAGTGATAACCAAATGTGCTTTAAATATTTATAAATACATTTATAAATAAAAAGTATGAAAAAAAAGGATAGAAATAAATTCAGAAATAAAAATGTATATTTAAAATATTCGGAAATAAATAAATTTATAAATAAATATGTCTTTAAAGTATTTCAAAATTTATAAATGAAATTATGAAAATAAAGAATATAAATTTACAAATAAAATCTATACCTTCAAACTACTTGTAAATTTATAAATAAATCTATTTAAATATTTATAAATAAATTTATAAATAAAAATATGAACATTAAATACTATAATTTATAAATAAATCTATATATTTAAGATATTTGTAAAGAAATTTATAACTAAAACACATTTGAAATATCTATAAATAAATTTGTAAATAAAATATTTTAAAAGTGGTATAAAAAAATAATATAATAAAACCTATATAATTAAAAGCTTCATAAATTTACAAATTAAATACACATTTAAAATATGTATAAAGAAATGTATAAATAACATATGAAAATAAATATTATCAATAAATTTATCAATAAATATCTTTAAAATCTTTATATCATCTTTATATAAAATCTTTACAAATAAATAAATTTATAATTAAAAGATAGAAAATAAATAAATTTATAAATAAACAATATAAATACATTTATGAATAAACCCATACACCTCCTGGATCCAACTGGGATAAGCCTGGACCTGGAAAACCAGAGTGATCCCAGCTGGGCTCCAGGGAAGGGCAGGAAAATTCCCTGCAGGATTTGGGCACCGCATTCCCCAACGCTCTGGAGAGCCTCAAACATTCCCTGGAGCTCCTGCCCTGGATCCAGGACTGGGATAAGGCAGGAATGCCCATCCTGGAGAGCCTCAAACATTCCCTGGAGCTCCTGCCCTGGATCCAGGACTGGGATAAGGCAGGAATGCCCATCCTGGAGAGCCTCAAGCTAAAGGCACAGTTCCTAAAGCATCAGATCTGCTCCCACAGGGAATTGCAGCGGCATTTCTGGGATGTGCAGGAGAACATTCCCTGTTTCCCAAGCACAGCTGACCCCACTCAGGACAAGCTCAAATCCACAACCCCCAGGAAGCAGATCCCGTGCTGGAAACCAGGAGAACCAAACGTGGGGCTGCTCCAACGTGGAATCCCCTCCTGCAGTTCAGAATCCCTTTTTCCCTTCCCCAGACGGGAATTCCTGCTCTTCCACCAGCCCATTCCCACTCCAGGTGTTTGTTTTTAAACAAAGCTCCATCCTCCTCATCCCCTGCTGGGTTGATTGTCCTGACCTTTCCTGCCCCCCTGGCCTGGAGACACTTCCTGCTCCCTCCTGGGGAATTCCAGAGCAGCACTGACCTCTGGCTGTTCCCTGGAGCTGCTCCACCAGCTCCAGCTGCTCTCTGAGGAGCTCATTCCCTGCCCAGATCCAGCAGAACTCTGGGATCACGTTATCCATCCCACCAGCTGATGTTCCAGACCCTGCAGCAGCTCCGGGATGTCCCTGGGGGGATGGGATCTGTTCTTCCCAGGGAGAAGGGGAAGATCCAGCAGTTTGATGGATTCAATAACTGGGCACAATTAAAGGGATTTCCTCCTCCACCTGCAGGATTTGGTGGGAATTCCACAGGAGTGATCCCATTTTCCCTCCTCCCTCGGGGTGAGCTCTGCTCAGCTCCAGGGCAGGGACAGCAGAGGGAATCATGGATTGGGCCCAGGGAGCCTTTCTTGGCACAGCCTGGAATTCTCTGCTCCCAGGGAACACCCCACAGAGCTGGAGGAGTTCTCCACACACGATTATTGTTGGACACAAAGTGCTTTTTGTGCCACTCTTGGAAGCTTTTGGATTAGGAGAAAACCCCAGGGCATTGGGGATGGCTGGGAATTCTGGTCAGGATTCCTGGGGATTCAACACCCCCATCCCGATTTCCTTTGGAGGAGGAGAATAATAATAATAAAAATATACAAATATATAACTAGAAAATAAAATTTATAAAATAAATATGATTCAACGACTACAATGTGAATAAATATATTAATATATAAAATTATTATTATTATTCCCCACACAGAAATGAGCCCACCCTTCACCTGACACAATAACTTGTCTTTCCCTATTTTTTTAGGGCTTTTCCCCCAGGCCAAGGTGCTCCTCCACTTCCCACTCCAGGCCTGAGCTGCAGAAGGGCTGACACCTTCTCCCTCTCCCTCTGCTCTCCCCCAACTCCCTTACCCAGTTCTCTCTGCATTGAAATACAATTTCTTGGCCATCATCCCACCGTATTTTATGTTTATATATATTATATTTTTATACTTTATAGTGTATATTCATATACTTTATATTTATATATAATTTATATTTTATATTTTAAAGTGTATATTTAAATATTTTATCAATTGTTTTATATTTTATATTTATATATTATATTTTATATGGTTTGTATTTATATTTATATTTTATATTTTACATTATATTTATAATCTATTACATTATTTACAATATGTTTTAGTTTATATTATAAGGCTGATCTGCCCCCAAAATCCTGACCCTCCCAACAACCAAGTCCCAAAGTCAAGCACATGCCAAGGTTGGGGGTTGTTTGTTGTGTTCTTTGCTCAAGAACCAGAAATTTTGGATTATCAGGGCCCTGGGAAGTTCCCAGGGAGCCAAAAGCACTCAGACCTTTGGCACTGGCTCAAAGTGAGACCCTAAACCAGGAGAAACTTGGAAATCTTATTGGAAAGATTTCAGCACCAGGAGAGAACATTCCAGGCAATCTGCCCTGGTGGAACCAGGGGTGGAACAGAAATGGGACAGAAACCCGGATTTTTCATTTCCTTCCTCCAACACACACTGAAACCTCTGCAAGCTCTGCAGGTTTGGAGCAGAACCCCACATTCCTCAGGACAATTTACCCTCTCCAAGCAGTTCCTGCCAGTAAAAGCTGCTCTAGACAAGAGGGGTTTTTTGGGCTGGTTTAGCAGCATCTGGGTACCCCCAACCCCTCCTGGGACACTGCCAATAACTCTGTCAGACCCCGGGGTGGGGCTGCTGCAGAACTGTTCCCAAATCCCACAAACTGAGGGCAGATTCCATTTTCCAGCTGCCAACCCCCCATCCTGCAGCATATTTATGTGGAATGTATTTGTTAACCCCCCGGATGCAAACAGGGAATAAATTCTCAATACTAAATGCACTGATTTCCCCACTGACCCAGAGAATCCTTGTGTTCCACCTCCCACCCCGCAGGAAAAGGGGATTTCAGCTCTTCACTTCCTTGGCATTGCACTGTTCATTCCATTATTGACAGAATTCTCATTCCATAGTAACAGAATTCTCATTCCATTATTGACAGAATTCTCATTCCATCATTAACACAATCACAGCCTGCACCAACCAGAAGGGGTCCAGGACTTCCAGATGGAGGCACAATATCAGTTATTCCCGAGAATTTGAGGAGTTTTGGCTCATAACAAAGATTAACTGCACATCACCAGCAACACCAAGGATGAACTGAGTGCTAAAGCCACACTGCCACCACCTGACCAAACAGCAGCTACTTCCCATTATTCCCTCAGCTTTAAATCCCGGGGAAAAGCTCCTATAATTGACTACCAGGACAAGGGGAGGCTTCACGAGCAGCACCCGGGATAAATCCCAGCAACTGCCATGAGCTCTGGGGGCGTCCCCACCAGCACATGGGGTTTTCTACAGCTCTGAGGGGTGAATGTGGGCACAGGAGGCACAGGCTGGGCGAGGGGAGCAGGCCAAGGGGCAGTTTGTGCCAGGCCTGGCTGGCAGGGGGTACTTACATCCCGAAGCGCAGCGTTCCCGAGACGTAGGTCTGCCAGTGAGCGCAGTAAAACATGAATGTCCCAGCAAAACAACAAAAGAACATCCAGTCAGGGTTGGTGCCCAGCTGCACAGCAATACAAGTTCCCAAAACCACAAAGACTGCAGGAGAAAATCAGTCACTCAGTGAGAAGGGAGAGTGGGACACGGGGGTCAAGATCCTCAGCAGAAGCAAAGCTACAAACAGGGCTTGGGGGTGTTGTCCTTGGGGGGGAGGGGTGTGCACAAAATACCTCAATTTTAAACAATTAAAACTCAAAATGTGTATTTCAATGCCTAGCAGTAATTACAAGTCTGCAGTACTGAGGGTTCCTTGGTCTCCTACGGTTTTATTCCACTAAATGGTCCCATGGAGGGACTCGAGTGGTTTGGGCCAGCCTGGGGTTTTCTCCTGTATCCAAGATTTGCTGGACACTTTTCCCCCCCATTTCCTGATTTATGAAATCCCAGGTCTGTCATTCAGGATTCCAAATGGATCTGTGCTTTCCCCTCCACATTTTCACACACGACTTTGATAAAGAATTCCTAAAATTTTAAAGCTTTAGGATTTCAGGAGCCCAAACCACCTGACGAGGAGCTGGACTCTGTGATCCCTGGGGAACCTTTCCAACTCAGGATATTCGAGGATTTTTTTGCAATGGGGTTAAAGTTCAGGCTGGCTCGGTGCCCTCCACCTCCCCAGGAACCGATCTGCTTGATTTTAATCTTAATTTTAATTCTAATCTTTTAATCTTAAACTCAAGACTTGCAGAGTCCCAGAGCTTGGGCTTCGACCCTGCCTAGAGAGTCACCCTAAAATAACACCCCAGAGAGTTCTGGCAGCTCCTCACAGACAGTGTTTCAGAGCCAAGACTCTGCTGAACCACCCCAGAAAAGTGCTGGCTCAGGCTGAACCAGCCACATGCTTCATTTTGCTTTCAGTGTAACACCAGAGGAGACAGTTCAGCTGCTCCAGGGTGCAAAGAAAGGTGACTTTCTGAGTTGAAAAATGAGCCTTTCACTCCTGTATTCAGTAAAAAAAAAAGCCTTTTTTTTTTTTTTTTTTTTTGGCATTGCAGATTTAATCCCTGAAATAAGAGTCACTGAAGCCTCCGAGTTCAATTTAAAATAACAGCAATACCTGTGGACAGAGAGTCACAGCCATGGTCAAAGAGCTCTCCCAGGGGAGTGCTGCTGTTTGTCCTTCTGGCTTGTTTCCCATCTATGGCATCCAGGGACTGGTAGATGAAAAGGCCACAAGCACAAGCAATGTATGCCCAGGGAGGTGCCTGAGAGGGAAAGGAAAGGACAGCAAAGGTGATTTTTGGAGCTCTCCAGGAGCAGCCCTGCAGCTGCCCAGTCCCACAGGCTGACACAGCACTTTCCCCTGGCACTTCCACGTCACCAGAGCCCCGTGAGGACAAGCAGGGCTGGGGCATGTGGAATGTAAATAGAGCAGGGCCAGAATTCCAGCCTGGATCAGCTCCAGCCTCGTGCTGGAGGCAGCTGCAGTAAAACACAGCCCCACATGTGCAGAGTGTGAGCAGGGATTTGGACACCCAGCAGCTTTCAGGCCCCCAGCCCTGAGCTCCCCCACCCAGGGACATCCCAGCGGTGTCACCGCCCACGCTGCCAGCTCTGATGACACCTCTGGTGGCCTCCAGCTCCAGCCCCGCCAAGGAGAGGCACCTGAAGGCCCTGAGCAGCCCCTCCTGGGGAGCAGATTGATCTTCACACAGAGCCAAAACACTCCATCTGAAGGGGTTTTTGTGCTTTTGGAGCAGAGCCCATAAACGCCAGAGCTGCCACCCCTCTGGCTCAGCTGCCACTGCCATCAATCAGCAATGACTGCCTGCTCTGCAGCCTTCCCACCCGACACACACGGGCCTTTAGGAGCAGCTGTGCCTTCCAGAGCACACCAATAAAGTGCAGGGCAGTGCAACCACCCCAAGCTGCCCCTCCCAAAGCCCCGAGTCCAGCTCAGTGAGGCTGACACAGCCGTGACTCACATCAACTTCCACTCACTCCCCTGTGCAGCTCCCACTGCTCCTGAGTGCCCCAAACCCTTCACTCTGCCCCAGAGGCTGCTCTGCTCTCAGCACTTTGTACGAGCAGCACAAGGGGGGAGAGAAAACCACATTTCCCAAGGTTTTGATGCCACGGAATTCCAGCCCATGGTGTTATTTTTATTCCTCATTTCCAGGTTTTATACCCCACGTTTAATTACCTGCAGGGTGATGGAATTTTTCCCTACAATCCCCCCCTAGAAAAAAAAAAAATTCCCTCTACTGGCTCCTCTCTCTACTTTCATTAGCAGTGTAGGTGTTTCCACGGAGAGGTTATTTATATCTGGGGGAAGATTTCACAGCTCCCTCTCTTACTCAGAGCTTTTTTCCTTTTTTTTTTTTTTTTAAAAAGAAAAACAATTCATCACTCAGCACTTTGCCAGTTGGGTCCTCCCAGCTCAGCAGGAAGGATTTGCATCTCCTTTTCTCTCCAGCTCAGCTCCCCTGGCTACACCTTTCACCAGCAGGAAGAGACAAGTCACTCTCGGAGGAAACCAAGGGGAAAGAAAAGCAAAACTAAGGCTGAGCTACAAGGAAGAGAAAATTTACATCTGAAAGCAAAAGTGCTTTGGGGGAGGAGGGGAAAAAAAACCAAAACCAAGCGAGTGTTGGTGGAGTTTCAAAGCCTCGTTTTCTTCCCCAGGCACATCCCTGACACTTCAAAGGCACCTGCTGGGCCATGTGGCAAACTGGATCAGGCCAAGAGCTGCCTCAGCACCCACGGACTCTGCACCCAGGGATTCTGCACCCAGGGCAGAGGCAGATCTCACTCACCTCACCCAGAGCTGCTCCCCAAGTGCTGGACACCCAGCACTGCTTCGACACAGCTCCCTGTGACACAGCTCAGTGTGATACAGCTCTGATACAGCTCATTCTGATACAGCTCACTCTCAAAGCTCACTCTCACAGCCCTCACTCCCTCACTCCAATTTCTGCGGCTCTGAGAGCAGCTTCTTTTGTGCTTCCGGAGTTCAATCACCAACCAAAAAAACACCCAAACCCCTACATTTATTCACTTCTGCTCTGGGTCAGTGCCCCAAATGTCCTGAGACAGCTGAAGTCTCTCTGTCAAAGCACACTTCAGAGTCTGAGCCCCCAAATAACCCTGGAACAAACCCCTAGGTAGAGCCACCCCACCCCACAGAGCCTGGACAAGGAGCTGCTCCGAGTGCTCCCTGCTCGAACTGTTTACCCTCCACCTGCCAAATTCCACCAGTTGTTGTGAAATTATCTATTTCAACAGATTTCCAGGACAGGCAAACAGCCCTGTCACCCAGGGAGCAGGGATGTGCCATCCTATGTGGGGTTTGGAGCCTGGCTGGGAACAAACTGTGCTGCTCCATCCCTGACCTCAGCCGGGACACTGGGACAGCAGAGTGCAGATAAAGCTGGAAATCTGAGGCATTCCCAGCTTTTTGGTGTGTAACACACCCCCTTTCCCACTGCAGCTTTGAAGATTCCATGTTCATGTGGAAAAAAAAAAAAAAACAAATCTTCCCAGTGCACGAAAATGGGAGTTTTCAAGTGCAAGAGAAAAGCCTTTGAAAGGAGGAACTTGGAAATGGCTCCTGAAGATTCCTGGGGCCCTGAGGGCAGGTCAGGAGCTCTTGGTGCCTTCAGAACAAAGAATAAACCTCCTGACTTTGATCCAGCCTCTCCCAGCAGGGACACAGCCCAGGAACACAACCCTGTGTACCCCACCTGCACCAGAGCCCGAGCTGAGCTCAGAGCCAGGGCTTAGTGGGAAGATTTCAGTCCCAGGACAGAACAGTTCCACTCAATCTGCCTTAGAGCAGTGAAAGGTAGAACTGAAAGCTGCATTTTTAATTTTCTTCCTCCAACACACACTGAAAACTGCTCCAAACTCTGAAAGTTTGGAGCAGAAACACAAATTTCTCATGAGTCTGTGCTATCAAAGCAGTTCCTGCTGATAAAAGCTGCTCTAGACAAGAGGCCCATTTTTGTACTGGTTTAGCAGCATCTGGGTACCCACAAATCACTAATGATAAACTGTAAATAACACTGTCAGACTCTTGTGTGGGGCTGCTGTAGAATTGTTTCCAAATCCCACAAACTGAGGGCAGGTTTCAGTTTCCAGCTGTGAAAGGTTTGAAAGATTTGGGTATCAGGACAGAACAGATGCAGTCAATCTGCCCTGGTGGAACGAGGGGTACAAGAGAAATCTGGATCTTTCATTTTCTTCCTCCAACACACACTGAGAAGTGCTCCAAAGGCTGACATTCTGGAGCAGGAACACAAGTTTCTCAAGAGAATCTGCACTATCAAAGTAGAATCTGGATTTCTAATCCTCTTCCTCCAGTTCCTGTCAGACCCTGCTCCACAGGGGTATGTTGGCTTGAGGAGCTGCTGTCCCACCCCAAACACACCCCCCAAACCCCATCCCCAGAAATCTGGGATTATCAGGGCCCTGTGAGCTTCAGAGGGAGCCAAAAGCACTCAGACCTTTGGTGCAGGATCAAAGTGAGACCCTAAACCAGGAAAACCTTGGAGCAAAGTGTCTTATGGGAGAGATTTCAGTCCCAGGACAGAGCATTCCAGTCAATCTGCCTCGGTGGAATGAGGGGTAGAACAGAAACCTGGATTTTTAATCCTCTGACAGCTGGTTCTGTCAGACCCTGCTCACACAGCTGTGGCCTGAGGAGCTGCTGTGCCACCCCAAAACCCACCCCAGAGGGGCACCAAGATTTACAGAGAACAGGATAAAAGTACAAAAACTGTGGGCTGGCCCAGCAAGAGAGCGGGAACCCACCCAAACCCAGGGCCAGAAGAGCAGCAACCCACCCAAACCCAGGGCCAGGAGAGCAGGAACCCAACCAAACTCAGGGCCAGGAGAGCAGGAACTCAACCAAACCCAGGGCCAGGAGAGCAGGAACTCAACCAAACCCAGGGCCAGGAGAGCAGGAACTCAACCAAACAGTGCCAGGACAGCAGGAACCCACCCAAACCCAATGCCAGGACAGCAGCAACCCACCCAAAATCAGTGCCAGGAGAGCAGGAACCCACCCAAACCCAGTGCCACATGCCAGGAGGTGCCACCAACCCCAACCCAACCCCAACCCAAACCCAACCCAGACCCAGTGGCCACTGCCAGGAGGTGCCACCACCCCCCCAATTGCTCCAGAGGTGCCCAGCTGACCTGCTCCGTGGCTGTGGGGCAGTAGCACACCAGGAGCAGGGTCGTGGAGATGTTGATGAACAGCCCGACGATGGTGATGAGGTTGGGGGCGATCCAGGCGGGCACCCTGCCCACCAGCCATTCCCAGTAGCCCTGCATGAGGGGCTCGAGCAGGGAGCGGCCGGCGCTCTGGTACTTGTGCTCCTCCAGCCGTTTGAGCTGGTGCTTGCTCAGGGGGGGCGTGGGCAGCTGCACCAGCTTGCTGAGCACGCAGCCCCCGCCGGGGCCGTGCCCGCAGCCCCACGGGGCCTCCGGCGGGGCCTCCCCACAGCGCCGCTTGGCGCCCCGGTGCCCGCTCATGGCCTAGCGGGTGTGCTCGGGCAGCAAGGAGCCGGGCTGGACAACCATAAATCCTGCAAGAGGGAGAGAGGGGTGGCAGAGACCGCCTGGAGAAAAGGCACAGCTTGGGGGGGGTGATGGAGCTCAACAGGATCATCCCAGGCCCACGGGGTGAGTTTTGGGGATGGGCAGGGCTGAGAGCTGGACCCCCTGAGCCTTGGAGGTGCCTCCCACCTCAGCACGTTCTGGGTGTGACACTCGAGCACCCAAACGAGGTTTGAGGGTATCTCAAGTTGGCAGGAGCTCAACAAGTTGAGGAGCCCCCAGCAAACCAGGGCGACTCCCTTAAAAAGCAAAGTTTTTTGGAGAGGTGCTGAGGGAAATGTGAGAAATGAGTGTACAAAATCAGCTGTAAAATGATGCTAAGCTGCACCTTTACTCTCCTCACTGCCTTCTGGGGCAAATACCCTGCAGCCACCAGCCAAAATTTGTATTTATACATATAAATACAGGTATAATTTCTACTATCACCAGCTTTCCATTAAGAAAGCTTGGACTAAACCAGAGAGTGCAATAACTCACAGGAGAAATGCTGGAGACCACAGTGCAGCAGCACCCTCGTGTCTCTGGGTGCACCTTGGTGAGTCCCCAGGGCCCCCTGAGCACTTCAAATGTGATTTAGCACTTCCAGGAACACCCCAGAGCAGTGATTTGTGTCACTGCCAGTCCCTCACACCTCTCACACCACTCAGGTTATCAACTGATGGCTCCAAGTTTACCCAAATTTATCCAAACCCCGCCAAGTCTGAAGTTAAACTGGCTTGGAGCAGCTCTGTCTCCTTGGTGATGCTGAACAGCCACCTAAAAACAGTGATGAGCTTTTTTTTTTTTTTTTTCCAGGTTTATGTTCCTTATTTCTGTTTTCCTGGGGCTTTTCTCCTCTCCAGATTGAACCCAGTTGAGGTGAGAGCTCAGTGTCTTGTCCAGCTTTCAAGAAACAAGCAGGAGCTGGAGAGCTTTAGTGGGTCAAAAACGTTTCACACATTTCTCTTATCCAGATCTTTTTTCCATCCTTTTTTTTTTTTTTTTTTTTTTTTTAAGAAAAGAAAAGGAAGTACAGGCTCAGGAAGAGCTTTTCCAGCACAAACAAGAACCCTCACAATGTCCCATCTCCCTTGAACAAAACATGTAACTCTCCATAGGAAGAAGAGTAGAGAAAGGAAACTAAAAATAAGAGTTTGTTGTTTATCTATAGGAGACAATAAGGGGGAGAAGAAAAGAAGAAAACCTGGTGGAAGTGTAGGAAGAGGGCAGACAGCTCTAAATCCACAGGCAGGTAGGGAAAACAAGCTGTGGAAATCAAAGGTCAGCACTTGTCTAAGAACAGGAGCTGTCACTGCCTCTCCACACCCTCCTCAAGGCAAATTCCAGCAGTGAAAAGCCACCTCAGTGGGAGGGGAGAGGAGAAAGCAAGGCCTGGGCTGGGGATAAGCTCGGCAAGGAGCAAAACTGCCCCTCTTTAATCACCCGGAGAGACCAAACTCGGCCGGCGCGGGGGGCCCGGTGGGGCCCGGGCACAAAACACCAGCCCCCCGCGCACAAAACTCGGGGGGTTCTGAGGGGAAAACAACCCGGGGGAACCTCGCCCTGCACAACAAACCCCGGCCGGGGCCGCCACAGGGCAGGGCAGGCAGAGGGGAGGGCAGGGAAGGGGACAGAAGGGGAGGGAAGGGGCGCGAAGGGGTCCCCTCAGCGCTGCGCCCCCACCGAGCCCGGCCCAGCGCGGCCACAGGCCCGGCCCCCTCAGGGCTCCCCCCGCGCCCTCAGAGCCCCGGGCGGGGCCGGGGGGTCCCGGAGGCTCCTGGGGGGTCCCGAGGGCTCCCGGGGGCACTGGGGGGTCCCGGCACAGCCCCGGACAAGAGCCCCGGCCCAGCGCGGGCACAGCCCCGGCCACTCCCCGTCAGGGCTCCCCCCGCGCCCTCAGAGTCCCGGGCGGGGCCGGAGGGTCCTGGGGGTCCCGAGAGATCCCGGGGGGTCCCGGCACAGCCCCGGCCCACAGCCCCGGCCCAGCGCGGGCACAGCCCCGGCCCCCCTCACTGGGCCCTCTCTCAGAGCTCGGCCCGGGGCCGGGGCGGTCCCGGGGGGGGTGTCCGGGGGTCCCGGCCCGGCCGCAGCCCCTCCCTGTGCCCCCCGTTACCTCCGTGTCCCCGCACCGGGCGGCGCTTGCTTTTTACGCCCCGTTTTGCGACGGCCGGAAAAGCCTGGGCGGCGGGGCCGGAGGCGGGGCCGGGGCGGGCGCGGCGCGGGAGCGGCTGAGGTGAAGGGGCTGGGGTGAAGGGTTTGGGCTGAAGGGGCTGGGGGGGCACGGGGACCCCTCGGGCCCGGGCACCGCTTCCACGGCACCCCACAGGGACTCCCCCACCTCCGTGGGACCCCTCAGGAATACCCTGACACCCCCTCAGGGACTCCATGACAAACCCCTCAGGGACCCCCTATGAACCCCTTAGGGAGCCCCTATGAACCCCTCAGGGACCCCCTGACACCCTCTCAGGGACCCCCTATGAACCCCTCAGGGACCCCCTGACAACCCTCAGGGACCCCATGAAACCCCCTCAGGGACCCCCTGGCACCTCCCCAGGTACTCCCTGGCAGCCCTGTCAACCCCTCAGAGACCCCATGGCCTTCCTGTCACCCCCTCAGTGACCCCCCTGTCACCCCTCAAACCCCATCCTTGTCACCTCCTGTCAGCCCCTCAGTGACCCCCCTGTCACCCCTCAAACCCCATCCCTGTCACCTCCTGTCACCCCCTCAGCCCCCCCACCCTCCCTGTCACCCCCTCAGTGACCGCTGGTGTCCCCGGCCCCTTCAGTGTCACTCCCCCTGCTCCTCTTCTGTGCCCCCTCCCTGCAGCCCCCATCCCCAGAGACCCTCGGGACCCCCAGGAACCTCAAGTGTCCCCCCTCCCTCCCCTGACAAATCCCTTTTATCAGAGGGATGTCCCCTTTTCAGCCCCAGTGCCCCCCATTGCTGCCCCAGTGCCCCCCCACCACAGCCCCCCCATTGCTCCCAGTCCCCTCTGTGCCCTGGGGACCCACCTGAGCCTCTCTACCTTCTCCCCCTGTCCTTTCCCCCTTTCCTGTCCCTTGTCCCCCCTTGCAGTGCCCCCATTCCCAGCTGTGCCCTGGAGGTGTTTGCAGCTGCTCTGGGGGGTGGCACTGGCAGTTCCCATGGGCTCATCCCTGGCCCGGAGCTCCCAGCAGTGCCAGAGCCCCAGAGGGCCTGGGGACACCCCTGTGTCACCGTGTCCTGTGCCTGGCACTGCCTGGGCTGGCTCCAGGCTGGGTACAGGGGTGTGGAGACCCCCTGGAAGCTGCTCCCCCCCATATCCCAAAGATTTCGTGGCAGCTCAGAATGAGCCCCCGTCACTGCCCTGTGGTGGGGACAGCAGAGGTGACATTCCTGCTGTGTTTGGGGACCAGTGACCTTCACTCACTGCTTATCAGGGTGACCTGGCAGGGACTCTGTGCTGGCTCAGGAGAGCTCTGACACCCTGCTCTGCCCTTCCCTCTGCCCTGCTGCTGGAGCAGTGGCTGGACAGAGCAGGGATTGTCCTTTAGTGGATCTTTATCCCTCCCTGTCCCTGAGGGAGCAGGGGAGAGGCACGGGGACAGTTCAGGAATTTCCCTTTTCCCACGTAATTCAGCCATCCTTCCAGCCCCATCCTCCCAGGTAACGGGAACCTCCTGCCCTTAAAAGGCCTCCCTCACCTTCCATCTCCATCTGGAGTTCCCATCCCAGGATGTGGCTGCTCCTGGACTGGGGGAAACACCTCGGAGAGGCTTCAAATTCCTTGGCTTTCCAAACACTTCCTTCACTCGGTCTTGATGATGGGAATGGTCTGTGATACCCAGCCTGGAGCTTAACAACCCCTTGGGACACCAGAGTGCCTGGAGAGCAGGATAAATGTTTGGGAAGGTCCCAGTTATGTAGAAAATCAAGGCTGGTGACTGTTGTTACAGAATCTGTTGGCAAAGGGGCTTGTGACAAAACGAGGGGCTTGAGGTGTTTTCCTTCTCCCTGCTGAAAACAGGGACAGGATGAGAGGAAATGGCTTCAGGTGGCACCAAGGGAGGTTCAGGTCCGATTTTGGGATAATTTCTCCCTGGAAAGGGCTACCCAGCCCTGGCACAGCTGCCCAGGGCAGGGGTGGAGTCCCCATCCCTGGAAGTGTTCAGAGAACCCGTGGAAGTGTCCCCTGGGAATGTGGAGTGACCCCTAACCCAATCCTGCCCCGTGGCACCAGCAGCACCGTGGGGTGCCCATTCCCAGGGGGGCTGCTCCTGCCATCCCAGGCACTGCTCCTGAGCCATCCAAACAGCTGCACTCACCTGGTTTTCCTGGGAAGCTCCTCACTCCCAGTTAAATCTTGATGCAGGCAACTCCTGTAAATCAAAATGTTTTTGTTTCCACCACCCCAAAGCTTCACTCCTTACACCACCTGGGCCACGGGACAAACACCCTGTGCCAGTCCAACCCTGCAGTGCCAGCAGTGACTGATGGGAGGTGCTCAGAAGAACAAATCAGGTGAGTAAGAGCTATAAAAATGCCTCACACCTGCATCATTTTCCTTTATGTCCCAGAGAGTCGGGAAAATGAAGCGAGAAGGAGGAGCTTCGGCACAGAGATGACCTCGGGCTCCCCTTGAGGGGCCTTTCCTCAGGTGTCCTCGTCCTCAGGTGGGTGGGAGATGGGGGGTTGGAATGTCCTCAGGGTTGTGGGAGATGGGGGGTTGGAATGTCCTCAGGGTCGTGGGAGATGGGGGGTTGGAATGTCCTCAGGGACATGGGAGATGGTGGGTTTGGGATCTCAGGGCTCAGGAATAACTCGAAGGCACTGGGGACATTCAGTGTGACAGGAACGGTGCCATCTGGGCACCAGAGTGCAGGTGGGAATGACACACCCAGCAGTGTAAGAGGTGTCACCAAATGGGTCAGACCTGCATTGCTCTTCCCAAGTTCCCAATTTATTCCCAAAGGTGGGTTGGGAAGTTGAATCCATTGCTATTTTACTGCCTTGGAGGGAACACCAGAGGGCAACCTTTGTGTGCTGCTGAGAGGTGGGGGAGGAACGAGCAGGAGCAGCCTGGGATAGAGGGGGTGTCCCTGCCCATGGAATGAGATGGGATTTGAGGTGCCTGCCCACCCAAACCAGCCTGGGATTCCAGGATTCTGGAGCCAGGCTGGGAGAGCTGGGAATGTTCCCCCAGAGAGGGGAAGGCTCCAGGGACACCTTGGAGCCCCTGCCAGGGCCTGAAGGGGCTCCAGGAGAGCTGGAGAGGGACTGGGGACAAGGCCTGGAGGGACAGGACACAGGGAATGGCTTCCCACTGCCAGAGGGCAGGGAGAGATGGGAGATTGGGCAGGAATTGCTGGCTGGGAGGGTGTGGAGGGGCTGGGCTGGAATTCCCAGAGAAGCTGTGGTGTCCCTGGATCCCTGGGAGTGTCCAAGGGCAGGCTGGAGCAGCCTGGGATGGTGGGAGGGGTCCCTGCCCAGGGCAGGGGTGGGATGGGATGGGATGGGATGGGATGGGATGGGATGGGATGGGATGGGATGGGATGGGATGGGATGGGATGGGATGGGATTTAAGGTCCCTCCAAGCCAACCCATCCCAGGATTCTGTAACAGGGATTGAAGGAGTTTTAGGTCATTTCCTCCATGTCTGCCCGAGGGTTTATTGAGAGTTTTGAAGGGTTGGTGAGATTTGTCAGAGGTTCCCTGCGAGCTGCTGATGGATCCCCCGTCAGTGCCAGTGTCACACGTGCTCTGTCACCTCCCTGGGGCTGTCACAGCCCAGGACAAGAGGAAAATAGGCTCATTTATTCAAGGTGACCCCTGCCATGTGTGCAGATGGCACTGCAGGTGAATGATGATGCTGCAGGTGAATGATGATGCTGCAGGTGAATGATGATGCTGCAGGGGTTCACAGTGACCATCCCCGGTGTCACTGGGATTGTTTGTTGTGGTTTCTGGGCTCTGAACACAAATGTTCACTTGGGGCTTGCAGGGGAGGCTGAGGGACAGCTCAGACTGCTGGGCAGGGAGGGCAAAACCCCGGAGAAATCCTGGAAAACCCGGAGAAATCCCAGGAAAACCTCAAGAAATCTCAGGAAACCCCTGAGAAATCTCAGGAAACTCCTGGTAAATCTCAGGAAACCCTGAGAAACCTCAGGAAAACCTCAAGAAATCTGAGAAAAACCCTGAGAAATCTGAGGAAACTCCTGGGAAATCTCAGGAAACTCCTGGGAAATCTTAGGAGACCTCTGAGAAATCTCAGGAAAACCTCAGGAAACCTTAAGAAACCCCTGGGAAATCTGAGCAAAACCCTGAGAAATCTCAGCAAATCCTGAAGAAATCTCAGGAAATCCTGGAGAAATCTCAGGAAAACCTCAAGAAATCCGAGGAAAAGCCTGAGAAATCTGAGGAAACCCCTGGGAAATTTCAGGAAATTCCTGGGAAATCCCAGGGAACTCCTGGGAAATCTCAGGAAAACCTCAAGAAATCTTAGGAAAAACCTAAGAAATTTCAGGAAACTCCTGAGAAATCTCAGGAGAAACCTGAGAAATCTCAGCATATTCCTGGGAAATCTCAGGAAACTCCTGGGAAATCTCAGGAAAACCTCAAGAAATCTCAGGAAAACCTCAAGAAATCTTAGGAGAACCCTGAGAAATCTCAGGAAATTCCTGGGAAATCCTGGAAACCCTTCAAGAATCTCAGTAAAGCTTTGGGAACTTTCAGTAAAACCCCCTTGAGAAATCCCATTAAACCTTTGAGAAATCACAGTAAAGGTTTGATAAGTCTCATAAACCTTTTAAGAACTCTGAATAAACCTTTGAGAACTCTCAGAAAACCTTTGAGAAATCTTAATAAAACTTGGAGAACCTCAGAAAACCCCTGAGAATTTTTATTAAACTTTGAGAACTGTCGGTAAATCTTTGGGAACTCTGAGTAAACCTTTGAAAAATCTCAGTAAACCCTTGAAAACTCTCAGTAAACCTCTGAGAAATCCTATTAAACCTTTGAGAACTCTCAGCAAACCCTCGAGGATCTCAGTAAACCTTTGAGAAATCTCAATAAAGGTTCGAGAACTCTCAGAAAACCTCCGGAAAATCTCATTAAACCCTTAGGAACTCCCAGTAAACCCTTGAAAACTCTCAGTAAACCTTTGGGATCCCTCAGTAGACTCTTGAAAACTCTCAGTAAATGTTTGAGAACTCTTCACAAACCCTGGAGAATCTCAGTAAACCTTTGAGAACTGTCAGTAAACATTTGAGAATCTCAGTAAGCCTTTGAAAAATCTCAGTAAACCTTTGAAAAAATCTCACTAACCCTTTCAAGAACTGTCACCAACCCTTGAGAACCCTCACCCACCCTTCAAGAACCCTCACCAACCCCCTGGGGACTCTCACTAACCCATTGAGAACCTTCACTAACCCTTCAAGAACCCTCACTAACCCTTCAAGAACCAGCCCCCAACCCTCTGGGGACTCTCACTAACCCTTCAAGAACTGTCACCAACCCTTCAAGAACCCTCACCAACCCCTTGAGAACCCTCACCAAGCCTTCAAGAACCCCAAGAACTGTCACCAACCCCTTGAAAACCCTCACCAAGCCTTCAAGAACCCTCACCAACCCTTCAAGAACTGTCACTAACCCTTCAAGAACCCTCACCAACCCCTTGGGAACCCTCACCAATCCCTTAAGAACCCTCACCCACCCTTCAAGAACCCCACCCAACCCCCTGGGGACTCTCACCAACCCTTCAAGAACCCTCACCCACCCTTCAAGAACTCTTACTCAACCCTTGCAGAACCCTCACCAACCCCTTGAGAACCCTCACTAACCCTTCAAGGCTGTCACCAACCCTTCAAGAACCCTCAACAACCCCTTGAGGACCCTCCCCCACCCTTTGAGCCCCCTCCCCACCTTTGAGCCCCCTCCCCTCTGAACCCCCCTCCCCTACACTGACCGCTGTCCCTGCTATCCCCCAGCCCGGTGTGTCCATCCCATCCCCTCACTGACCCTGTCCCTGCTGTCCCTGCTGTCCCCGCTGTCCCCAGTGCAGTGTCCATCCCATCCCCTCACTAACCCTGTCCCCGCTGTCCCCGCTGTCCCCAGCCCGGTGTGTCCATCCCATCCCCTCACTGACCCTGTCCCCGCTGTCCCCGCTGTCCCCAGCCCGGTGTGTCCATCCCATCCCCTCACTGACCCTGTCCCTGCTGTCCCCGCTGTCTCCAGCCCGGTGTGTCCATCCCCCGCCCGGCCATGTGGTGGTTCCAGCAGGGCCTGTCCCTCCTGCCCGTGGCCCTGGTGGTGTGGTCAGCAGCCTCCTTCCTGCTCTCCTACGTCACTGCCACCGTCCTGCACCACGTGGACCCCCTGGTGCCCTACATCAGGTCAGTGGTGCCCCCATCCCGGCAATTCCCACAGATCCCGACTCCGAGCACTCCCTGCCCACGGCTCCGCTCGGGGGCTGCTGGACAGGCGGGACTGGGAGGGGCTGGGGGGTACTGGGAAGGAATTCTTCCCTGGGAGGGTGGGGAGGGGCTGGGAGGGAATTCCCAGAGAAGCTGGAATGCCTGGAAGTGCCCAAGGCCAGGTTGGAGCAACCTGGGGTAGAGGGAGGTGTCCCTGCCCAGGGCAGGGGTGGGATGGGATGGGATGGGATAAATGGGATAAATGGGATGGGAGGGGATGGGATGGGATGGGATGGGATGGGATGGATGGGATGGGATGGGATGGGATGGGATGGGATGGGGTGGGGTGGGATGGGATGGGATGGGATGGGATGGGATGGGATGGGATGGGATGGGATGGGATGGGATGGGATGGGATGGGATGGGATGGGATTTAAGGTCCCTCCAACACAAACCAGCCTGGGATTCCAGGATTCTGGAGCCCCAGGGAGGGCTGGGAATGTTCCCCTGGAGAAGGGAAGGCTCCAGGGACACCTTGGAGCCCCTGCCAGGGCCTGAAGGGGCTCCAGGAGAGCTGGAGAGGGACAGAACACAGGGAATGGCTTCCCACTGCCAGAGGGCAGGGACAGATGGGAGATTGGGAAGGAATTGTTGGCTGGGAGGGGCTGGACTGGAATTCCCCAGCCCTGGAATTTGTCTTTTCCAGCGACACAGGGACGATTCCACCCGAAAGGTGCCTGTTTGGAATCATGTTGAACATTTCCACCTTCCTGGGTGAGTGGGAAAAGCTTCAAACGATTTGACTTCCCCCTCAGGTCGTTGATGGGCCCCGAAATCTCAGTTTAAAATCCAACACTGGGCAATAAATCTCCCTGGAGAGGAAATCCAGGAGGATTATCCAGGAACCAGCATGGGAATTGCAGCTTCCAGAAGGGCAGAAAAGGCATTAAAAAACACAACAAGAGGAATAAAAGCAATCAAAATGCCAAGTCCAGGCAATCATTTTTCTGGAAGGAGGGAAAAAACAACCTGGGGGGGGTTAAATACAGAAAATATCAGGAAAATCCCTATATTTGAATTATTTGCTGCTGTGTCCTTCCAGTTTGCACTTCCAGCCCCTCACCTTCCCCGTTCCTGCAACCCAGGAAAAAATCCCTGTATTTTAAGGCATTCTCTGTGTCACTCAGCACCTTCCCAGTGGGAATTCCCCTGGGAATGTGCCCGTTGTCCCTGCAGGGGTGGCCACCATGTACGTGCGATACAAGCAGGTGAGTGCCCTGATCCCAGAGAATTCCAGGATGCTCCGGCTCAACAGGATCGGCCTCGCCCTGGGCTGGGTCAGCTGCTTTGGCCTCTGCATCATCGCCAACTTCCAGGTTTGGCCTTTGCTCTGAGATCCCTGGGAGATTTGTCATGGAAAACTGGGGGGGTTGGGGGCAAATTCCCACCAGGAAACTGTTAAAAAAATGGATTTTTTTTTTTATTAGTTATTCCTTATTTGCTTTGGGAGCAAACTGGGGCTTTTTGGTCCATTCCCACCAAGAAAATGCTAAAAAAATATATTATATTTTAGTTCCTCCTTATTTCCTTTGAGAGCAAACTGGGGGGATTTTGGGTCAAATTCCCACCAGGAAACTGTTAAAAAACTGGATTTTTTTTTAGTTATTATCCAGCCTTGTTCCCTCAGAGCATTCCAAGAGAATTCCACAACAGTCCTGGTTCCAGCAGAGTCATGTGGAGAAATGCTCACCCTTGTGCTTTCCCATCTCCTTTTGGCTGCTGGAATTCTGTTGTGTCTCTCCTGTTTTCCATGACCTGCCCTGGATTCCTGGGGTAGAAATTCCCAGCAGGAATTCCCTGCCCCAATTCCCGTGTTTGTGTCCATTATTAACACCAACAGCTCCCACAAATTCCCGTGTTTAAGGCCCAGCTCTGACCTGGAGTTTCAGGGAGAGCTTCCCAAGGGCTGGAAGCTCCAATTCCAGGGCACATCCCAAGCACATTCTAGGTCTGCCTGGCTGGGAATGTCAGAACACCCCGGTGTGGGGGGGAAGCTCCAAAGTTTCCCCGAGGAAAAGGCTCCTGGGGGCTCAGAGCAGGACGTTTGCTGTCCCCAGAAGTGCATCCTGTACTACATCCACGTGCTGGGGGCCTGCCTGACCTTCGGCGTGGGAGCCATTTACATGCTGCTGCAGACCATCCTGTCCTTCCGCATGCAGCCGCAATTCCACGGCAAGGGAATCTGCTGGGCACGCCTGGCCGTGCTGCTCTGGAGCGCCTGCAGCATCTGCAGCAGTATCCTTTATCCATGGGTCCTTTATCCCTGCATCCCTGCATCCTTTATCCCTGCATCCCTGCATCCTTTATCCCTGGATCCCTGCATCCTTTATCCCTGCATCCCTGGATCCCTGTGCTGCTCTGGAGCGCCTGCAGCATCTGCAGCAGTATCCTTTATCCATGGGTCCTTTATCCCTGCATCCCTGCATCCTTTATCCCTGCATCCCTGCATCCTTTATCCCTGCATCCCTCTATCCCTGCATCCTTTATCCCTGCATCCTTTATCCCTGGATCCTTTAACCCTGCATCCCTCTATCCCTGTATCCTTTATCCCTGCATCCCTGGATCCCTCTATCCCTGCATCCCTCTATCCCTCTATCCCTGCATCCCTGTACCCCTGCATCCCTGTATCCTTCCCTGTGTTCCTCTGGAGCTCCTGCAGCTCCTTTATCCCTGCCCTGGAATGTGGCCCTGGAGCCTCCACGGGCTTTGGATCCAACCTTGTTGAACCCTCCCAGCTGAAAGGCTGGATCCTGGATTCCAGCTGGGAATGTGGAGTGAGCTGGATTCAGGGAGGGATAAGGAGGGGCTCCCCTGGGATCAGGGAGGGATAATGAAGGGATTCCCTGGGATCAGGGAGGGAAAAGGAGCTGCAGCTCCCAGAGAGCGAGGGCAGTGGGGGGAGGGCCAGGTGAACCCTTTGGTGGGACAGCAAGGAATGGTTGGGAGCAGCTCCAGGCTCAGGATGGGAAGAGCCCGTGGCACCAACACTCCCCCTGACCCTGGGGAGCCTCCTGGAGAGCTCAGCCTGGCCCAAAGCTGGGCCCAAATCCAGCCCAAAGCTGTGCCCAAAGCCAGGCCCAAATCCAGCCCAAATCCAGCCCAAAGCTGGGCCCAAAGCCGGGCCCAAATCCAGCCCAAAGCTGGGCCCAAATCCAGCCCAAAGCTGGGCCCAAAGCCCCCTCCCTGGCCTTGCCCGTTCCTTGCTCCTTGACCCCCGCAGTGTTCGTGTCCTCGGTGCTGCTCTCCAGTGGCCTCTACGGACCAGGCCTGGTGCAGAAGCTGCACTGGGACCCCCAGGAGAGGGTGAGGGACAGGGAGCGACACCCAACGCCGGCTGGGTGGGATGGGAGCTCCCCGGAATGCTGGAATGCCGGGCTGGGGTGGGTGGGAAGGGACCTCAAACCTCATCCAGTGCCACCCCTGCCCTGGGCAGGGACACCTCCCACCATCCCAGGTGGCTCCAGCCTGGCCTTGGACACTCCCAGGGATGGAGCAGCCACAGCTTCTCTAGGAATTCCAGCCCAGCCCCTCCCCACCCTCCCAATCAGGAATTCCTTCCCAATCTCCCATCTCTCCCTCCCTCTGGCAGTGGGAAGCCATTCCCTGTGTCCTGTCCCTCCAGGCCTTGTCCCCAGTCCCTCTCCAGCTCTCCTGGAGCCCCTTCAGGCCCTGGCAGGGGCTCCAAGGTGTCCCTGGAGCCTTCCCTTCTCCAGGGGAACATTCCCAGCTCTCCCAGCCTGGCTCCAGAGCAGAGGGGCTCCAGAATCCTGGAACCCCAGATTGGTTTGGGTGGGAAGGGACCTCAAATCCCATCTCATTCCATGGGCAGGGACACTTCCACTGTCCTCGGTTGTTCCAACCTGGCTTTGGGCACTCCCAGGGATGGAGAGTCCACAAGAACCTCTCTGGACAACCTGTGCCAGACCTCGGTGAGGTTCTGCTCCCACAAAACAGTCGGAGCTCCAACTGTGGCCTCAAATCAATCCCTCCTGTCCCCAGAGCCTGAAGCTCCCAGCTCTGAGGGTCTGTTGTTCAGGCCCAGCTCTGGATTGAGCCTTCAGGTATAAAATTCCCAGGGGGTGCCATCCCAGGGGTTTTCCTGGCCATTCCCACTCTTCATTCCTGGGGGCTCTAAGGGATTTTGTTCTCCAGCGGGATGTGGAATGTCCTGTGGGATGTCCCAAGGCATTGTTGTGTCCCAGCAGCTCCCAGAGCAGCTTCTCCCACTGCTCTCCCTCTCCACAGGGATACACCCCCCACATGGTCAGCACCATCTCCGAGTGGTCCTTGGCCTTCTCCTTCCTCAGCTTCTTCCTCACCTACATCCGGGACTTCCAGGTAAATGAGGCCACGGAGCTGCTTCCCAGCCTGGGGAGGGCAGGGAATGGGTCAGGGCCAAGTGAGGACCAAATTATGTCCAACTCAGATAAGATCTGGGGACTGTTCTGGGTTGGACGAGACATTTGAGGTGATGGGGTTGGGCCAGGACCCAACCCGGGCTGGGGGAGCCACGGGGGGAGAGCTGGGAGGGACTCCCAGGGCCTGTCCTGGCTGTGCCCCCCGGCTGCAGCCACCTGCCTGGGGCTGGGGTCACTGCCCTGCTGGCTTTGGCTGGCTTGAACTGCTTTGAACTGGCTTTGACTGGCTTGAACTGGTTTAACTGCCTCAGCTGGTTTGAACTGGGTTTAACTGGCTTGAACTGGGTTTAACTGACTTTAACAGGCTCCAACTGGCTTTAACTGACTATAATAGCCTTTCACTGGTTTTAACTGGTTTTAACTGGCTCCAAATGCCTTCAACTGGTTTTAACTGCCTTTAACTGGTTTTAACTGACTGGACTTCCCAGTGCAGGGAATCTCCGGGGCAGGGGGGGAGGCACTGACCGGAATTCCCAGTGCGGGATCAGGCCCTGACTGGAATTCCCAGTACAGGATCAGGCCCTGACCGTGTCCCAGTGTGGGATGACCCCTGACCGTGTCCCTGTTGTCCCCAGGAGGTGTCCCTGGGGGCCGTGGTGACGCTGCAGGGCCAGGCCCCGTCCCCGCCGGGCTGGGGGCAGGAGGAGCAGGGGCTGCTCTTCCCAGGGAGCGTCTGAGGGAGCTCCCGGAGCTCAGGAATTCCTCCCGGAGCTGAGCAATTCCCCCGGCAGCGGCAGCAGCGACACCTGCGGGCATTGCTGTGTCCCCAGGCCAGGGTGGCTGACGGGACTTTGCTGTCCTTGGCACCGGGGGCGTCACTTTTTACCCTCCAGCAACACCAAACGTGGCCCGAGCCGGGCACGGTCCTGACATTTCTGCCCCAGTGAAGGATTAAATGAAGGGTATTAACGAGCTGTGTGTCCTCGTCACTCCTCAGCACCCCCTCTCTCCAGGCTTTCCGGCTGCAGGAGCCTCCAGCCTCATCCCTGCCCCCCATGGGGCCACGGGGCTGATCCATGACCTGCCCTGAGTTTCCTGGAATCATGGAATGGGTTGGGTTGGAGACACCTTAAAGCCCTTCTGGTTCCACCCCTGCCCTGGGCAGGGACAGCTCCCACTATCCCTGCTGCTCCAGCCTGGCCTTGGACACTCCCAGGGATCCAGGGGCAGCCACAGCTTCTCTGGGAATTCCAGCCTAGCCCCTGCCCACCCTCCCAGCCAGGAATCCCTTCCCAATATCCCATCTGACCCTCTGGCAGTGGAAAGCCATTCCCTGTATCCTGTTCCTCCAGCCCTTGTCCCAGGTCCTTCTCCAGCCCTTTTAGGAACAGCTCCCTGTGCCAGCTGCTCCAAGGGCAAACCCCTCTGCTCCACCTGGAAACCTGGAATGGGTTGGGTTGGAAGCTCCTCCCATCCCACCCCTGCCCTGGGCAGGGACCCCTCCCACCAGCCCAGGCTGCTCCAGGTTCATCCAACCTGCCCTTCCATCTCTCCCTCTCCCCTCTTGGAGCTGGCAGACAGGTGGATCCGGGAATTCCCACGGAGTATCCCTCAGTGGGAGGCTCAGCCGAGGCCACCCCGTGTCCCGTTCCCTTAAACACACCCGGAATGTCACTGGAGCTCCCCAAGAGCCTCCAACCAGAGCCAGCAGCTCATCCTCCTCCAGCTCATCCTCCTCCAGCTCATCCTCCAGCTCATCCTCCTCCAGCTCATCCTCCTCCAGCTCATCCCTCCAGCTCATCCCTCCAGCTCATCCTCCTCCAGCTCATCCTCCTCCAGCTCTTCCCTCCTCTAACTCTTCCCTCCTCCAGCTCATCCTCCAGCTCATCCTCCTCCAGCTCATCCCTCCAGCTCTTCCCTCCTCCAGCTCTTCCCTCCTCCAGCTCTTCCCTCCTGGAGCCTCAGGAGCTGCTCTTCCCACCCAAGTGCAGGAAAACCAAGGGATATTGGATCACACACTCCAGCTCCATCCCTCCTGTCAGGGGGGAATAGCTCAGCTCCCTTCCCACATTATCCCAAGGTGGGAATAGCTCAGCTCCCTTCCCACATCATCCCAAGGTGGGAATAGCTCAGCTCCCTTCCCACATTATCCCAAGGGCTCCAGCAGATTCCTCCCGCTGGGATCTTCCCTTCCTGAAGAGCAATTGGAGCTGGAGCCTCCTGGAGATCCCAGCAGGTGCTGGGGCTGAACCAGCAGGATCCATCCCTGCTGCTGCACTTCCAGCCTGGGATCCACAATCCATGGAATTCCCAACTCCTGGGGCAGGGGAGGAGACAGGAATTCCATGGACTCACAGAGACCCCGAGGGCTCCACAGCCTGGGGGGGTTTCCCAAGTATTTTGGAGCTTATTACATCATATATCATTATTAGACAGCTTTATTATTATCTGGTTATATATTAGATATATATTGTATTTATATATTTATAAATATAGAATATATATTTATATTTATGGGTATTTATATATGTACATAATTATATCATTATATATTTACATTTTTAGTCTATTGTTATACTATTATTATATTATATTATTATATTTTAGGAAAACCCCCATTCCTACATCTCTCAAGAAGGTTTCTGAGGGCCCTTCCCTGCTCCCAGGGCTTCCCTCTCCTTGCCTGTGGTCCTGGAATTCCCTGCTCTCATTCCTGCTCTCATCCCTGCTGCTTCCAGGAGCCATTCCTGCTCTCCAGGTCTCCCTCTGTGATCCCAGCCAGGGCATCCCAAGGTCCAGGCTGGGGTCAGGGATCGTTTCTTCTCCAGGAGGGTCTCCAGCCCTGGCACAGCCCCCCAGGGGGACCCAAAAACCCTGGATGTGGCATTGGGGACGTGCTGAGTGCAGGGAGAGGGGTTGGACTCAGTGACCTCAGAGGGCTTTTCCAACCCCCAAAATTCCACTGCCCAAACCAGCACATTCCTGAGTTAAACCCAACCCCCCAGCCCACAGCCCGTGGGGGCTCCTGCTCGGCAGTTCCACCTCGGGGCAACTGCTGGGGGCAACGACCCCCCCAGTGCCAGGAGAGCCCTCCTGCCCCTCTCCTGCCTCCTCCTGAGGGCATGGGCAGGGATGGGCAGAACCAGGGATGGGCACCCAGGGATGGGCAGCCCCCCGGAGCAGCTCCCGGCTCCCAACTGCTCCAGGGTTACCTGTCTGGGTTGGAGGGACCTTAAATCCCATGCAGTCCCACCCCTGCCCTGGGCAGGGACACTTCCCTCTATCCCAGGTGGCTCCAACCTGGTCTTGGACACTTCCAGGGCTGGGGCAGCCACAGCTGCTCTGGGAATTCCAGCCCAGCCCCTCCCCACCCTCCCAGCCAGGAATTCCTTCCCCATCTCCCATCTCTCCCTCCCTCTGGCAGTGGGAAGCCATTCCCTGTGTCCTGTCCCTCCAGGCCTTGTCCCCAGTTCCTCTGCACAGTTCTTGTTGGTCCCCTCAGGCACTCCAAAGCCTCTTTTCCAGCAATCCCAGTTCTCCCAGCCTTTCCTCATGGGAGAAGTTTTCCATCTCTGGGATCATCTCTGTGGCCTCCTCTGGACTCGCTCCAGCAGCTCCAGGTCCTTCTGATGCAGGGGGGTCTCCCTGAGGGGCAGAGGGGCACAATCCCCCCCTCCCTGCTGCCCCTGCTGTGGGCTCAGCCCAGGGCACAGGGGGTCTGGGCCATGTCCAGCCTGTCCCCCCCCAGCCCCCCAGGAGCTGCTCCCAGGGCTGCTCCATCTGCTCATGCCCATCCTGGATTGATCCCGGGGGTTGCCCTGGCCCAGGGGCAGCACCAGCCCTTGGCCTTGTTGAACCTCCTGAGATTCCCAGGGAGCTTGTCCAGGTCCCTCTGGGTGTCCCCATCCCTCAGGTGTGTCCCTGCACCCCCGGCTCGCGGTCACCCCAAACCTGCCGGGGGTCCTGACCCCCCTGTGTGTGTCATCAGTGAGGATGTGAAATCCCACCGGTCCCAGTACGGACCCTGAGGCCACCACCAGTCACTGGTGCCCGTCTGAGCTGGTGAGCTCTTCCCTCTGGACGTGCCAACCCGCCCCTGGAATGCAGCGCTGTCCAGCTCAGCCAGGAGGATGTGGGGGCTGGGGGAGTCCAGACAAATGACACCCATAGCCCTTCCCTCGTCCACTGATGGAGCTCCTCACGTTGAGCTCATCCCACAGCCCCGCCAGGTCCTGCTCCCAGGGCTGCTCAATCCGTTCACCCCCAGCCCGGGTTTGTTCCTGCAGTTGCTCCAGCTCAGGGACAGGACCTTGTGCTTGATCTCGTTGAACTTCCTGAGGGTCCCACAGACCCCCCTCCTGCCTGTCCAGGTCCCTCTGGGTGTCCCATCCCTTCTCGTGGGGTGTGACCCCTCCAGCTCGGTGCCATCAGCCCCTCCCGAGGGTGCTGCAGTCCCACTGTCCCTGACACCACACAGGTTAAACTGCACCAGTGCCACACCAGTGACACACCAGTGCCACACCAGTGACACACCAGTGACACACCAGTGACACACCTGTGACACACCAGTGACACACCAGTGCCAAACCAGTGCCACACCTGTGACACACCCGTGCCACACCAGTGCCACACCAGTGACTCACCAGTGCCACACCAGTGCCACACCTGTGACACACCAGTGCCACACCAGTGACACCAGTGACACACCTGTGACACACCAGTGCCACACCAGTGACACACCCACCCCAAAGGGCTCCTCGTCGAGCCACGGCCACCACTGTGTCACCGTCCAGGCTCCATCACCACCCCTGCCTGCAGCTCGAGGTGGTGGCACAGGGACAGTGCCCCACTCTGTGCCCAGCCCAGGCAGGTGGGGTCAGTGGCTCTTTCCTCACCCACCAGCGCTGTCACCCCACGGTGACACCACGAGGCCCCGTCAGGCACGATCAGAGAAGCCACGTTGGCTGTCACCAATCACCTCCTTATCCTCCACGTGCAGCTTCCAGAAGGATCTGCTCCCTGACCTTGCCGGGCACCAGCGTGAGGCTGATTGCCCTGCAGTGCCCTGGCTCTTCCTCCTTTTTAAAAAGGGGACCAAACTTCCCCTTTTCCAGCCTGTGGGAACTTCATGGACCACCACAGCTCCTCACACACACGACAGAGAGCGATGGAGGCTCCTCCTCCACCATCTGCCTTGAGATCCTCGGGTGCCTCTCATCAGGTCCCGTGGACTTGGGCACCTTCAGGATCCTCATGTGGTCTCTCTGATCTTCTCAAGTCCAGAGAGGGAACGGAGCTGGGAAGGGGCTGGAGCAGCAGGAGCAGCTGAGGCAGCTGGAGGGGCTCAGCCTGGAGAAAAGGAGGCTCAGGGGGGACCTTCTGGCTCTGCAATCCCTGACAGGAGGGGGGACTGGGGGGGGTCGGGCTCTGCTCCCAGGGAACAGGGACAGGAGGAGAGGGAACGGCCTCCAGCTGGGCCAGGGGAGGGGCAGGGGTGGCATCAGGAGGAATTTCCTCCTGGAAAGGGTGGTCAGGCCTTGGCAGGGGCTGCCCAGGGAGGTTTGGAGCTCCATCCCTGGAGGTGCCCAGGGAAGGCCTGGCCATGGCACTCAGTGCTCTGGGCTGGGGGACAGGGTGGGGATGGGCACAGGGGGCACTCCATGGTCCTGGAGGGCTTTTCCAACCTCCAGCATTCTGGGATTCTCCTGCTGGAGATGGTCCTTCCTCCTGCAGCTGGAGCTGGTGAGGGCACAACCATCCTGGAGAGCCTCAGCCTCCTCCTGGGGAACCAGGGCTCCTGTTTCCTTCTGGAGGAGGGTGAGTCTTCCACATTCCCTGAGCTTCTCCCTCCACACCAGCCCCTCCTGGTGGGTGGGCAGGAGGTCCAGCCCAGCCCTTGCGCCTCATGGAAAGGGAATTCATCACCACCAACACACCCCAGAACCTCCTGGGTCGGTTCTGCCCCGCTGTGTTGGGTGGGTGAAGCCCCCCGAGAGGAGCAGGGGTTGTGGACGTGAGCCTGGGGACTCCTGCCTGTCCAGGGCCTCATCCAGGGGGTTTTCCTGGTCAGGTGGCCTGCACAGACCCCAAAAATCACTCCCAGTTGCTTCCAGTGCCCGCATCTGGTTCAGTGCTGGGCTTGGCTGGGTCAGGTTTCCGGTGGGATTGGATGCCCTGGAGGGTCTTTTCCAGGCTGAAGGATCCCCTGGGTGTGGGGGTGTCTGGGACAGGCCTGGGGGAAGGGCTGTGCCTCCCCAGAAGGCCCTGGTGGGTTGTCCCCAGCTGGGTGGTGACACCAGGCCAGTCCTGCCCAGCCTCAGCCCAGCCTGTTCCGTGCAGCCCCCACTGCTCTTTGGACCTGAAATTCCCAAAAGGTCCTCCAAGGATCCTGCCAGAGGGTTTGCTCCAGGGAACAGCTTTAATTCATGGCCTAAATCCACGGATTTCATCTGTCCTTGGAGGTGTCCCGTGTGGAGCTGCAGCATCTTCTGCACCAGGGAGGGCCAGCAGTGACTGTCACCCCCCAGGGGCACAGCCAGGGCTCCCAGAGCTCCCATTCCTTCAGAAACTCCTCCTGGATCCCGGGATGACCAAGGGCAGAACCAAATCCACGCTGCAGACGACGGGTCCGGCTGAGGAGCAGCTCCAACAACCTCCAGGTCTTTCCCTTTGCTCCTGCTGGAACTTTTCCCCCTCCCAGGGGCTTCCCTTGGCTCTCCATGTCCCTCCCAGCTTGGCATGGATGTCATTCCAAGGAGGCACCTCCATCCCTTCCACCTTGGCTTTGCTGTGTCCGTGGGATCTGCACCAGGAGTGGATTGGGAACGGCCCATTCACTTTTTTCCCACCAAATCCTACTGGCCACATTCCATCCCAACCTTGCAGGGAGGATTCTTCTCCCAGTTTTCAGTTTTAGGGAAAACTCAGGCCCATGGCCCGCCCTGGCTGGGCAGAGGAGCTCCTGGGAGCATCCCACGGATGTTGTGGGATGTTGGTGCTGGAATCCTCCAGGGAGAGGAGAGATCTTGGCTTCATTTCCTTGGAGATCTTGGGAAAGAGGAAGGACGATTGTCAGAAGGCACCAGACAGAGGCTGCTTCCACCTCCTTCCCGATTCCCACCTCTTCACATCCAGTGGGAGGGAGTCAGTGCCCTTCCAGCAGGTTTGGGATGTGGGAGGGGACTCGGGGTGACACATCCTTGTCTGGACATCCAGGATTCCTCCTCCTCCCACTGGGAGACCCCAGAGGGGACTGGGATGGACCAGAACTTGGGATGGACCAGGAGCTGGGAATGGACAAGTTGGGAATGGACCAGGAGTTGGGAATGGATGAGAAGTTGGGAATGGACCAGGAGTTGGGGATAATAAGATAGAATCTGGGGATCAACAAGAAGTTGGGAATGGACAAGCTGGGAATGGATGAAAAGTCGGGGATGAGCAAAAGAGTTGGGAATGGATGAGAAGCTGGGACTGGGCACAGCCAGGACCGTTTTCCCAGCCTGATCCCAGAGATTTTCTGGGCCACACGAGGTCCTGGTCAGCACAGAAAGGCCCAATGGCAGCAGGAGGATGCAGAGACATTTCTGGGCACGGGATTTCTCTTCCCAGTGTCACATCCCACACATGGAGAGCCTGGGAATGGCAGGAAATGGAGCCTGGGAATGGCCAACCCTCTGCCTGCTGACAGGACAGGGATGGAATTCCTGAGTTTGCTTTTCCATCTGCCTTTGGCTGGAGCCACAGCTCCATCTGTGCCTCCCCCATCCCGTGGGAGGGGAAGGAGGGAGCAGTTTGGGACTGGCCAAGCTCAGCCCACGCAGGGAGCGTTCCCACCTTCCCCACAGAACCACTGACTCCTCAGTCCTGCTCACCCTGGCCAAACCTGGGCTCCTCCCACCCTGCTGGGAGCAGCACACAGGAATTGTCCCCACTGGCTGCTCAAACCCCACATTTTCCCCCAAATCCCGTGGAATTGTCCCCTTTGCTTCGCACATTTCCCACTGGAGGTCCCACTCCTGCAGTGGCCACGGAATTCTGGCACGTCCTGGGTTGGGAGGGACCCACAGGGATCTGAGTCCGAGCCCTGGCCCTTCCCTCCATCCAGTTCAGGCCCAAGTCAGCCACATCCCCCTCCCACAGCCCTTCATTAAGTGTTTAATTAATCTGCTTCCCTGGGCCACTCAATGGCATTTCTGCCCCCAGACTCTGCACAGAGTGACCCCCTGGGTGATGCCCTGACCTGCTCAGCAGCCTCAGCCAAAGGCTTTGTTTCCATCACTCACTTCCCTCACCCTCCACTCTGGGCCTGCTCTTCTCTCCAAACTCTGCCCATCCCTGCAAGTGCCCCAGGCCAGGCTGGACTCATGGAAGGTGTCCCTGCCCATCATGAAACGATCCTCAAGGTCCCTTCCCACCCAAACCTGAGATTCCCCAGAGCAGGCACTTCCTTCTTCCTCCCTCTCCAGATCCACTGGAGTTTTTCCCACCACCAGGACTCATAAAAACAAGGGCAGGTGGGGCTGGCAGAGCCCTCCAGGATCCACCCCCAAAGCAACTCCCTCCACCAACCCCCTGTGGGCAATAAAGGAAAACCTGCAGGGGAAAATCGGATTCAAACACGGAAAACAGGAACGATGACACAAAATAACCCCGGGGAGCAACGACCCCCAGGGGTTGGTGATGGTCCCTGTAAACCATAAATGGACAAAGGGGGAAAAAAACAGTGACAAATTCTGCTGGGAACAAATAAAAACTCATTCATTGTTGGCAGGGAGAGGGAGGGGCTGCAGGAGGACAAAGACACAGAGGGTGAGGGTCCAAAGACATCCCACCCTACAACTGCAACCAAGGTACCATCAACGGGGGTGGCACATCCAGGCCACACCAAACCCACCAAGGACTGCTGAGACCCCGCCTGGGGCAACAGAAACACAACTTTCAGTTCTTATTAACAGAGTTCTGGTTAAAAAACACACACACCCCCCCAAAGCAGGCAGAGCCCCACATTGCACAGCTGGCCAAGGCCTTACAAAGGCTCACAGAAACCACGGGGAGAGCCAGGAATCCTCGGAGCCGGCCCAGGGCTCCTTCTCCAGGGTTTGTATAAATAACAATCGGCACCGCCCCACAGTGCAATCCCAGACCCCTCAAACACACCCATGAACCCACCGGCCCGTCCGGCCTGTCCGCTGACAACTGTTCCCAGGGATCCCCAAAAAAGGGTTCCCAGGGATCCCCAAAAAAGGGTTCCCAGGGATCCCCAAAAAAGGTTCTCAGGGATTCCCAAAAAAGGGTTCTCAGGGATTCACCAAGGAAAGTTCTCATGGATTCACCAAGGGAAATTCTCATGGATCCACCAAGGACAGTTCTCATGGATTCACCAAGGAAAGTCCTCATGGACCCACCCAGGACAGTCCTCACGCCTACGAGGACAACCAGACCCACACCCACAGCTGGGCCCTCCCAGTCTGCTCCAGGCCCCGGGACCCCAAAATGCCTTCGCCAGGAGCGGCCCCGAACCCCCCGAGCCCGGCACGGGGGGTGCTCAGGAAGGTGCCCCCTGGGGGGATGTCCCAGGGTGGGATTGGACGGTCCCGTCTCCCACTCCCGGTGTTCCGGCAGGGAATTCCAAACACACCCACGGCTCGGAATGCACGAGGCTGCTCCGGCCAGGAGTGTTTGTTCCAGTGAGGGTTTCTCCCTGCAGGAGGGAAGGAGGAGCTGGGGGGTCTCAGCTCTGCTGCATCTCCCTCCTCATCTCCTCCAGCGCCGCCTCCCTCTCCCGCAGCAGCTGCTTCAGCCGCCGGATCTTCTCGTCCCGGATCGTCTCGTCCAGGTCCGGGGGAGCCGCTGGGAATGCATCATCCCTGAAAGAACCTTCCAGCAGGGAGGCAGAGCCCCCAGCAGTCACCAGCTCCGGCATCTCCGAGTCCGAGCTGTCGCTGCAGGCCGGGGGTGTCCCCGGCTCCGAGTCCCTCGCTGGGGAAGCTCCGCAGGATCCCGTGGGAATCCTCGGCTCTGGGGAGGCTGCAGGGGGTGAAACGCTCCTGGGAGGGGCATTGGGGGGTTCTGAACTCGGGCTTGGGGAGGATCTGGCTGAGTTTCTCCTTCTCTTCCCGCTGTCTGACAGGGGGGACGATTTGATTTTCCTCTTCCTGGTCAGATCCTCCTCCAGATCCACAACGACCTGCACGGGCAGGAACACAAAACGCTGGATCAGCCCCAGCCGTGCTCAGGGAACACAAACCACGAGCTCTCTGCTGAAACCCCTCAGAATTCCTTCAGCAAAGGGACACCTCTCTGTGCTCCGTATTTTTGTGGTCAAGGTTCCCAGTGAAAAATTCCAGAGCCTTCCATTCCCTCCTGGAGGTGGAAGGACACTGCACACCTGCTGGGCCTGCCCACCATCTCCCATGGCTGCTCAAGTTCTTTACCACAAGGGCAGGACAAAGACTTTCTAAAATGAACCAGAACTGCTCAAGTTTAAATTTCCAAAAAGCTCAACCACAGCAGATGTCCAACACCAGGGGAAATTCCCCTCAGATATCCTGGTATTTAAATCATGGAATTATGGAGTGGGTTGGGTTGGGAGACACCTCAAAGCTCATCCAGCTCCACCCCCTGCCGCGGGCAGGGACACCTCCCACCCTCCCCGGTTCTCCAGGTGGCCTTGGGCACTTCCAGGGATGGTTTAATCTGAAGAGGAGCTTTAAATCTGCTCAGTTTTAGCCCAGGATTAGCGGAGCCTGAGAGAGGCTTTGGTTGGGCTGGGCAGGGTCCCAGAAAAGGAAATGCAGGCCACTGGCTGAGCTGGATGGATAAAACCCTCCCCTGCACTGGGATGGGAGTTCCCCCTCCCAGGAACATCCAGCCGAGTTCTCCCAGTGACAAAGGACAAAGTTTTAAGGATTTGCAGCTCCGAACACTGGGCAGGTCCACAGGTCAATTTATTGTAATAAATTAGTTCTGCTTTAGTTCTAATAAACCCCCAGCCTTGAAATGATGGCCCTTGGCTGATCTCAAACTCAACTGATACGATTCCTAATTAATTATAAATGATGTTAATCACTAAATTATCCTCCCACTCCTCTGCTCGTGCTCCTGCCCTGGGGATGCTGGGGTTGAACACCACCCAGGACACAGAGCCCCCAGTTCCCCCCAGGACCATCCCTGGACTCCACAGCCACCATCAGCAGGGCCAAACTCCTCCAAACCATTTCTTGTCCAAACTCCCTCGGGTGGAGCCCCAAAACCAAGCCCAGAGATTCTCAGCTGGTGCTCAGGAACCCCAAACACGTTCTGGGAATGACCATGCCAACAGTTCCCGGTGAATCCGCGGCTGGGGGGGCTCCCAACAACCCCCAGCCCTGCACCCTGAAGAATTCCCAGGTACCTTTTCCTCCTGAGCACACTCCTGAGGGCAGTTCCTCGTTTCCACATCCAGGGAGGACGAGCTGCAGGAATCCCTTTTGCTGTCCAGGCTGGAACAGCCCCTTCCCTTGGGCTCCTCCCAGAACTCCCAGGTCAGTGGGATCCTCCTCAGGGAAACCCTCTCCTCCTTGCACAGCCCAAATCTCCTCCTCAGTTCCGAGTACTGCTTCCAGTGGGGCTGCTCTGGGGGCGGTGTTGTCACCTTTCCCAGGGGATCCATCTGCTCCCACCGCACCTGAAACACAGCATCAGCAGGAGAGCCATCAGTCCCGCTCCCCCTTTCTCTCCATAACAACAGATAAAATACAGGAACATGGAAAAAGAGGTGAGGGAAGGAGAGGGGAACGTTGGCTGGCTCTGCCCCCCCCCCCAAGAGCCCCATTTAGCACAGAGAATAATTCTGGTAAATTATGCACATTATCAGAGGTCTAACACTCATTAATGACTTAAAACTCCATTTTAACCCCCCACCCCCAAAACAGTGAAAATCCATCATGGAACATCCAGAAAACATCCAGTTCAACCATCAACCACAGAAATCAGAGGAGCAACAGGAGAATCCCTTGTTCTCCACCTTCAAATCCCCAAGGAAGAGCAGGGAGGAGCAGGCAGTGCCTCTGCTCTTGAAAATCCAGGGCGAGGCAAATTTCGGGGCAGAAAGCAGCACTTTTGCTCAGCTGTTTGAAGGAAATGCAGAAATAAACTGTATTTCAACCCTTTTTCGGGTGAGGAACACACAGGGCAGGGAGGAAGGAGCTGACTGTGCGTGCCAGGAGGACAAACTCTGCTCCTCCAGCTCCTTTTCCCCCTTGGGAAACTGCAAACTTCTCCTTCTCCACCTCACATCCCACAGCTGTGCTGGGAACGTGGGAGGATCCCCCTTGGAGAGCTCAGAGCACGACCAGCCCCCCTGGGGCTCCAGTTTGTCCCGTGAGGGGGCAAAACCCATCCGTGCTGGGCCCCTTCCTCTTCCTCCTGCATCTCCCACTCAGCTCGACCCCAGTGGGGAGGAAAAGGCCATTTATGGGCCACAACCAACTCCAGACTGGGATCCCCAGTGACAAAACTCCGTGAGCTCCTCAAGGGCCGTTCTGTCCCCTCAAACCCCATGGGAGACTGAGGGGGGGTTAACTGGTAATTAAATTACCTCGGGCCACTCTCCACTGGGAGCACGTTCCTGCTCACCCTGAGGTGACACAGCCCCTGCTGCTCTGGGAGGGGGGTGACTCCTGTCCCTGCCACCTGTGCACTGTGTCCCCAGGGCCGGGGCTGGGCCATGTCCCGGGGCTGGGACAGGGCAGGGACTCCTCTGGATGGCACCCGGATCCTGCTGCTCCTCCCTGGGCGGCACCGGGGCGGCTCTGGAGCCATCTGGGGACGAGTGCTGGGGGTCTGCAGGTGGGCTGGGGTCCCTGTGAGCCAGCAGCACTCCTTTGCCCTTGGACAGCACCAGGTTGACCACCTTGCTGGTTATTTTGTTGACAGTAGAGGAGTCCACTCGCTGGGGCCTCTCCTTCCTGAGGGGAGCCTCTGAGGAGGAGGAGGGGGGGGATTGTCTCTCAGCCTGGGCCGCCAGGATGTCAGAGCCTCTCCTGGTCAGCAGATAGACCTTGCCGTTGTACATCACCAGGGCGTTGTCCTTGAGCGGCGCCAGCTTGGCCTGGGCCCCGCCGGGGCAGGGGGGCAGGACGCCGGCAGAGCTCCCCTCCGCGTTCCTGGCGTCCGACAGCGTCTTCAGGATCCTGGAGGCCACGTTGTTGGAGGATTTGACGGGGATCAGGCAGGGGGCCGAGATGGGGGCGGCCTCCTGCACAATCCACTTCATGGGGCTCTGGCGGCGCTGCCGCCCCACGGGGGGAGCCGGGCCGGGAGATCCCCCCCGCTCCGGGGCCGCCGTCAGCAGCAGCGCCTTGGGCACCTCGGCCCCGCCCGGGGGGCAGAGCAGCCGCTTGGGCAGCGCCTGCGGGCTCCTCACGGTGTTGACGGGGGACACGTAAATCACCGTGGGCGGCCTGGAGCCGTCGGTGCCGGCGGTGGCCGCCAGGATCCTCCGCTGGATGGCCGGGGGCAGCAGCGAGGCCGGCACGGATTTCACCTCCGCGTCCGCCGGGATCTGCAGGTGGTGGCCCGAGGGCAGCACCGGGGACTTGACGGTCACGGGGACGGGTTTGGCGTTGACCACAACGTAGGCCGGGCTGCCCTGGGGGGACGAGCTGGACACGGCCACGTCCTGCACGCACCCCCTGTCCACGCCCTGCATGGCGCTCGGAACCGACCCCTCCTGCTCACAGCCCGCCCTGACACCCTCCTGCTTGTCCAGAGTCCTCGCCAGGATGATCTTCCCGGAATTAGGAGGCTGGAAGATCTTAACGGACGCAGGCGCGGCGGAAGCGCCGAGCTGGCTCTGAAAGGTGAGGTGGACGGGGGCGGAGATGTCCCCTGAGGGGCTGTTTGGCATGGCCGGAGCCTGAACTAGTGGCACAAAGCTTCCCGCAGCCTTGGGAATGGGGAGCAGTTTCAGGAGGTTTTTCCCATCGGGTCCCGTGGTCTGAAGGACTCGGTACATGCAGCCTGCAATGCTTGACAAAGAGAGGGGGGAGAGAGAGAACAGAGAGGCAGGGTGAGTGAACACAGCACAGACACTTCAGCAGCAGCACCCCCAGCGACACCCCAGGACCCAGCCAGAGCTGAGCTCCAAGAGCTTCAGCAGCTTCAGGAGCTTCAGCAGCTTCAGCAGCTTGAGGAGCTTCAGCAGCTTGAGGAGCTTCAGGAGCTTCCTCCTGTCCTGCCCATGGAACTTTGCATCTCCCACCACCACCGACTGGCTGGAGACACCACCCAACTCCTGCCCCTCCCCAGCAGCCAGAAATGGCATCTTTTTCAGCTTAAAAATATGTGAGAAGGCCCAAGGACACCCCTCACTTTGTCCTCCTCCTCCCCTCACAAGGAATTATCCCAAAAATGAAACCGTCGTCTCCTCTCCCTCTTTAGATCCCTCCTGGGTGCTGGGAACCAGGAATTTCAGGAAAGCTCCAGGAAACCGCTAGGCAGATTAGTTTGCATGGCAAGATGGAAGCAGAAATTACTTCAGGCACACACAGAAAAACCCAGGAATTCAGAAGCAGGACAGGGTGGAGGTGACCCCTGTGCCCACAGGTGCTCCTTGAGACACGGAAAGCAAAGCTGGCTCATCCTCAAAGAGATGGAAAACCCCCCAGTGCCACCAGGTTTTGAGCGTTTTTGAGGGCAGGAGGCTCAGTCTGGGAAGGAAAAAGCTTCAAAAACGAGGAGAAAGACACGGAAACAGCACTGGGGACACCGGGAGAGCAAAGGGATTTTTTTGCAGGTGAAGGGACTCAAACCAAGGCTTGTCAGAACACAGGTGAAGTTGGGACTGCTTCAAATGCCAGGATTTTGGAGTCCATGGCAAGACAGAGAACCTTTCCCACCCCAAGGGGGTTGTCCCGAATGCAGGACCTGCCCCAGAGCTCCTGGGCTCTCAGAGGACAATCTGACTGTGAGCCAACTGAGCTGCCCTGGCCGGGAGAGAAGGCACCAAACCCCTGGGATGTGCTTTCCTGGGCCTGACAGATCCAGAGGGAATAAAAGGCGGAGCTGCCAACCCCACCTGGAGTCCCCAAGAGCATCAGCCCCACCCCACGGAGTTCCTATGCCAGTAAACTCCTGGAGAATGTGGATGTGGGATCAGCCCTGGCCCCAGCCAGGATCACCTGGGCCGGTTCTGCTTCCCTGGCAGGGAGTTCCCAAATGGCTTTTTCCCTGTCCCTTTGGGCTTGGAACAGTGCCTGGGAGGTGTCAATCCCGTGTCCCAACCGCTGGATCTGCTCCAGGAGTGGCCAAGGCGTTCCCTTTCCCCACCAGGGGACAGGGATGTTCATTCCCAAGGCTGGGCAGCTCCTGCTGCAGCCCGGGGTGACCAAATCCCCCCTAGAACCTCCCTCCCTGGGACCGTGGAATTAACCCCACACCCGCTATTTTGGGCCAGAGCCTCATTTTGGGGCTCAGTGTGTGAAAAGTGAGGCTCTTGCAGGAGGGCTCAGGGTGGGGGGCAGGAACTGGCCGGGTTTCTGCCTCTCTTCCCCTGCGGGCAGCAGGTCCTGGTGGAAGGCGGGAGAAGAAAACAGAGCTGGATATTCTGGACTCAGAAGTGAGAGCTGAGAGGGAGCAGCACTGACAGGCAGAGCTTGGCTCAGCCACAGAAATCCTGGTGTGTTTGAGAGCACAGGGACAGCGGGGAAAGAAGATTTTTTTGGAGCGTTTTGAACGTCGGGAAGATCGGCAGCTCCTGAGGCAGCGCTTCGTGTGCCGGGCTTTGGATATCCTGAAAACTCCTCAACTGCCCCTTCCCTCAGCAGGAATCAACACCCCAGAGGCAAATCCCGGCGGGATTTTCCAGCAGAGCCCCCCGGGAGCTGCTGGTGGAGCGGAGAGCAGGCAGCACTTACCTCCACCCCCCTACCCAGGGCTGCCAGGGGGCACCTCAGGGCGCAACCACCTCGTCCTCCACCTGCCAAGGCAAGGGGACACCTCTGACCGCGGGGCACGAGGGACAGGGGCACGATCAGAGCAGGAGGAAGGGAGGGAAGCAGCGAGGGAGGAGCCAGAGGGCGTTCCCACGGCAGGGTCCCCGGCGGGATCGCGGTGTTCCCACCCGGAGTCGCTCCGAGGGGCTCGGGAAAGCGGGACGGGGATTGGGGAGGTTCTGGGGGAGGAAGGCGCCGGTTTGAGGAGCTCCAGGATTTCAGGAGGCAACTCTCAGCTGGTTGATGGCCCTGGAAATGAGGGGGAAACCCCAGAGCGGCAGCTGTTGTTGGGTACTTGAACCTCAGGCACCGAAGAACCCCAAAAAAAACGAGGGAGAAGGGAAGGAAACGTTCCAGGAGACCCTGAGGAGTGGGATTCCCACTCAGACACCTCCAGAAGAGGAAGGGAAGGACCATTGACAGCATTTTGGGCGGCATTTAAATGGAAGATGCTTCTCACAGCAGAAAGACTTTCCCAGGAAACACGAAGAAATCACCGGGTTTCACATTGCCACAATAAAATAAAGCACTTTCACCATTTTCACCCTTTTTTTTGAGTGATGGAGAGGAGAGGTAAAAGTTATTTTACTCCAGTTTTCAGGTCACTGTTAATCTGAATTAATGGATCTTTAAGAATCCCCTCATTTGAATTAATGGATCTCTTTAAGAATTCCTTCAGCAGAAGTGGAAAAAATTCCACTTGGATCCCCTTTTCAGGGGGATTATCAGATCAGATCCACTGGGTTTAAGATCAAGTTAATTCCTTTTTCTAAGACAAAAATAATAACAGGAATTCTGGTTTATGTCAAGTTGTCCCTGAGGATTTTTCCCATCATTTCTGGAGTTTTCTTCCTCCTCTTCATCCTCCTTCTCCTCCCTCAGCCCCACAGAATTCCTGTTTTCCTGCCCATTTTATTGTCTAAACTCCCCCTGTTGTTCATCCCTGTCACCAGAGCAGCACAAAACACAAAATACTGAGCATTTAAACTTCCATTTTCTGTCCCTCGTGGTTCATTAACAAATACATTTCCAGGAACCAAGAGCCACTGATTTATGCTGAATAAATTCAATCCCCAAATCCAACCCAGCGGGAGGTGAAATCCCCGAGAAATCCCGACCGTGCCACCAAAAATCAATCGGATTGAAGGGACAGACTGGCACCAACTGCAATTTTCCTGCCAAGGTGCCAGAACAAACGATCCCCCTTGGAAAAACGGGCCCCTTCTCCCTCTGCCTTTGCTCCCAGATGTTGGCTCAGACCCAGCTTTCACCTTCCATGGACGGGAATAAATCACCAGGAACTGGAGCCAGGATTTGTTTGGCTGGGACTGGCTGGGTCCAGGAAGAGGTAAAATAACATTTATGGTAAATTGGAAAAGCACCCCCAGGGCCAAAGTGGAATGGATGGATTGGAGTTTGTATCTATTGATTTTACATAAGTGTACCCAATCCACGGTTTGGCTGAATATTGTAGTAGTAGTAATAAAAATAATAATAATACATTTATTTATATAGTTATTTTATATAGCTGTACCCATTCCAAATATTGGTTGAATATTGTAACAAAATAACACTATTATTTATTAATAATTAATGAGAATATTTAATATATATTAATAATTATACGTATTATTATAGTTATTATATTTATAATTACTATAATTACTGTTATAATTATTATTAATTGGTATTAGTAATACATCATCATTATTATTATTATTATTATTATTATTATTATTATTATTATTATCCAAAGGAAATTGGGATGTGGGTGTTGAATCCCCAGGAATCCTGGGGTTTTCTCCTAATCCAAAAGCTTCCAAGGGTGGCACAAAAAGCACTTTGTGTCCAACAATAATCGTGTCTGGAGACTCCTCCAGCTCTGTGGGGTGTTCCCTGGGAGCAGAGAATTCCAGGCTGTGCCAGGACAGGCTCCGTGGGCAGATCCCGCTCCAGCCGCAGAACCCTCGGGAGAATCCAAGGCCATCCCAGGGCGTTTGGAGTCCCCACCCCTGGGGGGATTTAAAATCCACGTGGATGTGGCCCCTGGGGACATGGCCGGGGTGGCCTTGGCAGGGCTGGGCTGGTTGGACTCGATGGTCCCAGGGGGCTTTTCCAGCCTCAAGGATCCCAGGGCTACAAAGCACGGGAGGCTCAATCCCTCCCTCTGGCACCCCTCACATTCCCATTCCCGGTTTCCCGGGGGCTCCAGCACATCCTGCCCTCCCCCTCCCCGGGCCCCTCGACGGGTCAACGAAAAACAACGGCGAGAACGGCTCCGGAACGGCCCCGGGGACCGCCGGGGACACCCCGACCGGGACAGGCCGGAGCGAAAGGGAAAGTGAAACAGGGGGAAAGGGAAGGAAAATAAAAGGAAGGGGAGGGGAGGGGAAGGGGAAGGGGAGAGGAAGGGGAAGGGGAAGGGGAAGGGGAAGGGGAAGGGGAAGGGGAAGGGGAAGGAAAGAAAGGGAAGGGAAGGGAAGGGATGGGACGAGAAGGCAAAGACAAGGCAGGGACGACGCCCCCAGCCCGGCCCTCCCCGGGTCCCTCTGGGGTGTCCCGTTCCCAATCCTGGTCCCTGTCGGGGGTCGTGTCCGGTCCCGTCCCTGTGGGGTGTCCCATTCCCGCTCCCATCCCGTCCCTGTGGGGTGTCCCGATCCCGATGCCGATCCCGTCACTCACAACTGCGGCCGCCGCTCGGCGCTCCCGGACATGGCCCCGCCCGCGCCGCTTCCGCCGGCCCGGCCCGCCCCGAGCCTTCCGGGGCACGGCCGGGAAACGGCTCCTCCAGCGGCACTGCCGGGAATGGCAGCCGGGAGAGCGGGATTGACAGCCTGGGAGAGCGCTAACGACAGCCTGGGATACCGGCAAGGACAGCCTGGGATGGAGGGAACGCCGGGAATTCCGGGGGAACCGGCCCGGCCCGGCCCGCACCTTCCGCGGCTCTGAGGGGACGCGGCTCCTCCAGCGGCACTGCCGGGAATGGCAGCCCGGAATACCGGGAATGACAGCCCGGAATGCGGGGAATGACAGCTGGGATAGCGGGAATTGCGTCTGGGGAACGGGGAATTACAGCTGGGATAGCGGGAAGGACAGCCTGGGAATACGGGGAATTCCAGGGGTACCGGCCCGGCCCGGCCCGGCCCGGCCCGCGCCTTCCGGGAAACGGCCGGGAAACAGCTCCTCCAGCGGCACTGCCGGGAATTACACCTGGCATGGCGGGAATACCGGGATTGACAGCCTGGAATACCGGGAATGACGGCTGGGATACCGGGAATGACAGCTGGGATACCGGGATTGACAGCCTGAGATACCGGGAATGACGGCTGGGATACCGGGAATGACAGCCTGGAATACCGGGAATGACAGCTGGGATACCGGGAATGACAGCCTGGGATACTGGGAATGACAGCCTGGGATACTGGGGGAAACTGGGAAAACTGGGGGAGAAAGGGGGGAAATTGGGAGAGGGGGGAAGGGGGAAAAGGGGCCCTGGCATTGCCCACCGACACCGGGATGAGCCAGCACTGCCAGGGAAAGGGAAGGGAAGGGAAAGTTTGGGAAGGGAAGGTTTGGGAAGGGAAGGTTTGGGAAGGGAAGGTTTGGGAAGGGAAGGGAAGGGAAGGGAAGGGAAGGTTTGGGAAGGGAAGGTTTGGGAAGGGAAGGTTTGGGAAGGGAAGGTTTGGGAAGGGAAGGTTTGGGAAGGGAAGGTTTGGGAAGGGAAGGGAAGGTTTGGGAAGGGAAGGTTTGGGAAGGGAAGGTTTGGGAAGGGAAGGTTTGGGAAGGGAAGGGAAGGTTTGGGAAGGGAAGGTTTGGGAAGGTTTGGGAAGGGAAGGTTTGGGAAGGTTTGGGAAGGGAAGGGAAGGGAAGGGAAGGGAAGGGAAGGTTTGGGAAGGAAGGTTTGGGAAGGAAGGAAGGAAGGGAAGGGAAGGGAAGGAAGGAAGGGAAGGGAAGGGAAGGAAGGAAGGGAAGGGAAGGGAAGGGAAGGGAAGGGAAGGGAAGGGAAGGGAAGGGAAGGGAAGGGGGGAAGGGCTCTGTGAAGTGTGTGGGAAGAGCACTAAAATAATGAAAGAAAGAAGAAAAAAAAAGAAAAAAGAAAAGAAAAAAAAAGAAAAGAAAAAAGAAAAGAAAAGAAAAGAAAAGAAAAGAAAAGAAAAGAAAAGAAAAGAAAAGAAAAGAAAAGAAAAGAAAAGAAAAGAAAAGAAAAGAAGTAATTATTGTTCCTGCTAATGAGCCCCGTGAAATGACTCAAGGAGTAAATGACTTGGAACTCACAATTTTTAATTTAAAATTTAAATACAATTATAATAATTTTATATTTATATTTTATGTATTAATAAAATACAGTTATAACCATAAATAAAATAAAACAGTGATTAACATTTTAAACCTCTCTCATTTTAAACCTCTTTGTATCGCTCAGCACTGGGATGTCCTGGATCATTGGGATACAGATTTCTGTGCTCTCGGAGTCTGGGAAAGGATTTCGATTCAGCTCGGGTCTTTAGGTACAAAAACTCAGGGGATTTTATAAAAAAAAAAAATCTTATTAAACTTTACATTAAAGGCACCTCAAAGATTAATGCACAAACGGGACACAGATGGGACAGAAAAGGGACATGAAAGGAACACAAAAGGAACACAAAAGGGACACAAAAGGGACACAAAGACTCGAGCGCTGCAGCTGGAACTGCAGCAGGGTTGGTTGGAGCACTCAGGCCCTGGCAGGGGCTGCCCAGGGAGGTTTGGAGTCCCCAGTCCTGGAGGTGTCCCAGGACGTGGCACTCCCTGCTCTGGGCTGGGAGGGCTTTTCCAGGCTCAGGAATTCCGGGATTCCCCGATTCTGCCTCACAGGAGCTTCTCCATCGCTGGAAGCAAATCCCAAGTTCAGCTGCACTGCCCAAACACGGCTCCTCCTGTCCCAGCAGCTCCTGCTCCTTCCAGAGTGGCCCCGGGAATGGCTCCGGGACAACAGGAGTGCAGAGAGGATGGGAGAGCTGGGAATGTTCCCCTGGAGAAGGGAAGGCTCCAGGGACACTTTGGAGCCCCTGCCAGGGCCTGAAGGGGCTCCAGGAGAGCTGGAGAGGGACTGGGGACAAGGGATGGAGGGACAGGACACAGGGAATGGCTTCCAACTGCCAGATGGAGGGAAAGATAGGAGATGGGGAAGGAATTGCTGGCTGGGAGGATGGGGAGGGGCTGGGATGGAATTCCCAGAGGATGCCCCATCCCTGGAGTGTCCAAGGCCAGACTGGATAAACTCGGAGTCACCTGGGATGGTAGGAGGTGTCCCTGCCCATGGAAAGGTGGGATGGGATGAGCTTTAAGGTCCTTCCCCACCCAATCCAGTCTGGAATTCCCTGATCCTGTCCCAGGCACCCCCAGGACTCACTGAAGTTCCAGGGACACAAAATCCTCTGAGCAGAGATCCAGGGAAATGAAGCCCAAACCTCTCAGGGCTTTTGAAGGCAAAGTCTGGGCCTTAAAACTGGGGATGACAAACCCAAACTGAGGACTAAAAACCCCAAACTGGGGACAACAAACCCAAACTGGGGCTACAAATACCAAACTGGGGCTACAAACACCAAACTGGGGATGGCAAACCCCAAACTGGGCTAAAAACTCCAGACTGAGGATAATAAAGCCCAAACTGGGGACCAAAAATCCAAAACTGGGGCTAAAAACCCAAACTGGGGACAAAAAAAACCCTAACTGGGGACAAAAACCCCCAAACGGGGGACAACAAACCCAAACTAAGCTAAAAAAAAAAACAAACTGGGGACTCAAAACCAAAACTGGGGATGACAATCCCCAAACTGGGGACTAAAAAACCCCAAACTGGGGACTAAAAACCTGAATTGGGAACAAACCCCAAACTGGGGATGACAAACCCAAACAGGGGACTAAAAACCCCAAACTGGGCACAAAAACCCCAAACTGAGGCTCCAGTCCCAGACTGGGGGCTCCAATCCCAAACTGGGGGCTCCAATCCCAAATGGAGACTCCCATCCCAAACGGAGGCTCCAATTCCAAACTGGGGCTCCCATCCCAAATTCCGCTGTCCCGGCATTCCCGGGGCCCGCCCCGGGTCAGCACCACGGACAGGGAGCAGCAAATCCCGCCGGGAGCAGCGAGGAATGCAGGGAAGCAGAGGGGATCCAGGAGGCTCCAGAGCAGCAGATCAGCCCTCAGGAACCAGCAGCGGGATGGGATCATTTCCAGGGAAGGTTTGGGAAGGTTTGGGAAGGTTTGGGAAGGGAAGGTTTGGGAAGGGAAGGGAAGGTTTGGGAAGGGAAGGTTTGGGAAGGGAAGGTTTGGGAAGGGAAGGTTTGGGAAGGGAAGGTTTGGGAAGGGAAGGGAAGGTTTGGGAAGGGAAGTTTTGGGAAGGGAAGTTTTGGGAAGGGAAGGTTTGGGGAAGGGAAGGGAAGGGAAGGGAAGGGAAGGGAAGGGAAGGGAAGGGAAGGGAAGGGAAGGGAAGGGAAGGGAAGGGAAGGGAAGGGAAGGGAAGGGAAGGGAAGGGAAGGGAAGGGAATGTTTTTTGATCTCCAGGAGCCCTGAACTCCTCAGAGAGCTGACTCAGGACTCCCTCTGGCAGAGGATTTCAGTGGGAATCATCCCAGTTTCTGGATTTCAGGGAATCCCAGATTTGTTTGGGTTGGAGGGACCTTAAATCCCATCCCACCCCTGCCCTTGGCAGGTACACCTCCCACCATCCCAGGCTGCTCCAGCCTGGCCTTGGGCACTTCCAGGGATGGGAAATCCATTCCATTCCCTCCCCACCCTCCCAGCCAGCAATTCCTTCCCAATCTCCCCCCTATCCCTGGGAAGCCATTCCCTGTGTCCTGTCCCTCCATCCCTTGTCCCCAGTCCCTCTCCAGCTCTCCTGGAGCCCCTTCAGGCCCTGGAAGGAGCTCCAAAGTGTCCCTGGAGCCTTCCCTTCTCCAGGGGAACATTCCCAGCTCTCCCAGCTCCTCCATTCCCACATTTCTCCCCCCGAAAAGCTCCAGTTGAGCTCGGAGGGCTGAGCTTGGCTCAGGGCACAGGTTGGGAAGCAGCTCCCAAGCCCTGCCGGGTCCTGGAGGCACCGGGAAGCCGCAGGAGGAGCCCAGGTGCCACCTCGTGTCCGCTCCAAGCCCGGCAGCTCTTCCCAAACTTCCTCTCTCCGCTGGAAAAATCCCGGAATCTCAAGGGCCGCCCCCGAGGCGGGACCGACCCCCTGCTGATCCCGCGGGGAGGGGATGGAGGGATGAGGGATCAGCAGAGTCCCGAAATAATCCCTAATCCAGCTCAGCAATTCCCGCCCAACAACTCCACACCCCCCCCCACCCCATCCCACAGCCAGCGGCTTTTCCAGGGAGCTGATTTGCCCCGTTCCCAAAAATGCTCCCAGGCTTTTGGGATCCCCCAGAAGTGAAGCCCCCCGAGGTCGGGGAGCAGCCAGACCCGGGCTGTTTGGGGTGCCCCTCCCTGCTCCCACATCCCGGAAAAACGGGGGGACTCCTGAGGCTCAGGGGAGCACCCAGCAGGAATTTTGGGGGCCAGGGCCCCACACAGCCCATGGAGCTCCTGGGGGGGTCCCGACCCCGCCCCCGCTTTCCCCTCACTGCGCCAAGCCACGCCCCCCGCGCTGGTTTTGTTCAGGGGGCGTGGCTTCCGTTCCCGCCCGCGGCTCTCACCCAATGGCAGCACCCACATTCAAAAAGGAACCGCCCAGAGGGCGGAGCTAGGCCGTGGGTGTCACCCAATCAGCGCACGGGGGGGCGGGGCAGCGAGCGGGGCGTGCGGCCGTTTCCAGGCGACGGAGGAAGTCCCGCCCCCGGCGCGCGCCGCCTCACGGGGCTGAGGGGGGGGCGGGAAACGGGGATCGGACCCTCCGAGGGTAATTAACGGGTCTGGGGGTAATTAATGGGTTTGGGGGGTAATTAGCGGGGCCGAGGGGTAAATAAGCAGCGCGGCTGGAGGTGGGGGCTGTTCCTGAGGGGGTTCTGTGGGGGTGGGGCTGTGTGGGCCGTTCCCGTCCTTTGGGGTTGGGGGAGGAGCCCTTGTCCGTGTGAGGGGGTGGTTAATTGGGCTGGGGGGTTGATTAATTAGGATGAGGGTGTTAATAATTGGGCTGAGGGGGTATTTAATGAGGCTGAGGGGGTCAATAATTGGGTTAGGAGTAATTAATTAGACTGAGGGGGTAACTGATTGGGCTGAGGGGTGATTAATGAGGCTGAGGGGGTTAATAATTCAGCTGAGGGGTAATTAATTAGTATGAGGGGGTTAATAATTGGACTGAAGGGTAATTAATTAGTATGAGGGGGGTTAATAATTGGACTGAGGGGTAATTAATTAGACTGAGGTGGTTAATAATTGGGCTGAGGGGTTAAGTAATGAGGCTGAGGGTGTTAATAATTGGGCTGAGGGGTAATTAATTAGGATGAGGGGGTAACTACTTGGGCTGAGAGATAATTAACTGGGCTGTGGGGGTCAATAATGAGCCTGAGGGGTAATTAATTAGTCTGAGGGGGTCAGTAATTGTGCTGAAGGGGTCAGTAATTGGGCTGGGGGAGTAATTAATTGGGCCCAGGGTTTATTATGGAATATTAAAGTCCGGGGTTTATTAGGGAATATTAAAGCCCAGGGTTTATTCGGGAGTCTTTCAGTCTGGGATTCCTGAGGTTCAGCTGGGCCTGGGGGGTGGGATGGCTCACAGAGCAGCTCCAGGACAGGCTCAGCGGTGTCTGGGTGTCCTCACCCGGCACAGCAGCATCAGGACAGGCTCTGGGTGTCCCTACCCCGGCACAGCGGTTCCAGCCTGGCCGGTGTGTGTTCCAGGGCTGTGTGTGTGTTCCAGGCTGGTCTGTGTGTGTTCCAGGGCTGTGTGTGTGTTCCAGGCTGGTCTGTGTGTGTTCCAGGCGCAGTCCCGAGCGGGCCATGCAGCGGGGGACGCGGCTGCAGCGGGAGCTGTCTCTCCTGGCCGCGGAGCCGCCGCCGGGCATCTCCTGCTGGCAGAGCGGGCAGCGCACAGACCGCCTGCGGGCACGTGGGTACCGGGGCACCGGGGGGGTCCCTGAGGGTCTGGAGTGCCCGAGGGGGGTCCCTGGAGTGCCCGGGGGGGTCTCTGGAGTATTGGGGTGTCCCTGGAGTGCCCTGGGGAGGGTCCATGTGTGCCCGTGAGGGGTCCCTGGAGTATTGGGGCGTTTGGGATCTCTGGAGTATTGGGGGGTCCCTGGAGTGCCCTGGGGGAGGGGGGTGTCCCTGGAGTGCCCTGGGAAGTCTCTGGAGTATTGGGGGTTCTCTGGAGTGCCCCAAGGGGGTTCCTGGAGTGCCCTGGGGCAGTCCCTGTTGTGCCCCAGGGGTTCCCTGAGATGGGGCTGGGTCTGTGCTCACTGCAGGGTTTGTACTTTATGAGCTGCATGGAAGTGTGAAATTTAGGGAGAATACTTGTATTTTTATTTACTTTTATTTATTTGGTTTTCCTGTGATTTTTCTTTCTTCCTGTGATTTTTCTTCCTGTGATTTTATTATTTACTTGATTTTAATTTTATTTATTTGGATTTATTTGATAAATCATTTTTATCTATTTCATTTCTTATTTTGTTTTGGTATATTTATATTTTACTTGTTTTATTTCTTTTGGGTTTATTTATTGTTATTTTATTTATTTATTTTTAATTTTAAATGTTATTTTTAGTTTTATTTTCTTTCATCTTTATTTATTTTGGGTTTATTTCTTTCATTTCATTTATTTATTTTTATTATTGGGGGTTTTTTTAAACATGCTTTGGCTATCCTGCCAAGGTTTTCATTGCTGAGGGGTGGAGCTGCTCTCAGCCCAAATGAGGGTTTTTATTCCTGGATTCTTCCCTGGGAGGGGTTGGAATGGAATCCCCATCCCTGGGAGTGTCCAAGGCCAGGTGGGAGCAGCCTGGGCTGGTGGGAGGTGTCCCTGGGGGGTGGGGTGGGATGGGATTTGAGGTCCCTCCAACCCAACCCATTCCGTGATCTGAGCAGTTCTGTAACTCTGGGAGCTGCTGGACGATTCCAAAGGGTTTGGAATGTGACCTCTCTGTTCTCTCCTGGCTCCTGAAGAAATCCTAGGAGGTGCAGACACCCCCTATGAGAAGGGAATATTCAACCTGGAGATCATCGTTCCTGAGAGGTGAATGGGCATCCAGCTTAGGTTAACTGGGATGAAATCCTTCCCTGGGAGGGTGGGGAGGGGCTGGGATGGAATTCCCAGGGGATGCCCCAGCCCTGGGAGTGTCCAAGGCCAATTTGGAGCAGCCTGGGATGGTGGGATGGGATTTGAGGTGCCTCCAACCCACCCTGGATCTGTCTGAGTGCTGCTCTCCAACAGAGTGAACTGCTGACCTTGCTGCTTCCCCTTATCCTGCCAACAAGGAGTGGGACTGAGCCCCTTTTTCCAAGGAATGGCCTTGCTTCTCCCGTGGCTGGCACACTCATTTCACACTGACCATCCCAGATGTGCTGATGAACCCCCAAAAAGTGCCATGGGTGGAAACAATGGTGGTGAAACAACCAGAGCTACAATCCCTCCTTCCTTTGCTCTCCCCCCTCCAGGTACCCCTTCGAGCCCCCCAAAATCCGCTTCCTGACCCCCATCTACCACCCCAACATCGACTCTGCGGGCAGGATTTGCCTGGATGTTCTCAAGTTACCCCCCAAGGTGAGGGAGCTCCTTCCCACAGATTGAATGTCCCGTGCTCCTGATCAATTTACACCCCGCCGGGAGGGAGGGAGGGCGGCTCTGACGCGGCCTCTCTTTGTGTCCTGCCACAACTGGAGCCACGTCCTTTGTTCCAGGGGAGTTTCCAGGGTTTTAGTGCTTGGAGCCCGAGGGAATTGGGTTGTTCCCACTGCCCTGCTGGGCTGCCTTGGGGCCGGATGGTGGGACTGGGGGGTGTTTCCCGTGGGTGCTGAGGGGCCTCAGCAGGGTCCCTTCTCCCCACAGGGTGCCTGGAGGCCCTCCCTGAGCATCTCCACCCTGCTGAGCTCCATCCAGCTGCTGATGGCAGAGCCCAACCCCGATGACCCTCTCATGGCTGACATCGTGAGCTCCTCCCCGTGGGCAGGGCAGGGCAGGGGGGACCTCAGGCTGGCTTCAGGCTGAGTTTTGGGGACCTCAGGCCGGGTTTAGGCTGAGCTTTGGGTGACCACCCTGGCAGTGGATCCACAGGAGCTGACCAAGGTCTGACCTCCAAGCTCTGCCCAAGTTCCTTGAGCCAACCCAAGGCATCTGCTGCTCTGGGTTTGGGCTGGCTCAGGACCCCTAAAGCCAGGCCTAAGTCCCAGCTTCTTGGTGAGATGTTTTAAGCCTGGCTTTGTCTGCTCTTCCCCTCCAGTCCTCAGAGTACAAGTACAACAAGCAGCTGTTCCTGCTCCGTGCCCGGGAGTGGACGGAGAGGCACGCGGGGCAGGACAGGGTGAGGCCCAGCCCTTCTGCCCCCCTTTCCCTCCCAAAACTGGCTCTATGTGTCTGCCTTTGGCCTCCCCGTCTGCTCTGCCTCTCCTGCGGGGTTTGCCTCAGTCTGTAAACTCATTATCCTGTCATTAATGTCATTAATTTCACGGTGCTCTCTGTTAAGCTTGTTATGTTCTCCCTGCCCAATTAAATGTGCTCCCTCGCTGATGAGGAGGGGGAGGGATGGATAAAAACCCTTCCCTGGGGATCCCCTTCTTCCTCAGCTCTGCTCTGTGTCCTGCAGCTCTTCCCCACCTGCTCATCCGCTTGGTATTCCCTTGGGAATGCAGCTTTCCTTCCTCCTCCCTCTTTCCCTCACCCTAAAAAACAAATCCCACTCCAGCAGATCAAAACCTTCCCAAAAATCTGTTCCCTCTGGGCCTTCCCCCTCCCCTGGGGGGGCTTCCCCTCCCTGCCCCTGGTTAGGAGAACAGCCCTGGGGGGAGGGGGTGTTTTCCCTGTGGGAATCCCGGGAGCTGTGCTCAGTATTCCAGCCCTGAGCCCATTCCCAGGGGAACTGGTGGTTGGAAGGGCATGGGGTGAAGAGATCCCTGGAGCATCGTGGCCCTGCTGTGCTCCATCACTGCCCTGCTCCCCTGCCACCCCCCTCCCTCCAGATCCCGGGATAAGGACCCTGGTGGAGCACAGGGCATTCCAAGGGCTGCACAATCCAATCATTCACAGCTCTCTGCTTTTATTCCTTGGCTCATCACAGGCTCCCGAGCCTTTGGAAGAGAAAAACACCCCCAGGGAAAGGAGCCCCAGCAGTGAATCCTCTGGGCACAAGAGGAAAGGCAGCAGCATCAGCAGGAAGGAGAAGAAACCCTGCCCAGATTCCTGATCCCTGAGGGGGGTTTGTTCCCTCGGGATTGTCACTGTCCCCTCACACAGGGACAGGGGGTTCTGCCCCTAAAGGGCTGCAGCACTTTGGGTTTCTGTTTCCCTGTTTGTTTGGGTTTGTGTTGCTTTTTGTTAAATTTTTCATTACATTAATAAAATAGAAAGTTTTCATTTGTGTCTGTTTTCCCCTTTTGTTGAGTGCAGTTTTTGGGATATTCCAAAGACAACTGGAAGCAGCTCTTCCTTTCCCAGCTTTCAGAGAAGTGGGGACAGCACCAGGAGCTCAATTCCTGTTTCCAAAATCGACCTGAGAGCAGGAGCTGGGTCAGCACCAGCTGCTGGGAATCCTTCCCTGGGGAAGGCTTGGTTTTCCATGGAAGTTTAATGATTCCAGCTCTCTGGGGCGGCCCCTGGAGCTCCAGTTCGGGCCATTTGGGATTACCTGGGTGGTAGCCCCAGGAGGGGTCACCAGGGACCAGCAGTGGCCCAGGGGCAGGAGGAGAAGCCCGGAGGATTTCCTGGAGATGTGGGAATGGGTGGATGTGGAGGACAGAGCAGGATGTCAGGGTGAGGAGCCTGGGAGCATCAGGAGGTTTGTGGGGGGATCCAGAGGAGGGAGGGCTGATGATCCCAGCAGGAGCAGGTTGGATGCTCAGCCTCTTTCCCTGAAAATTCCCTGCAGGGAATTTCCCCCCTGTCCTGTCCCTGCTCCCAGAAAAGCCCAAACCAGGCCTGTCCCTGGAGCAGGGTCAGGATTGGGTGAGACTGGGAAGGGCTCAGGGATGGAGCAGAGCTGGGACAGGGCTGTCCCAGGCTGCTCACGAGCTTCCAGAGGCTGGGAAGGCTCAGGGCTGTCCTTGGCTGCTCCCGGCATGTCGGTTCCCGCTCAGTCGAAGTTGTAGTAGAGGCAGAAGGCAAAGAACATGGCAAAGATCTGGGATGAGGGAGGGGAGGGGGATGAGAGCCCGGCAGGGTCACCCTGGGCTTGGGGGTCAAAACACAGCCCCCTCCCCACCCCCCTGGCACACACAGCCCCCTCCCACCCCCTGGCACACACAGCCCCCTCCCCACCCCCTGGCACACACAGACCCCTCCCCACCCCCTGGCACACACAGACCCTCCCCACCCCCTGGCACACAGACCCCTCCCTGTCCCCCTGTGCCCGCTCCAGTGCCTCGATGCCCAGCACGGCCAGGCTGCAGGTGCCAGGCAGGGACAGGGACCTCTGCAGGGTCCTGCCGAAGGTGGAGAAGCAGCCCTGGGGACAGGGAGAGGCTGGGGGGGCTCTGGGGGGCTCTGGGGGTCACTGGGATGTGGAACCACGGATGGGCAGTGCCCCAGGGGATGGGAAGGGGTGGCACAGGGATGTGGGACAAGGGCAGGGACATGAGCAGGGAGAGGCTGGAGGGGCTCTGGGGGGGCACTGAGGGGGGCACAGGGACACAGAACCATGGATGGGCAGTGTCCCAGGGCTGGGCGGGGGCTCTGGGGGGGGCACAGGGACATGGAGGGGCTCTGGGGGGCTCTGGGGGGCACAGGGACACGGAGCCACGGATGGGCAGTGTCCCAGGGGCTGGGCAGGGGTGGCACAGGGATGTGGAGCAGGGAGGGGCTGTGGGACACGGAGCCACGGATGGGCTGGCAGGGGTGGCCCAGGGACACAGCTGAGGACGGGGGGAGAGGGGTGTCCCACCTGCTCGTGGATGTAGCCGGGAATCCTGTCCCGGCACTGCTCCCAGCCCAGCAGGTCCCCCAGGAGCCCGTCCCGGGCACAGCAGGCACGAGGCCACGGCACCCCCGGGTGCAGCTCCTGGAAACGGGAGCCGTTCCCAAAGTCCTCGGGGCCCAGAACGCCACAGCAGGAGAACTGGGACGGGAGGGGACACCCTCAGCGGGGTGACAACGGGGGGACACCTTCAGGGGGGTGACAGCCTGGGGAGTGACCAAGGGAGGGGGCCCAGCCCAGCCCGGGGGTCATGGCTGGGCTTCACGAGCCCCTCACCCACCTTTGGGGCACCCCGGGCAGGTCCTGTGGGTGCTCCACAACCCCCCCCCCCAGAACACCCGGAGCCTCCTGGGGCTCGCTGGGACCATCAGGGTGGTCCAGGGGGGTTAAAGGAGCCTCTTGGTTACTCACCATGCCCATCAGGGTGTCCCGGGGGCGGACAGGGACCCCCCAGGGCACTCCCTGTGACCAGGAGGGTGTCCCGAGGGTGGACAAGGGACCCCCAAGGGCACTCACCGTGACCATGAGGGTGTTCCAGGCGGTGCTGAACACCTCAGCCCCCTCATCCCCGCGGTAATTCCTCCTCAGCTCCGACAGAAAGCGCTCGGGCCGGACCTGTGAGATCAGTGCCAGGGGTGGGGCTGCCCCACACCCACCACCCACCCACCCACGGGACCCCCCGGCACAGCCCTGGCCTGGTGGGGAAGGGGAGGGAGGGAGGACCCTGCACCGGTCCCTGTGCCCTGGGGGAGCCCTGGGGGGACAGAGGGAGGCTGGTGGCACTGTGGACGGGGCCGGGGCGTGGGGACAGTACCTGCTTCCAGTGCACCAGGAAGAGAATGGCCCCCACCAGCTGCATGAGGAAGACGAGGCTGACGAGGATGAAGAACTGGGGGGCGGGGGGTGAGGGAGTCAGAGACCCCCCGGAGCCCTGAGAGCTCCCTCGGGGTGTCCCTGCCCGGGGAGGGGGGGGGACAGGGGACAGGGCCACATCTCCCACCAACGTGGGCAGGGAAACAAGCCTTGGGTGCCGGGGGCTGGGGGTGCTGCAGGAATTGGGGTGGGGGTGCTCAGGAAGGGGGTTCTGCCCCTCAGTATCCTGGGAATGGCTTGGGAATGCCACGAGGGAAAAGCCAGGGGCTTCAGGGAGAAGGGACCCACTTGATGGCTTTGGGAACCCTCTGGGCTCTGAGTGGAGACTCACAAGGGGTGTGGGGTTCGGAGGGGGTCTAGAGGGTGAGGAACAGCAGCTTCGGGATCCTGCAGGGACACCTGGGTCCCCCAGCACCCTCCTGTACCCCAATCCCTCCAACCCCGACCCTCCATCCCATCCCCTGCACCCCAATCTCCCCATCACACCTCCTGCACCCCAATCCCTCCATCCCATCCCCTGTACCCCAACACCCTCCATCCCCCAACCCTCCATCCCATCTCCTGCATCCCAATCCCTCCATTCCCCAACCCTCCATCCCATCCCCATTCCCCAACACCCTCCATCCCACCTCCTGCATTCAAAATCCTCCATCCATCATCTCCTACACCCCAATCCCTCCATCCCCCAATCCCTCCATCCCATCCCACATCCTGCACCCCAATCCATCAATCCCCCAGCCCTCTATCCCATCCCCATTCCCCAACACCCTCCATCCCACCTCCTGCATTCACAATCCTCCATTCCTCATCTCCTGCACCCCAATCCCTCCATCCCCCAACTCTCCATCCCATCCCCTGCACCCCAATCCCTCCATCCCATCTCCTGCATCCTCCAAGCTCCTTAACCCTGCAGTCCCTCTCCACCCCTCACATCCCCTCCCACCCCCGCAGTCCCTCCCCACGCCCCCCCCTCCTCCGCCGTGCCCCCTCACCAGCAGCAGGAGGGGGCGGCTCCTCCGCAGGGCCCCGCAGCAGCCCAGGAAACCGAGCAGGGCCAGGGCGATGCCGAGGGCGAGCAGGAGCCACGAACCCGCGCTCAGCACGGCCCGGGTGGCTACCAGAGCCTGGAACCCCCCCGGGTCCGCGGCCACCCAGAGCCCCAGAGCAGCCAGGCACGTCCCCCCGGCCTGCGGGACACGGGGGATCAGCGGGGCGGGACGGACCCCACCCGCGAAAACGGGGGGATCCCAGCCCCGGGGCCGGGGTGACCCCCCGAGCCAGAAATGTCACCTGAGAATAGGAATTCTCCAGCCCCGGGACCGGGGTCACCCCCCGAGCCAGATGGAGATGTCCCCCCGTGGGTCGGGGGATGCTCTGCCCGTGGTCCCCTCCCTGGGACACCCTGGCACTGGTGTCACCCTCCCGAGCTGGCCAGAGATGTCCCTCCATGGGGTCACACCCTGGCGCTGGTGTCACCCCCCGAGCTGGCCAGAGATGTCCCCCCATGGGGTTACACCCTGGCGCTGGTGTCACCCCCCGAGCTGGATGGAGATGTCCCCCTGGGTTGGGGTCCCCTCCCCCGGCCCCAGAGCACTCACAAACACGAGCACGTTGAAGATGAACATCAGGTACTTGAGGCAGCTCAGGACGTCCATGGGGACCCCGCGGGGGGGACACGGCCCCGTCTGTCCCTGGTGGGGGGGGAGAGCAGAGCCCTGGCACGGCCAGCCCTGGCACAGCCACCCCAAGAGCTCTACAGCCACCCCAAAACCCTCCACAGCCATCCCCAGTCCTCCACAGCCACCCTCAAAGCCCCACACAACCACTCCCAACCATCCACAGCCACCCCAAAACCCCACAGCCACCCCAACCCTTCACAGACACCCCAAAACCCCACAGCCACCCCCCACCACTCACAGCCACCCCAACAGCCCCACAGCCACCCCAAAACCCCATACAGACACCCCAAAACCCCACACAGCTACCCCCAACAGCCCCACAGCTGCTCCAAAGCTCCCCACAGCCACCCCACAACCTCACAGCCACCCCAAACCCCCACAGAAACCCCAAAACCCCACACCCACCCCTAACCATCCAAAAAAAACCATCCCAAAACCCCCAAGAAACCCCAACCCCCGTGTCCCCTCCAACCCCCGTGTCCCCTAAAACTCCCACGTCCCCTCCCCCCGTGTCCCCCCCGCGCCCCCCTCACCTCCGGGCACAGCCCGCGGTCCCTCCGACCTTTCCCGGCCGCTCCAAACCCCGGGAAAGGCTGGAAAATCCCTGCCCCGCTCCCTCCCCCGCCGGGCCGGGCACCCCCGAGGATCCCCTTCCAGCCGTGAATGATTGATGGGGAGCAGGGAACAGGATCCCCCGGGCCGGGAACGGCGGGAGCGGGGCAGGATCGGAACCCGCGGGGAGGGGGAGCCGGGAAACACCGGGAATTCCGGGATGGGTGGGGGGGAAGAGCGGGGATTTGGGGAAAAGGGGGGGATTTAGACCTGTGAGGAGGAATTGAAACCTGTGGAGCAGGAAAGATGAGGAATTTTGGGAAATTTCAACCTGTGGAGTGGGAAAGAGAGGGAATTTTGGGAGAGACGAGGAATTGAAATCCGTGGGGAGGGAAAGAGGAGGAATTTCGGGAAAGATGAGGAATTGAAACCTGAGGGGACAGAAAGAAGAATTTAAAGCTGTGGGGAGCAATGATGGAATTTTGGGAAAGACAAGAAACTGAAACCCGTGGGGAGGGAAAGAGGAAGAATTTTGGGAAAGATGAGGGATTGAGACCTGTGGAGTGGGAAAGAAGAACTTAAAAGCTGTGGAGTGGGAAAGATGAGGAATTTTGGGAAAGACGAGGAATTTAAACCTGTGGAGTGGGAAAGAGCAGGAATATTGGGAAAGACGAGGAATTGAAATCCGTGGGGAGGGAAAGAAGAATTTAAAATGCAGGAAGGGAAAGAGGAGGAATTTCGGGAAAGACGAGGAATTGAAACCTGAGGGGACAGAAAGAAGAATTTAAAGCTGTGGGGAGGAATGATGGAATTTTGGGAAAGACAAGGAACTGAAACCTGTGGAGTGGGAAAGAAGAATTTGAAGCTGTGGAGTGGGAAAGAGGAAAAATTCTGGGAAAGACAAGGAATTTTGGGAAAGATGAGGGATGTAGACCTGTGGAGTGGGAAAGAAGAATTTAAACTGTGGGGAGGGAAAGATGGAATTTTGGGAAAGATGAGGAATTGAAACCTATAGGGAGGGAAAGATGGAATTTAAACTTGAGAGGAGGAATTTAAACCTGTGGGAAGAGAAAGATGAGGAATTTCACCCTGTGGAGTGGGAAAGATGAGGAATTTTGGGAAAGGCAAAGGATTAAAGCCTGGGAGGGTGGGGGAAAGGTGAGGAATTTTGGGAAAGATGAGGAATTTTGGGAAAGATGAGGAATTTAAACCTGCGGGGAGGAATTAGGGGTACAAAATTGAATAATTTATACAGTTAAAATTTCCCCCTTAAGGGGTAAAAAAAAAATTAAAGCTTGTAGGGGTAAAAATTTAATTGCTTTATACAATTAGATTTCCACGAACTCACTCACAAGGGGTAAACAATTAAAGATCTTAGCGGTAAAAACTGAAAGATTTTAGGGGTGAAGAATTTAACTGTTCTACACAGTTGAAGTTTCCTCCAGAAGGGTTGAACAATGAAAGCTTTCGGGGGTAAAAAAAATTCCATCTTTTAAACAGATTAAAAAATAAATCTGTTTTAACGCGCCCTCCCCGCCGCCAGGGGGCAGCCGAGCGCAAGGGCCACAAAGCCGCGCGGCGCGGCCAGAGCGCCTCCCTCTACCCCGCCAGCTGAGTGAGGCTCCACCAATCAACGCGCGCGGGGGCGGGACCACAGCGAGACAGACGGAAGGGATAGCCAATCACAGCGCTGAATGGGCGGGATCACGGAGTGACTGGCAGCGGGTGTAACCAACCAGCGCTCGGCGCTGCGGGGCGTGGCGCGGGGGGCGGGCGGGTCCCGCTGCCCTCACGGCGTCGCTCCGGGGATGTAGCGGCCGGTGAGGGGTCCGGGCCGGGCGGGGGGGACGGGGCGGCCCCGGGAGCGACCCCGGGCACGGCCCGGCCCTAACGCGGTGTGTCCCCAACCCCGCAGAGCGGCGGCAGAAAGGACGCGCACGGAGCCGCCGCGGAGCCGCCGCCGCGCCCATGGCGTCCCGAAAGGCCCCGCCCGGCGCGGGCAGCGCGGCGGCGGCTGCAGGACGGGAACGGGAGCGGGAACGGGCGCACCTGGAGCTCGCCGAGCTGGGGCCGCTCCTGGAGGAGAAGGGCGAGCGAGGAGCCGCCGGGGCCGCCAGTGTGAGGGAGCCGAGGGGAGCGGGGGGCACCGGCACCCCGGGCACACGGGAGGGACCGGGCCGGGGCGTCCTTCGGGCTGCTCCCGGCTCAGACCCGGGTGGGGATGGAACGGGATGGCCCCGGGATATCCCGGGATAGGGGTGGCCCCGGGATAGCCCCCGAGCACAGGGACAGGGGTGGCAGCGGGAGTGCCCCGGCATCGCCGTGTCCGTGGGGGGGGATCCCGGGGGGTTCCCAATGCCCCCGCAGTCCCACAGCGCTGGGAATCACATCCTAAACTCGTCCCAGCACAGCAGGAGAGCGGGACCCGCAGCGCTCCCAGCTCCAGAGGGACGGTCAAAGTTCCAGGGGGAGGGTCAGGGTTGCAGGGGGAGGGTCAGGGTTCCGGGGGGAGGGTCAGAGTTCCCGGGGGAGGGTCAGGGTTCCCGATCGGGGTTCCCGGGAGAAGGGTCGGTTTTCCCGGTGGGGTTTCCCGGGATCAGGGTGGGATTTCCTGGCCGGGCCGATCCAGCGCTGGTTGCAGGGATGCAAATCCCGCCGTAATCCCGCCTTCCGACAAGGAAAAGCCGGGATTAGCCCGCCCGGGATGGGTCAGGAGTTGCATAAGTGGGGGGTGACCCCGAGTCCTGCCTGACCCCCGCCGGGGGGGATGGACCCTCCAGAGCTCCCAGGGGCTGGAATGGCTCGTCTTCCAGGGGCAGGAACGATTCCCTCCTGGAAGGAAGAATGATTCCCGGGGAAGGAATGATTTGTTTCCCAGGGGCAGGAATGATTCCCTCCTGGAGGCAAAACTGATTCTCAAGGCCAGGAGTGAATCCCTCCTGGAAGCAGGATTGATTCCCAAGGCCAGGGTGATTCCCTCCTGGAAGCAGGATTGATTCCCGAGCCCAGGATGACTCCCAAGCCCAGGGTGATTCCCAAGGCCAGGATGATTCCCAATCCCAGGGTGATTCCCAAGGCCTGGGTGATTCCCGAGCCCAGGGTGATTCCCAATTCCAGGGTGATTCTTGAGCCCAGGGTGATTCCCGAGGTCGGGATGATTCCCAATCCCAGAGTGATTCCCTCCCCGCAGGCAGAGGAGCCGCCGTGCCCGGCAGCGCGGGAGGAGGAGGAGGAGGAGGAGGTGGTCCGGGTGCTGACCCTGCCCCTGCAGGCCCACCATGCCATGGAAAAGATGGAAGAGTTCGTGTACAAGGTACTGGAATGCCCAGGGATCCCCCATCCCTGGGTTTGGAGCACATTCCCCCATCCCAGGGCTGGGATGTGTCGCCGTGTCCAGATAAAGCTCCGCACGGGCACAGTGGGATCCAGCCCTGCTGGGCTGCTCCCAGAGATCCCCTGGGAATGCTGTGGGAAGGGGATGGTTGGGATGGGGGGAAACCAGGCTGGATGAGTGCTGGGAGCAATCCCAGTGTCCCTGTGGGGCTGGCTGGGACTGGGAGTCACCCCATCCCAGTGGCTCCAGCACAGCCCAGGGACAGCCTGGGAATGGGAATTCCCAGTGCAGGGAACAGATCTGGGGGTGTGGAAGGGTTAAAGCTGAGGGTGGGAATTGTTCCTGGATCCCTGGGGGGGCTGGGAATAAACCTGTGGGAGGCCCAGGGATTACTCCCTGGAGGGAACTGGGAATCACTCCCTAGGGGGAGCTGGGAATCGCTTACATTGGGTGGGAGCTGGGAATCACTCCCTGGGGGACCAGGAATCACTCCCTGGGGAACTGGGAACCCCTCCCTGTGCTCTGTGGGGTGGGGTGTGGGAACAGATGTGGGGATGGCTGTGGGCTGGGATGCAGGGATGGCTGTGGGGTGCACTTTAGGGTGGGCTGCAGGGAGGGCTGTAGGGATGGCTGTGGGGTGGGATGTAGAGAGGGATGCAGGGTGGCTGCAGGGTGGGCTGTGGGGTGGCTGAAGGGATGGCTGTGGGGTGCACTGTGGGGTGACTGCAGGGTGGCTGTAGGGTGGCTGTGGTGTGGCTGCAGGGTGGCTCTGGGGTGCACTGTGGGGTGGGTTGTGGGGTGGCTGCAGGGTGCTCTGGGGTGCACTGTGGGGGTGTCTGTGGGGTGGGATGCAGGGTGGCTCTGGGGTGCACTGTGGGGTGGGTTGTGGGGTGGCTGCAGGGTGGCTCTGGGGTGCACTGTGGGGTGGGCTGTGGGGTGTGCTATGGGGTGGCTCTGGGCAGTGCTCCCCGTTCCCGGGAGGGTTCCTCCCCCAGCATTCCTGGGCTGTGTTCCATGGCATGCCGGGCTCTGTGCAGGTGTGGGAGGGGCGCTGGCGGGTGATCCCCTACGAGGTGCTGCCCGACTGGCTCAAGGACAACGATTACCTCCTGCACGGCCACCGACCCCCCATGCCCTCCTTCCGCGCCTGCTTCCGCAGCATCTTCCGCATCCACACCGAGACCGGCAACATCTGGACACACCTGCTGGGTGACTGGGGGGGACAGGGCCTGGGGGGTCCTGGGGGTCCTGAGCACACACAGAGCTCCCAGAGCCCCCCTGGTGGGGCTCAACTCCTGCTCCACAGTGGGATGGGGAAAACTGGGAAAAATGGGAAATCTCCAAGGATGTTCCTCTGAAATCACCCCAGAGGAGACCACGGAGATGCTCCCAGGGCTGTGGAGCCAGGCTGGGAGAGCTGGGAATGTTCCCCTGGAGAAGGGAAGGCTCCAGGGACACCTTGGAGCCCCTGCCAGAGCCTGAAGGGGCTCCAGGAGAGCTGGAGAGGGACTGGGGACAAGGGATGGAGGGACAGGACACAGGGAATGGCTTCCCACTGCCAGAGGGAGGGTTAGAGGGGATACTGGGGAGGAATTGCTGGCTGGGAGGGTGGGGAGGGGCTGGGATGGAATTCCCAGGGGATTCCCCATCCCTGGAAGTGCCCAAGGCCAGGCTGGAGCAGCCTGGGATGGTGGGAAGTGTGCCTGCCCAGGGGAGGGGTGGGATGGGATGGGCTTTGATGTCCCTCCAGCCCAAACAATCCTGGGATTCCATGATCCCAGGAAACACAGGGATGCTCTTTGCCCTGACCCTGCCCTTGGAGCCACCTCTGCCTCAGCCCAGCACCCTGTGCCAGGCCTGGCCCTCAGGATGTGTCCTAAACTCCTCTGGGACACATCCAGGACCCCCTGGGACACATTCTGAGCTCCCCTGGGACACATCCTGAGCTCCCCTGGGACACATCCTGAGCTCCCCTGGGACACATCCTGAGCTCCCCTGGGGCACATCCTGAGCTCCCCTGGGGCACATCCTGAGCTCCCCTGGGGCACATCCAGGATCCCCTGGGACACATCCTGCTCTCCTGGGGTACATCCAGCTCATCCCACATCCCTCTCCCCTGTCCCCCACACCGTTCCTGCCGTGCTGATCCCGGCTGCCCGCAGGGTTCGTGCTGTTCCTGTGCCTGGGCATCCTGACCATGCTGCGGCCCAACATGTACTTCATGGCGCCGCTGCAGGAGAAGGTCGTGTTCGGGATGTTCTTCCTGGGGGCCGTGCTCTGCCTCAGCTTCTCCTGGCTCTTCCACACCGTCTACTGCCACTCCGAGAAGGTTTCCCGCACCTTCTCCAAGTGAGCTCCTCCCCTTCCCGAGGGTGGGAGCCCCAGGGGGAGGGATGGTCACCCCCTCCAGATGGGAACGGGGAATCTGCCCTGGGAGCACCCGGAATCTGCTGCATCAGATGCGGTGGGAAAGGTGTGGGAGCCTTCAGCTCCCACGGGAACAGCCTGTGCTCCCAAGGGAATAGGATCCTGGTCCTCAAGGGAATAGGATCCTGTGCTCCCAAGGGAATAGGATCCTGGTTCCCAAAGGAACAGTCTGTGCTCCCAAGGGAATAGGATCCTGTGTTCCCAAGGGAACAGTGTCTGTGTTCCCAAGGGAACAGTGTCTGTAATCCCAAGGAACAGGCTCTATAATCCCAGGGAACAGGCTCCTAATCCCAGGGAACAGGCTCTGTAATCCCCTGGAATGGGCTCCATAATCCCAGGGAACAGGCTCAGTGAGTCCCCACTCCCCCAGGCTATTCCCGGCATTCCCGGGCTCTGTTGTGCTGGGAATGCCACCCATCCCTCAGCACCCCTCCCAGATCCCATGGAGTGTCCTGCTGTTCCCTGGGGACACCTTTCAGCTGGGATGGGCCCTCGGAGCAGGATCCCAAATCCACGTGCCCGGGGTTGGAGTCTCCAGATTCCTCATTCCCCCCATCCCAGTGGGACCCCCCCCATTCCGGGGAGTTGCCACCCGAGGATGTGGGGGCTGTGTGCCATTCCAGGTTGGATTATTCGGGAATTGCACTGCTGATCATGGGCAGCTTCGTCCCGTGGCTCTACTACTCCTTCTACTGCTCCCCCCAGCCGAGACTCATCTACCTCTCCATCGTCTGTGTCCTGGGAATCTCCGCCATCATCGTGGCACAGTGGGACCGGTTCGCCACCCCCAAGCACCGGCAGACACGGGCAGGTGGGAATGGGGGGAAATGGGGATGGGAATGGGGAAATTGGGAATGGGGGAGTGGGGAATGGGGGGTGGGGAAATGGGGAAATTTTGGGGGAAACTGGGGGGAAAAGGGAGGGATTGGAGGGGAATTGGGGAAATTTTGTGGGGGAAATGGGGAAATTTTGGGGGAAATTGGGGAAGATGGAGGGACTGGGGAGCTCTGGATCCCTGTTTGGGGAAGGATCAGTGCCAGGAGCAGTGGCCAAGGACAGGGAGCATTTGGGCAAGTTCAGGAAGAGTTTGGAGAAGTTCAGGGAGTGTTTGGGGAAGTTTGAGGAACATTTGGCCAAGTTCCAGGAACGTTTGGCCAAGGCTCTCAGGGACAGGGTGGGCTCCTTGGGGCTAGTCCTGTGCAGGGTCTGGAGCTGCACTTCCTCCTGGAGTAAATCCAAGGAGCACCTGGAGAAGCTCAAGGAGAGTTTGGGGAAGTTGGAGGAGCATTTGGAGCAGTCCAGGAGCGTTTGGAAATGTTTGAGGAGCGTTTGGAGCAGTTCAGGAGCGTTTGGAGCAGTTCAGGAGCGTTGGGCCAGGGCTCTGCTGGCAGGGTGGGGTTGGGGAGCAGCCCCCCCGTTCCAGGGCTGTCCCTGAGGCCGCTCTGGGCTCACAGGGGTGTTCCTGGGGCTGGGGCTGAGCGGGGTGGTGCCCACCATGCACTTCACCATCGCCGAGGGCTTCGTGAAGGCCACCACGGTGGGGCAGATGGGCTGGTTCTTCCTCATGGCCGTCATGTACATCACGGGCGCCGCGCTCTACGCTGCCCGCATCCCAGAGCGCTTCTTCCCGGGAAAGTTCGACATCTGGGTGAGCCGGGGGGATGGGAGGCACAGGGGGGTAGAGGGGGGCACAGGAGGGAACACGGGGGGTGAGGAGGGGGTGGGACACAGGGGGAGTTGGGGACAGTGCTGGGAGAGCAGGATGGGACAGTCATGGGGCGGTGAGGAGCTCCTGGTGCCACCTGTGCGCCCTGGCCATGTGTCACCACAGTCCCTGTGCCCCCTGTCCCTGTGCCAGTCCCAGAGCAGTGAGGAGGAGAAGGAGTTCCTGTTTCTGTGCCCCATCTCGGGGAGATCCCACATGGAGAAGTCAGGGGAGAACGGAGGAAATTGGGGGAAAATGGGGGGATTTGGAGCAGAAAATGTGGAAAGGTTAAACTGGGGCAAGAAGGGGGGGTTTGCTCTGCTCTAAAGGGCTCCTCCCCCCCAGTTCCAGTCCCATCAGATCTTCCACGTGCTGGTGGTGGCCGCGGCCTTCGTGCACTTCTACGGGGTGTCCAACCTGCAGGAGTTCCGCTACGGGCTCGAGGGGGGCTGCACGGACGACTCCCTGCTCTGAGGCACCGCCTGCTTTTAGCCCGAGCTGTCCTCAAGTGCTTTTTAAACTCTTTTTGTCTCTGCTCAAACCCAAGGAAGACTCAAAAACCGGGTGTGGGGGTCGCTGGTGGGGGTTTTTTTGTTGTTCTTTGGGGTTTGTGTTTTGTTTTTTTATTTTAAAAAGAAATGGAGAAAAATCCTTTAGGAAAGTTGTTGACCAAATCTCCACCCCCTCCCCCCAGCGGGGGCTGGGGGGGTTTGGGGGCTCCCCCCAGGCCAGGTTTTGCTGCACTGGGGTGTCCCCAGCACAGGGAGCAGCTGCTGCTCCTGCACAGCCGAGCACATCCCGCTCCTCACCCCCCCACATATCCCCCCGGGAATTCTGCAGCTCCCGGGGCACAAAGTGTGTAATTTAAGATGTTGGAATTGTCCTTTTTTTTTTTTTTTTTTCCGGTTTTGTTTTTCTTTTTTTTTTCCTTGACCATGTAAAGAGAAAGGAGAGGATATTTAATATTTAAACCGAGCTTTAAAGGCGCTCCCTCGGCCGGGGAGGGGAAGGGCGGGGCTGGTCGGAGGGAATTAGAGCTGCTGTAGCCGAGAGAAAATAAAGGTCACTGGTCCAGTGTCACCAGGGCTGGCACTTTGTCACCTTCCTGAGCCATCTCTTGGGGTGGGGGGGGGCTCTGGCACCCCAGAGTGGGGCAGTGGGGTCTGCACTGAGCCAATAAACCGGGATTAATGGGAATTCTGGGGGTTGTGGTGGAGGACAGGCTGGGAAAACCCCCCTGTCTGGGGCAGCTCTGGGGGGGAATTCCCTCTGGGATGGGGGGCAGGAGGTGGCACAGCCCAGGCAGGGCCCTGATGGGGGCTCAGTAAAGCCCAGCTCAGGCAGCTGAAGGTCCCTGCTTGTGCCAGGGCTGAGGGACAAGCGTGGGCATCACGGCCACCCCTGTCCCTGTGCCACCCAGGCTGAGCCCAGCTGATCCTGTATCCCTGCCCCAGCTCCAGGGGGTGAGGCCCAAGCCCTGGAGTCCTGGGCTGGCTGTGGGACAGGCAGGAGGGAGGGAATGTCTCTTTGGAGGCCCCGGGCTGAGCAGGATGTCACATCTTTGTCCAACCCTCTGCCAATGTTCCCAGGCTCAAACCCCACTCCCGGTGGGGCTTTGACTCTGTTTGCTCCTCCCTGGGCAGAGGAGAAGCCCCAAAGTGGCTCAGATGTTCCTCGAGGCTTCCAGGATGTCCCAGCCCCCAGCAAGGACCAGCAGGGACCTCCTGGAACGGCACCGGGAAAGCTGCCCGGGCAGGGGGAAGGGCCCGGAGCAGGTGCCGGGATTGGGATCCCGGGGGAAGCCGGGGCTCTGCTGGGATGAGGGTGCAACCCTTCCCCCTCCAGCCCCACCCCAAATCCAGGCTAAAACTTCAGCTGCAGGTGCCACATCCCAGAGGAGACTCCAGGGCTTTCACTCCAGCGTCCCAAGGATGACAAAACTCCACGTGCTCCTCGTCTCAAACCTCCCTGTAATTCCACCCCACACGGAACATTCCAGACGGGAATAAATAGATTTGTCATCTCCTAAAAGTTCTCCTGAGCTCTGGGAAGTGCTGCAGGTGCTCCTGGAAGGGGGGGGAGAGGGACATCCCATCCCGGAGCTCCTGGATGGGATGGGATGTCCCTCACTGGTACTGTTGGTAGTTGCTGAACGGGGCGGGCTGGAGCTGGGAGGGATCCTCGGACAACTGCGGGCCTGGAGAGGGAGAGGAGAAGGCAAATCAATCCCAGAAGGCAGGAGATTCCTCCTGCAAACAGTTCAGGTAAATCCCCCTTGGAATTCATCACCAATCCCAGCGTGGTTTGGGTTTCACAGGAAGTTTCAGAAGTTTCCTGGAATGGTTTGGGCTGGATGGACCTTCAATCCCATCCCATTCCAGCCCCTGCCCTGGGCAGGGACACCTCCCACCATCCCAGGCTGCTCCAGCCTGGCCTTGGGCACTCCAGGGATGGGGAATCCCCTGGGAATTCCAGCCCAGCCCCTCCACACCCTCCCAGCCAACAATTCCCTCCCAATCTCCCATCTCTCCCTCCCTCTGGCAATGGGAAGCCATTCCCTGTGTCCTGTCCCTCCATCCCTTGTCCCCAGTCCCTCTCCAGCTCTCCTGGAGCCCCTTCAGGCCCTGGAAGGGGCTCCAAGGTGTCCCTGGAGCCTTCCCTTCTCCAGGGGAACGTTCCCAGCTCTCCCAGCCTGGCTCCAGAGCACCTTTTGGCAATCCAGGGAAGGTTCTGGAAGCCCAGGGAAGGTCGTGGCAGGCAGGGGGTGTGTGGGCAGCCCAGGTGAAGGGCTGATAAGGGCCAGGCAGACACAGATAACCCATTTCCAGGAAGGCTGGTTTGGTTTTTTTTTTCCTGAACTGCTTCAAACCCCACATTCCTTTTTTTTTCTGAGTAAAACAGGAGGTGGGCTGTCAGTGGAGTTGGTGACTGTGGAAAATCCTAAATCTCTCTGTCAGAGAATCCCAGGATGGTTTGGGTTGGAGGGACCTTAAAGCCCATCCGGTCCCACCCCTGCCCTGGGGTTGCTCATCCAACATGAATGGTTTGGGTTCTTCCCAAAATAAGGTGGAGCATTTCTGCTGGGAGAGCTGGGAACGTTCCCCTGGAGAAGGGAAGGCTCCAGGGACACCTTGGAGCCCCTGCCAGGGCCTGAAGGGGCTCCAGGAGAGCTGGAGAGGGACTGGGGACAAGGCCTGGAGGGACAGGACACAGGGAATGGCTTCCCAGTGCCAGAGGGTGAGATGGGATACTGGGAAGGAAGGTCAGGTTGGACGGGGCTTGGAGCAACCCGGAAGGATGGGATGATATCCTGGGGCTGGGATGATATCCCGGGGATGGGATGATATCCCGGGGATGGGATGATATCCCGGGGATGGGATGATATCCCGGGGATGGGATGATATCCCGGGGATGGGATGATATCCCGGGGATGGGATGATATCCTGGGGCTGGGATATCCCGGGGATGGGATGATATCCCGGGGATGGGATGATATCCTGGGGCTGGGATATCCCGGGGATGGGATGATATCCTGGGGATGGGATGATATCCCAGGGGTCTCCTTGGCTTCCCAGAGCCCCCGGAGCTGCTGCATTCCCTGTGGGATGAGCAGGGGCCCAGTAGCAGAGCCGGTCTGGGAATCCCCCCCGTGCTGGCTCCTCACCGTTGGGGAACTGGGTGGAGGCAAATCTGGTCAGCAGAATTCCAGCTCCTTCGATGAGGGCCAGGAGGATCCCCCCCATGGCAGCAGAGCCCACCATGGCCACGGGCCCGTCTGGAGAGGGAACACAAACACACCTTGGAATTCTCGGCTGCCTCGGCTTCCACAGCAGAAATTCCCAAAATCCTGGGCTGGGCTGGGAGGGACCTCAAATCCCATCCCATCCCACCCCATCCCTGGGCAGGGACACCTCCCCCCATCCCAGGATGCTCCAGCCCTGGCCTTGGACACTCCCAGGGATGGGGCATCCCCTGGGAATTCCAGTCCAGCCCCTCCCCACCCTCCCTGGGCATTGTCACCTCTCCCAAAAGCTGACTCAGCAACTTCCCATCCACTAAGGGGCTCGCTAAGGGATAATTCCAGGAACTCCAGGAACCTTTGGGACCTCAGAATTCCCCTCCTAAGGGAAGTCTGGGGTGATTTTCCAGTGGGAAGCAGATCCCAATGGGGGGTGTCCCACGCTCTGCTCTGGAATGTCTGGGGGTTTCCAGGGATTTGGGATGGGTTTTCCCGGGTTCTTACTCCGTGCAGCCAGGATGGCTCCGGTCAGGGCTCCGCTGGTGATGGAATTCCAGGGATCCTCCTTGCCCCGCACTCGGACCATGCTGCAGTCGATCATGGAGAACAGCCCCCCCCACACGGCAAAGCTGCCTGCGAGGACAGGGAGGGAGACTGGGAATGCTGCCCGGGAAACTGGGAATGCTGCCCTGGGAAACTGGGAATGCTGCCCCAGGAAACAGGGAATGCTGCCCCAACCCACCCAGAGCAGCTGAAATCAGAGCAAAGGGGAAATTCCCACCCTGTCATTCCAGGGATCACTCAAACGTGGAAATTTAAATGAAATCCAAATTAATTCATTGCATTAAGTTAAATTAATTTGTCAAATTAAATTTCCACACCTAGGGTTTGAAGTGAAATTTAAATAATTTCATTAAATTCATTCATTTAATTTAATAAACTAAATTTCCAAACTTGGGAATTTAAATGCAATTCAAATTAATTCACCCCATTGATTAAATTAAATTAATTTAATAAATTAAATTTCCAAACTTGGGTATTTAAAGGGAATTGAAATTAATTATTAAATGAACTCATTTAATTTAATAAATTAAATTCCTGAACTTGGGAATTTAAATAAAATGTAAATCAATTTGTTAAATTAATTTAATTCCCGGGGAAACCAGGGAATGGATTAAATTAATTATTAATTATTTATTATTTAATATTGATTATTATTTATTAACTCTGTACTAGTTAATAATGCATTAAATGAAATCATTACATTATTTTAAATTAATTATTTAAATTCCCAAACTTGAGAATTTAAATGGAATTTAAATCAATTAATTAAATTAATTCATTGAGAAACCAGGTAACGAATTAAATTAATCACATTAGTTTAAAAGTAATTATTATTAATCAATTATATATTAAGTAATAACCACTTAATTTAATAAATTAAATTTCCAAACTTCAGAATTTAAATGAAAATTAAACTAACTCATTAAATTAATTTAACTTAATGAACTAAATTTCCAAACTTGGGAATTTAAATGAAAATTAAATTCACTCCTTGAATTAATTTAATTTCATCAATCCAGTTCCCACGCTCAGCTATTCCAGTGCCATCCCCATAACCCCACTCAACAATTTCACTTCATCCCCCGGTACCTCCGAGCTGAGGTGCTCTGGTCCTGATGGCCGTGAGGCTGCCCCGCAGCCGGTGGGACACGCCCTGGAACAAGGGAAACCAGCTCAGTGAGACACTGAAATCCTAACTCAAACCCAACACTGACAGCCCAACCTAAACCCCCTGGAACGAGGGAAATCATCTACAGTGAGACACTGAAATCCCAAACCAAACACTGACATCACAACCCCAACTGCCTGGAACGAGGGAAATCATCTACAGTGAGACACTGACAGCCCAACCCAAACCAAACACTGAAATCCCAACCCCAACCCCCTGGAATGGGGTAAATCATCTGCAGTGAGACACTGAAATCCTAACCCAAACACTGACATCACAACCCCAACTGCCTGGAACGAGGGAAATCATCTACAGTGAGACACTGAAATCCTAACCCAAACACTGACATCACAACCCCAACTGCCTGGAACGAGGGAAATCATCTACAGTGAGACACTGAAATCCCAACCCCAACCCCCTGGAATGAGGGAAATCATCTACAGTGAGACACTGACAGCCCAACCCAAACCAAACACTGAAATCCCAACCCCAACCCCCTGGAATGGGGTAAATCATCTGCAGTGAGACACTGAAATCCCAGCCTAAACCAACCCAAACTGCCTGGAATGAGGAAAATCATCTGCAGTGAGACACTGACAGCCCAAACCCCTGAAACCAGGGAAATCACCTCCAGGGAGACACTGAAATCCCAACTCCAACCCCCTGGAATGAGGGAATTCATCTCCAGTGAAATACTGAAATCCCAGCCCAAACCCCCTGGAACGAGGGAAACCATCTCCAGTGAGACACTGACAGCCCAACCTAAACCAAACACTGAAATCCCAACCCCAACTGCCTGGAACGAGGGAAACCATCTCAGTGAGACAATGACAGCCCAGCCCAAAACCCCTGGAATGGGGTAAATCATCTCCAGTGAGACACTGACAGTCCAGCCCAAATCTCACCTCAAACCAAACACTGACATCCCAAACCCAAACCCCCTGCAAAAGGGAAATCACCTCCAATAAAAAACACTGACAGCCCAACCCAGACCTGACCTCAAACAGAGCACTGATATCCCAAACCCAAACCCCCTGGAATGAGGGAAATCACTTCAAACCAAGCACTGACAGCCCAACCCCAACCCAGACCTCACCTCAAAGCACTGAAATCCCAACCCAAACCCCCCTGGAATGGGGGAAATCATCTGCAGTGAGACACTGACAGCCCAACCTAAACCAAACACTGACAGCCCAGCCTAAACCCCCTGGAATGAGGGAAATTGGTAATGAAATGGTAATAAAAATTGTAAGGATTAAACAAAAATGATAATAAAATTAAATAAAAATTGGTAATGAAACGGTAATAAAAATGGTAAGGATTAAATAAATATTGTTAATGAAATGGTAACAAAAATGGTAAGGATTAAATAAAGAAGGGTAATAAAATGGTAATAAAATGGTAAGGATTAAATAAAAAATGGTACTAATTAAATAAAAAAAATTATAAAATGGTAAGGATTAAATAAAAATTTGTTAATAAAATATTAATAAAAATGGTAAGGATTAAATGCTATTAATGAAATTTAACAAAAATTGAAAGGATTAAATAAAAAATGGTAATAAATTGTTAATAAAAAGGTAAGGATTAAATTAAAAATGGTAAAAATGGTAAGGATTAAATTAAATATTATGGTAAAATGGTAAGGATTAAATAAAAATTGGTAATAAAATGGTAATAAAAATGGTAATGATTAAATTAAAAATGGTGATTAAATGGTAAGAATTAAATAAAAATGGTAATAATGTAAAGATTAAATAAAAACTGTTAATAAAATGGTAATAAAAAATGCAAGGATCAAATAAAAATGGTAATGAAATGGTAATAAAATTAAATTAAGATCGTTAATAAAATATTAATAAAAATGGTAAGGATTAAATATTGTTCATGAAATGTAACAAAAATGGCAATGATTAAATAAAAAATGGTGATAAAATGGTAATGACTAAATAAAAATGCCTAATAAAATGGTAACAAATGGTAAGGATTAAATAAAAATGGTGATGAAATGTAAGGATTAAATAAAAAATGGTGGTAAAATGGTAAGGATTAAATTAAATATTATGGTAAAATGGTAAGGATTAAATAAAAAATGGTGATAAAACGTAAGGATTAAATTAAAAATGGTGATAAAATGTAAAGATTAAATCAAACAAACTGGTCCTGATTAACCAAGGGCTAATTAAGAGGGGCAGAGCTCTGAGCTCGAGGTGTTTGGTCAGCCCCATTCCCTGCTGTTCCTCCTTCCCGGGGCTCCCCCATTCCCATTCCCATTCCCACTCCCATTCCCACTCCCACTCCCGGGAAGGCCGGGCCGGACTCACCATGGGGGAGTTTCGGAAGCCCTTGATGGCCTGGAAGATCCCCCCTCCGATGGCCCCCATGGTGAAGGCACCTCCACAGTCATCCACGATCCGCCAGGGGCTGCGGGGACAGCACACAGGGATGGCACATTCCAGCCGGGAACGGGCTGGGATCGCACATTCCAGCCGGGAACGGGCTGGGATCGCACATTCCAGCCAGGAACGGGCTGGCACGGGGCAAACACAGCCACCCACGGGGCTGCACGGCCCCACTCCCACAGAAAACTGGGATACTGTGGGAAAACCTGGGATACTGCAGGAAACTCAGGAATACTGCACGAAAATCCAGGGAATACTGCAGGAAAATCCAGGGAATACTGCAGGAAAATCCAGGGAATACTGCAGGAAACCAACCCATGGGGGCTGCACTGACCCACTCCCACAGAAAACAGGGAGACTGCAGGAAACTCAGGGAATCCTGCAGGAAACTCAGGGAATCCTACAGGAAACTCAGGGAATCCTACAGGAAAACCCAGGAATCCTGCAGGAAACCCAGGGAATCCTGCAGGAAACCAACCCAACTCGGCCATCTCATCCCCCTTCCCAACGTTCCCAGAGCGGGAAGGATCCAACCCAGAGAGTTCCTTCCCACACTCCTGGACATTCCCACGCTGCCCACACAGGACAGAGCGGGATTTCCATCCTGGAAAAGTGCAGAATTCCAGCTCTGCCCTCCTCCCATGGCATCCCCTGATCCCACTCCTGTCTTTCATCCGTATCCAAATGTTCCAGCCCAGCACCAGGGATTTGACTCCTGCGCTGCCAAGAGTCGGGAAAGGCGGGAAAAATCAGCTTCCACCCCTGGCAGGATCCAGGATTCCTGGCTTCTCTGGGAATGGGGGAGTGCCTGAGGATCCCCACAGTCCATGAGGACATGGAACCCCCCTCCTCCTGACAGAGCACCCCAAGGGGCAGGGGGAGAGAGAGGGGAGGGGCTGGGAATGAGGGGCTGAGGATGAGGGGGAGTGACTGGGAGTGAGGGGGGAACTGGGAATGAGGGGGGAACTGGGAATGAGGGGGGAACTGGGGACAGAGGGCCTGAGCATTGGGAGGGTCTGTGGATGAGTGGGGGCTAAGGATGAGGACGGGGTGACTGAGCATGAGGGGGAAATTAAGGATAGAGAGCCTGAGGATTAGGAGGCTCTAGATGCGGGAAGGCTGTGGATGAGGGAAGGCCCTGGATGAGGGAAGGCCCTGGATGAGGGAAGGCCCTGGATAAGGGAAGGCCCTGGATAAGGGAAGGCCTTGGATGAGGAGGGGCTGAGGATGAGGAGGGGCTGTGGCTGAAGGGGACTGAGGATGGGGGGTGGTCTGTGCATGAGGGAAGGCTGTGGATGAGGAGGGGCTGTGGATGAGGGGAGGCTGTGGATGAGGAGGGGCTGAGGATGAGGGGAGGCCCTGGCTGAGGGGGTTTGTGGATGAGGGAAGGCCCTTGATGAGGAGGGGGCTGAGGATGAAGGGAGTCCCAGGATGAGGGGCTTTGTGGATGAGGGAAGGCTGAGGAGTGACAAACCCCTCCTCTGTCCCATCCCCCCTGTGCTGCAGACTTTGACTTTGTCCCAGGGTGTTTTCCCCCAGAACACCCCTCTGACTCGCAGCCCCTCCTCCCCCTCCTGTCCATGGCCTCCTCTGGCATCTCCCCCTGCCTGCACCCCCACCCAGGGCACTGCTGTGGGCACAGGGGACACTTGGCTTGTCCCCAGTGCCACCCCCACCCGGATCCCATCCCCACCCCATGGATTTGATCCTTCCTCCCGTTCTGCCCCTGTGCCCTGCTCTCATCCCCCCTCACAACCCCCACCTCCCTGACTGAATTCAGTAATTCAGTTTATTTCCCTTCCTCTCCCACAAAGGGGCCAGAGCAGGAGGAAAGAGATGATTCCATTATTAATTTACCACTTCTCTCCAAGCCTACTGTTCCAGTCCGTTGTCTCCCTGGCTCTGCAGGGAGGGGATCTGGGGGATGAGGTTGGGTTCCTGCTCCTCAGGGCTTATCCCAGGAAAGGGGTGAACCCTCCCAGCCCCAGGGAATCCTGCAGCTCTCCAAAGAGCTGGAAAACCACCGGGATCAGGGGCTGGATAAACAAAAGGGGCCTTTTCTCCACAGGGGAGCAGCCTGAGCCCAGGAAGAGCAGCTGCTGGGGTTGGATAAAGGGACAGGACATGGGGTTTGGAGTCCCCATCCCTGCAGGTGTCCAAGGATGTGGCACTCCCTGCTCTGGGCTGGGAGGGCTTTTTCAGGCTCAGGGATTGTGGGATGAGCTGGAGCCCACGGCAGAATATCAATAAACAAATCATTTCACTCATGTGCCAGAATTTGTGCTGTGGAGAAAGTTAACACGTGGTAACAGAGTGGCTGGCAAAGTTTGGGAAAAGCCTCAGGAACAGCCCCAGGTCTCTGTTTGCAGAGCTGAGCACAACCACGGAATTCCAGACTGGTTTGGGTGAGAAGGGACCTTAAATCCCATCCAGTCCCACCCCCTGGTGTGGGCAGGGACACCTCCCACAGACCAGGTGGCTCCAGACCTTCAGAGATGGGGCATCCCCTGGGAATCCCATCCTAGCCCCTCCCAGGGAAGGATTTCTTCCCAGTATCCCATCAAACCCTCCCTCTGGCAGTGGGAAGCCATTCCCCTCGTCCTGTCCCTCCACCCCTCGTCCCAGGTCCCTCCCCACGCTGATAAAGCTGCTCAGGACTCTCTAACCCTGAGCCCGAGCCCGCATTTAAATCCTTTAGTACTGCAAATAAAACCCCTGAGTTGCCACTCACGTGGCTGTGAAAGTCCACATGGACAGCCCTGAACTGCCGGGGGGGCTGGGGGGGCTGAGGGTGAGAGGGGGGTCTGCGGCTGAGAGAAGGCTGAGGGAGCAGGGACTGACGGGGGAAGGCTGGGGGAGGCTGAGGGGGCTGTGGATGAAGGAGTGGACTGAGGAAGAAAAGGGGGTTGTGGATGCAAGGGGTGAGGATGAGGAGGGCACTGAGCCCCAGGAGCCGCGGGAAGGCCGGGGGAGGTGCTGAGGGAGCTGTGGATGCAGGGGTGAGGATGAGGAGGGCACTGAGCCCCAGGAGCCGCGGGAAGGCCGGGGGAGGTGCCGGGGAGGGCGCAGGGCCCGCAGCCCCGCCCGCCGCGGCCCCCACAGGCCCCTGAGCCGCCCGGGCCGCGGTCCCGCCGCTTCCCCGGGCAGCTCCGGGTGCTCCGCTAGGCTCGGCACCGGCGGGCTCCGACCTGCCCGGCCCCGCGGCCGCCGCCGCCTCCCTCAGGGGGCCCGGCCAAGGTCACACCCGCCCCCACCGCAGCGAGCGGCTCCTGCCCCTTCCCGGGCCCGACCCCACTCCCGGGCCGGCTCGTGATCCCAATCCTGTTCCCGATCCCAATCCTGTTCCCGATCCCGATCCCGGTCCCGGTCCCGATCCCGATCCCGCTCCCGCTCCCGCTCCCGATCCCGCTCCTGTTCCTGGTCCCGATCCCGATCCCGCTCCTCACCAGGGTTCCCTCGCGTACTCCTCCATCTTGCCCCGGCCCCGCCGCCTCCCCGCGCGCCATTGGCTGAACCCGCCGCGCGCCGCCCAATGGGGAGCGCGGGGCGGGACCGGGGGCGGGGCCAGGGCGATGATTGACAGGCCCCGAAATGGCGGTCTGGGGGGACAGCGGGGGAAGGGCCCGGGACGGGAACGGGGACGGGAACGGGGACGGTCCTGGAATTCCACCCCTGGAATTCCACCCCTGGAATTCCACCCTGGCCCTGCCCCCGGCACCGACACCCCCCGCACGGCCGGGTTACACCAGCTTTGTCCAGCCTGGCCTTGGACACTGCCGGGGATGGGGCATCCCCTGGGAATTCCATCCCAGCCCCTCACGGTTGGTGACTGTGGGAATGCTTGGCTGTGGAAAATCCTAAATATCGCTGTCAGAGAGTCCCGCACTGGTTTGGGTTGAAGGGACCTTCAATCCCAGCCCTGCCCTGGGCAGGGACACCTCCCCCCATCCCAGGCTGCTCCCGCCTGGCCTTGGGCACTCCAGGGATCCAGGGGCATCCCTGGGAATTCCATCCCAGCCCCGATGGGGTGTGTTGGACACGATTTAAGGTGTTTATGTGGGGCGAGTGACGCAGTTTTGGGGCTTACTGGGAAATGCTGCTGTGGCTTCTGCCTTGGCCCAGGAGGGGAGATGGGAAAGTGGAAAATCCCGGGTTTGGGGTCCCTTTCCCTGGAGTGTCCAAAAAACGAGAGGCTGTGGCCCTTGGGGACAGTTTGTAGCGAGGGGGGTGGGTTGATGGTTGGGCTGGGTGGTCCATCCCAGCATCTGTAACTCCAGGTTCTCTCCCTGACTTTCCAAGCTGGAAAAGGACCGGGCAGGACCTCAGGGAGCCCCAGGGCTGGGGGGATGGGGGACACTCCTTTGGCTCCTTCCAGCAAAGGAGGCACCAAGTGGACCCCAAATGTTCCATTCCCTGTGGATCCTGATGGCTTCAGCCCTGGCACAGCCATCAAAGTGTCAGGGGAGAAGAGTCAAGGAAGCTGGACAGGGATTCTCCACCAGGAGTGGTGCCAGGACACAGGGAATGGCTTCCCACTGCCAGAGGGAGGGATAGATGGGAGACTGGGAAGGAATTCCTGGCTGGGAGGGTGGAGAGGGGCTGGGATGGAATTCCCAGAGGATACCCCATCCCTGGAAGTGCCCAAGGCCAGGTTGGGATGGTGGGATGGGATTTAAGGTCCTTTCCAACCCAACCCATCCAGGATTCCATGGGAGCAGAAGGGGCAGGGATTGGCCTTGGCCCTCCTGATGCAAATGAGCTCCAAGGCTCGGGCTGTGGGACCAGGGCTGGAGTGGGATGGGATCCAAGAGGACAATGTTTAGGGTTGTGCACTTGGAAACCAAAGCCAACACTTTCTGCTCCAATCTGGAAAAAATCTCAGCCCTGCTGGTGAATCACAGGAAGGGAATGAGCAGGAGCTGGGGCTGGAGATAAAGGAAAGCCTGGAATGCCCCAGGAATGTGCATTTCCAGTCAGGATGGGGAATGTCCAGGTTGGAGAATCACCTGGAGCCCTCCCTGGCTGTGCTGAGGATGAGGGAAACTGGGATGAAAGGGCAGGAGAATGAAGGGTGGGAAAACTGGCTGGGAATTCCCAGAGGAGAACCTGCTTGGGAGAACTCCCAGGTGCCAGGGGAGCTTCCCTAGGGATTGGGAATCTGTTGGGAGAACTCCCAGGTGCCAGGGGAGCTTCCCTAGGAATTAGGGAGAGGGAAAGTCAGTGCCAGGCTTAGGGCACTGCCTGGAGCAGGAGCAGGAATTGGGGCTGTGCAGAAGGAGGGAGGTTTTGGGGCATGGCAGGGGCAGGGGGGGAGGGAGGGGAACTGCAGGAACAGCCCTGCAGAGGTTTGGGGATTGCAGGAGTTCTGATAGATCCCAGCCCAGGGATGATTTTGGATCAGATCCAGCAGAGATCTGGGAATTGCAGCTCTGATAAATCAACCCAGTGATTGTTCCAGGATCAGACCCTGCAGAGTTTTGGGGATTGCAGGAGCTCTGATAGATCAGCCCAGAGCTGGTGTGGGGGCAGATCCAGCAGAGATCTGGGAATTGCAGGAGCTTTTATAAATCAAACCAGGGCTGGTTTCAGGATCAGACCCTGCAGAGGTTTGGGAATTGCAGATCTGATAGATCAGTCCAGGGATGATGTCGGATCAGATCCAGCAGAGGTTTGGGGATTGCAGGAGCTTTTATAAATCAGTCCAGGGATGGTTCCAGGATCAGACCCTGCAGAGATCTGGGAACTGCAGGAGCTCTGGTAGATCAGTCCAGGGATTGTGTTGGATCAGACCCTGCAGAGGTTTGGGGATTGCAGGAGCTCTGATGGATCAGTCCAGGGATGATGTTGGATCAGATCCAGCAGAGATCTGGGAATTGCAGGAGCTTTTATAAATCAACCCAGGGCTGGTTTCAGGATCAGACCCTGCAGAGGTTTGGGGATTGCAGGAGCTCTGATAGATCCCAGCCCAGGCCAGTGTGGGGTCAGATCCAGCAGGAGCCCTCTCTTCCAGTGCCTCCATCCTTCCCAAGAGAACCAGCCTGGCCCAGCACCACCAGCTCCCCCTCCTTCCCAACCATCAGAGAGCAGAACCCCCTCTGGAGCGGCTGCTCCGTGTCCAATCCCTCCAGGAGCCATCCCTACCCCTGCACATCCTCTCCCCACCCCTCGGTAGCCACACTGCTCTCTTTGGTAACCCCCCCCGGCACAGGCTGCTCCCCCTCCCCGTGCCGCGTTTTTCCCTGTTTTCCCGCGGCTTGGCCCGTTGCCTTTAAAAGGCGAAATGCTCCGCACTAAATTTGGGCATGAGGCTCTGGCCGCTTCCCTGGAATGTCCTGGGCTCTGGGGCTGCTCCGCTCGGCCCTTCCCCGCCTCCCGCCCGCTCCAGCGGCTCCCCCGGCACCCGGGATTGGCCGAGCCCCTCTGGAAAAACCGAGGCAGAGCGGCTGGGATTTAACACTTGAGCACCTGCTGCTTCCCGGGGAGCGACTTCGGGAGCTTTTTGTTTTTATTTTTGTTTTTTCTCTCCTGCCTCGGGCACCCCAAAAACCGCCACCGTGTCTCGCCAGAGAGCCAAGATGTCCAAGGTGGCCAAGTACCGGCGCCAGGTCAGCGAGGACCCGGACATCGACAACCTGCTGTCCACGCTGTCCCCGGAGGAGGTGGAGGAGCTGGAGAAGGAGCTGGATGTGGTGGATGCTGAAGGGAGCGGCCCCGGAGAGAAGGAGCGGGCGGAAAACTCCTCGCCCGGCCCCCAAAACTGCGAGGCTGAGCTGAACCACCACGGCAGGGAGCACAGGAGGGTCCTGCGCAGGGAGCAAGCCGTGGATGTGAGTCACGTTCCCGCTGGGAAAGGGGGGATGCACCTGGAATTCCCCCCATGCCCTTGGGGAGGACACAAATCCCGGGGAAAGGCTGTGCTGGGGGGGAGCTGCTGTCGGGGAGGGAGCAGGGAGGTGGTCCAGGAATCCGGGAGGGGATGGGGTGTCCCTGAAATCCTGGTGGTCCCCTAAAATCCTGGTGTTCCCCTAAAATCCTGGTGTGTCCCGAAAGTCCTGGTGTTTCCCCTAAAATCCTGGTGTTCCCTGAAAGTCCTGGTGTTCCCCTAAAATCCTGGTGTGTCCCGAAAGTCCTGGTGTTTCCCCTAAAATCCTGGTGTTCCCTGAAAGTCCCGGTGTTCTCCACAGAGACAGAGCTGTGCTGGTGTCCAGGGATTTTCTCTCTGTCCCTTTTGTGACATCCCTGGGCAGAGCTGGGGATGGAGATGGGATGGGAATGGGAATGGAGATGGGATGGGATGGGAATAGGAATGGAGATGGGATGGGAATGGAGATGGAGATGGGATGGGAATGGAGATGGAGATGGGATGGGAATGGAGATGGAGATGGGATGGGAATGGAGATGGAGATGGAATGGGAATGGGAATGGAGATGGGATGGGAATGGGAACGGAGATGGAATTTCCAGGCAGGGCAGTGACAGCAATCCCAGGGGCTGCGTTTTTCCCTCTCTTTCCCCCTGTGGACATCCCTGAACTCTCGCTCCTTCCAGCTGCAAAAGCTCCGGCAGCCCCTGGGATAAAAAGCCTGTGGGAATCCAGGAGCGGGTTTGGCCCCAGAGCGTTTGTTTCCCGGTTAATTGGTCAGTTCAGATCCATCCCTGAATTTGGACTGGGGCTCGTTTCTCTCCTTCCCTGCCCTGGGCAGCTCGTTGGGAGCTGGAGAGCTCCGTGCCAGTCCCTCAGCATGAGCGGATCCAAGGATTTTGTGGATCCCCCCCTTTGATTCCAGATCTATCCCGGGCCGCCCAGCGGGTCGGCTGAGCCCGAACCGCCCCGGGAGCTCTTGGGAACGTCTCTTCCCGGGAATTTCGGGAGTTCGTGGAGGATGCTCCTCTCCTCGGAGCGACCCCTCTCCCGGAGAAACATCGGGAATGACAATTCCAGCCGCGGGAGGAGCTCTGAGAAGGGGCTGAGCAGCTCCCCCCGCCCCTTCCCGGGACGTTCCCAGGACGAGGCACAGCTGGAAAAGCTGCTTTTTTGGGATGGGGAGCTCCTGTTTCACTGGGAAGCGGCAGAGGGAAGCGCCCTTGATTAGGAGGAAAGTTGGGGTGGGGTTTTTTGGGGGGAAAAGAGAGGAAATTGCCTGTTGGGACCTGGAAGATTCCCGGGAGCACCACCGTGGGAGGGGATTCGGGCTGTGGGAAGGGGCGGGAGGGACACCCAGGAGGTGGGAAAGGCGCCTTGGGAAAGCTTTTCCCTGAGTTCGGGAGGTTCCGAGGCGAAAATCCCAGCCCTGGCACTACCGGGAGCCGGGATCGGCCCCGGGAACTGCCGGATCCCGCGGGAATAATCCCCAAATCCAGCGCCGGGAGGGGAATTCCCCTCCGTCTGAGGCAGCGCCGGGGCTGAGACCCCCAAACACCACCCCCAAACACCCCCAAAATGACCTGGAGACCCCCAGGACACCCCGAGACCCCCCCCAAATGACACACACACACACCCCCCTCCCCTCCCCAGGCAAAGGCATCACGAGAGGGAAATTGGGGTTGGGAAGGGGAAATGGTGGCATTAAAGTGCCAGAGGGATGGACAGGTGGGATATTGGGAAAGAATTCTTCCCTGGGAGGGTGAGGAGGGGCTGGGATGGAATTCCCAGGGGATGCCCCATCCCTGGAAGTGTCCGAGGACAGGTTGGAGCCGCCTGGCATGGTGGGAGGGGTCCCTGCCCATAAAGGTGGGACTGGGTGAGTTTTAAGGTCCTTCCCACCCAAACCAATCTGGAATTCCAGGATTCTGGAGCCCCTCTGCTCTGGAACCAGGCTGGGAGAGCTGGGAATGTTCCCCTGGAGAAGGGAAGGCTCCAGGGACACCTTGGAGCCCCTTCCAGGGCCTGAAGGGGCTCCAGGAGAGCTGGAGAAGGGCTGGAGGGACAGGACACAGGGAATGGCTTTATGTCCCTTCCAGGATGGGTTTTAAGGGAATGATCTTTAAGGTCCCTCCAAGATGATCATTGGAAGTTGCCAAATCCACAGCAGGAGGTTTTTCCTTCTCCAAGAATTCCACAGGATCCCCACAGGGATCTCCCTGCTCCAGCACTGCCACCTTCCCTGGGAGTGGATGGAGCCTCCTTCCCCCACCTCAGGGAATCATGGAATCTGCTGAGTGGGAAGGGGCCCACGGGGATCACTGAGACATCCCAAAATCCCCCTGGAGAGCGCTGTGGAAGGGAAGTTGTTCCCAGTGTGGATGGTCCCTGTATTCCCATGTCCTGAAGGATGAACCCCCTTCCCGTGGGAAGGGCTGAGCTGGCTCAGCGATCTTCCAGCACTTCCCCTTCCTCTTGGATATCCCACTCCCTCCTCTGCAGGAACAGCTCCTCCTGCTCCAGATCCAGGGATCTTTATCCCTGCAGGCTCCTGGGAATGTCCTGGGCAGGGAACAGCCCCTCCTGCTCCAGATCCTGGGATCTTTATCCCTGCTGGGAATGTCCCGGTGTCCCCAAGCTCCGTAGGCTGGGCAGGTTTGGCTGCAGATGGAACACCAGTGGCCTCAGGGGGGTTCTTTAATCCAAATCCAGCCTTTCTGAAGGATGCTGGATCCAGAGGGGGTCCTGCTGCCATGGAGGAGGATTCAAACTCCTTGGGAATGCCACGGGGAAAGTCCTGCCTTCCTCCCACTCGCTGGGGTTTGTCCACATGCCAGGACTGTTCCTGCTGCCTTCCAAGAGTATCCAGCAGATCCCAACCCTTTCCTTCCATCACCACGTCCTGGGCTCTTTTCCCTCTCCAGGGAATTGCTGAGGTTGGAATGGACCTGTGAGGAACAGCCCAAAGAATCCTGGAATGGGTTGGGATTGAGGAACCTCAAAGCTCATCCCATTCCATCCCATGCCCTGGGCAGGGACACCTCCCACCATCCCAGGCTGCTCCAGCCTGGCCTTGGACACTCCCAGGGATGGGAAATCCATCCCAGCCCCTCCCCCACTCCCAGCCAGCAATTCCTTCCCAATCTCCCATCTCTCCCTGGGAAGCCATTCCCTGTGTCCTGTCCCTCCATCCCTCATCCCCAGTCTCTCTCCAGCTCTCCTGGAGCCCCTTCAGGCCCTGGCAGGGGCTCCAAGGTGTCCCTGGAGCCTTCCCTTCTCCAGGGGAACATTCCCAGCTCTCCCAGCCCGGCTCCAGAGCAGAGGGGCTCCAGAATCCTGGAATCCCAGGCTAGTTTGGGTGGGAAGGGACCTCAAATCCCATCCCATCGCCCCCCTGCCCTGGGCAGGGACACCTTCCCCTATCCCAGGCTGCTCCAAGTTTATCCAGCCTGGACATTCCTCCAGGGGAGTGGGCAAAGCTTTGGCTCCTTCCCCCGACACAGAGGGGATAGAGAGGGCTTTGCCTTTTCCCCCCCTGGATCATATCCAGGACATCCAAACCCAGCACAGCTTTGGGAAGGAGCCAGAGGGGTCGAGTTGTTCCTCTTTGCTCCTCCAAGGGGCTCAGTCCAGCCCCACAGATCCCTCTGGGACTGCAGGGCAGGAGGGGACACTCCCAGGGAACAGGACAGGACGAGGGGGAGGCTCAGTGACCTCGGGGGGCTTTTCCAACCTCCTGATCCCGTGACATCCCGGAGATCCCTCGGATCTGTCACCTTGTGCTGCCCAGCAGCGAGAGCCTTGCCTGTCTGGGCCCACTGGGAACATCCCAGCCCCTGGGGACGGGCAGAAACAGCAGGAAAGGGAGCTGGGACCCCCCTGAGGTGACAGAACAACCCTCTGGGGGCAGGAGAAAAGCAGGGACGATCCCGTGGGAAATCCCTGAGGGATTTGTGTGGGAACAGAGTGAGGGGACAACACCCCAGGCTTTGAGCTGCTCCCAGAAAAGCTGTGTGAGGAGAGACCTCCCAGCCACAGAGGGGTTTTTGGGTGGCAGAGCCCTTGTTTTCCATGGTTTTTTTCCACGTTTTCCATGTTGTCCATGTTTTCCTGACGTGACCAGGACAGGGGGCAGCACAGAGTGTTCCCAGTGGTCACCCCGAGGCACTGCCAGGGACATCCTCAGCCCATCTAAGGGCACAAAACAGGAGGGGGAGGAAAAAAACACAACAATCTGGATTTCCAGAAAAACAGGAGCAAAAACCCCGAGCTGGGTATTTACAGAAAGCACAACTGGGATGCAGGAAACAATCCCTGGAGATGTTTGGAGGGTTTATGGCTGAGCTGCCCGGGAGGTTGGACGGGGGTTGTGTTGAGGGGGTAAATTGAGGGGGGAAGAGCGGGGTCTGCTCCAGCTGGGTCTGCTCCGTCTGAGCCCCTTCGGCAGCTTGGGAGGGGGAGGAAACCATCCTGGGGATCCCAGAAGGACACTGGGATCAGCAGGACACTCTGGGATCAGGGGGATCAGCAGGATAATGGGATCAGCTGGGATCAGCAGGACACTCTGGGATCAGCAGGACAGTGGGATCAGAGAGACACTGGGATGAGCAGGACACACTGGGATCAGTGGAACACTCTGGGATCAGTGGGATCAGCAGGACACTCTGGGATCAGCAGGACTCTGGGATGAGCAGGATGGGGGATCAGCAGGACACTCTGGGATCAGCAGGACAGTGGGATCAGCAGGACTCTGGGATCAACAGGATTCTGGGATCAGCAGGACTCTGGGATCAGCAGGACTCTGGGATCAGCAGGACAGTGGGATCAGCAGGGGGATGGTCAGACCCGATCCCAGAGGGCTTTTCCAGCCCCAGTGATTCCAGCCATTCCATGGGGAGGTGTCAGCAGGTCCAGGGGCTCAGACCCCACAGCTGGGTCAGGATTCCCACCTGGATTATCCCGAGGG